AATCTTAGTTTGGTTAGATGTTGGAAGGTTAAAAGCAAGGTCCATCATAGTAGCAGCGGAATATAAAGTATAAATCGAAACAAATAAATTGAATAATTTTTTTATAACGATTATGCTTAGCACAAGACGGTGTAGTGGGCAGACGCCTTAACGTTTAGTATAGATTATTTAGCATCGAAGCAATGTCGCCTGCCTATCGATCTTCTATCAAATATACTTTAATGAGTACGCGCAGGTATTTCACAACCTTGTGCCTCCTTCGCCGTTCTATCACAGAACTGCGAGAAGTCGTGAGCGCTAGCATCCTTACGTGGTAGAAATCCAACCAACTCGCACAAAACGCTTTAATTCAACGAACTGCTAAGGTGTGGAACACCCTTCCAGCATCAGTGTTTTCTGACACCTATAATAAGAGTACCTACCTTTAACCTAAACCTCATCAGTGCTTCCCAGCGTTGATTGTCTTCAAGCGCAAGCCTATCTAGTAAAAAAAAAGATGATACTATAGAAGTTAAATTTAAACGCTATCAGGCAAACCAAATCTATCGTATTTATCCATCTTTGATAAGTAGTGCTTATTATTTCTGATGTTCCGTAACAGATCGTTGATTATTTTTTAAATCATTACGAATATTTGTATGTACCTAAATATTAATATATAAAATTCCCGTGTCATTCCGAAACTACGTATTACGTATAGGTTTTTTCTTAAATGTGTGATTTGTTCCAACTTGGAAAATAGGATAGATTTATCCTGATTATTTCCTTTTTTTATTGCAATATTAACGATGTTCATATGTGTCCACAGCAACGCGTGACCGGGTCTGCTAGTTAATATATAATTAGTAGTTAAGATGAAATTATTTATTGCTTTATTATCTAAGTAATTAGAAGGGCTTAAACAAATAATTTTATATTAGCGAATTATATTTTCTATGTAGGTATGTGTTTGTCCTCCTGTGTTTTTCCACTGTTTTTTCTGTGTACTAAATTTCATCAATCCGCCCTCTTCCCTTTCAGTGTAAAGGAGTAACAAACATACACACATACAAACTTTCGCATTTTTAATACTAGTCCAATTGTAAATAAAAAGTAATAGTATTATTCCAAATGTAAAAAAAGAAAATGTAAAACAATCAATAAAAGAGATACTAAAAGCATTATATTACGTACAAACTTTCTGAATAAGAACTTACAATGTTAACTTACTGTAGAAACCCTTTATTCATGGAGTCAAAGTGCTAAGCACTTCTTACAAACAACACCTCGTCTTATCGCCTCTACTGGTGACAGGAGAACTAGAGCATTTTTCGTCCAATGAATCGGCATTGCCATTCAACGGGGGAATGTATTCTTGCCAGTATTCCACGCGGACATGATTTGTACAGTATTAACTAAGTGTACATTTGTTTTGTATATTTTGTATATAATTAGGTATATTTGTTATTTTCTTGTTGTATCTAATTGTAAATATTTATAAAATTTGATTTACCAAATGTTTTATGTATGTTAGTTATTAGAGAGAACTATTTTTTTAAAGAATGTAGCCGCAATTCTTTAGATTTTTATATATGTTCAATGCATTTACTAGCTCTATCCCACTTTAGATGGGGTCGACTCTTATTTTTTATATACGTGACCAAATATAATAATTACTGGTAGGTTAATTATTTATGTAGGTAAACCCAGAATCCAAGAAGAGTTGACAGCCACAGATTCTACAGTTATTATTATAGAAATAATAGAAATTAAATGTGTTTTGATTCATATTGAGAACAAGTATTATAACTAATGAAGATTTTTGAAAAGACAATCAGGAGGATCTTTACCTGCCGATCTCTAATATTAGCCTATATAAATTAATAATTGTGATAATTATTATCTATTATCAAAAAGTGTGTGACGGACCACATGTGCAGACAGGTAAGTTTAAAACATAAAAATATATGAAAAATATTATTTCTCTAAATAAATTTTTTGCCCCTTTGTATTTAAAGGCTTTAAAACATCAAAATATGTGTTTTATTAACTGTCAAGTTTTATTAACTACATATATCAAATTTTAATTTGAATAGACAATAAAATTATGGGTTAAATAAAATATATTAGTACTACTTTTTAACGTTGGGAAATGCATATACGCACGAGGTGTGGGACTCACCGGCAAAGCCAGTACTACCCACTAAAACCCAACAAAGCCTTCCCCCGTCTAAATGGGGCGTCGCAGGATCGCTTACGCATTCAACTACGACGCCCCGATCGCGACGGCAGGTCTGCCAAAGCAGACCACAACAACCATGGGATTACTCCAAGGTCCACTCTGCTATCAGAGAAGTACCAGGAGCAACCCGGGTGGTACACCGCCCATCGAAGTGGGCCACCTCCCGGCCTTCGCGCCCGGCTGGATTGCCGGACACTACTGAGTCCCCTCACCACGACAAGGTGAACGCACGTTGGAGCACTCTATCTACAACTGAAACTCGCAGCGACACAGCAAGGCGAAGGCACTTGGCGAACAGCACTTGTGGATCGTTATAACAAACCGATATTATTATTGCCCGAATACAATTCAACCCCGATTTCTACATTACACAGCCTTAAATACAATTACCCGCTGACGCCAGAATGATCAAAAAACAACTTATTAGAAATAATACATTTTGTTATATTATTAAATATTGAATATAAGCTTAACATTAATTAAATATTGAGTAGGTATGTAACTATACAAATAATTTATAACTGTAATATATAGTAATTATACAAAAATTATACAATATAACAAAACACACGAGTGAATTGGAAAGATAATACAAAACCCGTTCGGAAACAAAACGCTAATCTATTTGAAGATATTTGAAATATATTTTTTATTAAGTAAATATTAATAATGAATTAATAGGTGATGACTACAATACTATTAACATTACAATCCTATTTAATAAAAGACGTATTAGTAGAAATATTTTTTATAACACTACCTCATTATAAGAATTGCCAAAGTTTTTACCCCTCAGGTCTAGCAATTTGAATATAGGTATTTAGACTATTTTTTTTGTGATTTTATTCAATGCACTATTAATATATTTTCATGTAAAGGTGTCGTAGCAGTAAGTATGCCCCGAATAATTTGAGGAAAGAATATCTCATTTTGTATACAATATTATACGACGTTGAACTTTAAAACATTCAAATATGAATTTAAGTAATTGTATCTAGAGTAATGCTGAAATTTCTATTTGTACCTTTTATCGCCCTAGGGGTAGAATTTCTTAAAGTTCATATTATAAAAATTATAATGCCCAAAAAAAATATATGAAAGTTACATTATTTTTATATAAAAATATAAATTAAATTAGAAAATTTAGCTTAAGCCTTTTTTAAAGGTGTAAGAATGGTAATATGATTATAAATTGACCCTTTACGTAAATAAACTCTACAAGTGCACGAACAGTCTTGCACGTAAATTCGTATTTATCTAATATCTATATATCATTTATTTACCTTATTTAACTTTGAAAATTTAAATTATTTGACACAGGCATTATCACTTTAAAGATTGACACATTTAATAATAATATCTTATCATTTGAATGTAATCTAATGTACAAGCTTGAGCCTATTATTTTTTTGTATTAATATACAATATGGATTGTTTTTTCAAATATGGATGCATTGTTTACATACATCATACGGCATATCATCGAATAATATAAAACAATCTTTTCAAATTTTTTCGTGGATCTATTTAGATTTTTGGTTCCCGACATTTCCAATGATTAGCAGCAATAAATAACATAGCCGTGAAATTAATTAAAAATATGAATTTAAAATCGTGACGCTGTGTATTTGGGCACCATTGCGATTTAAATAGATGATTGAATTCAGTCAGAAATATACACAATATGTTTAATAAAAAATATATTAGAATAATGTATAGGGATTCCGTAGCTAAAAAAGAAAACCGAAATATTTTTAATTATTTTTATTTATATTTTATTAGGAGACTATTGATTCTATATAGTCGTGGAGTTTCATCAAGAAGAAAAATAATAGTTCAAGTTAATTTCAATATATATATCGTCATACGAGTCTATTTTTTATTGATATTGAAAGCAAATTCACGTAATTTTTATTAGCTGTATACCTAATATTTAAAAGAATTTTTTGGTATTTAATGAGTTATTTATATTTACAACAATCGGTTACAAATAGCTGCTTTAGTACAAATGCCATTTATTGCCTGCTTAGAAAAAATGACCAGAAAAATTGCCCGAATTAGAGCTGCCTATTTTCATCATACATATTATATAATAAGGTGTTGTTATACTAATATAGAATTATATTCATAACACTAGTTAACAAAATTTTAATTTTCGCTTGTTGCCATGAACTTTCTAGTTGATATTGTTTGCTTAAGGCATAATCTTTTCAAATTTACTATTAGAAAATTTTGTGCAGCTCAAATTACTTTATTTCTGATTTTCATTATTTAAGCATATTTGCCCGTTCATAACGTGCGTTTTTCACTCTGTTAAGATTAATATCTAAAGTTTTTGTGACATGAGTACTTCAAGGAGAAGTTGTTTAAGCAATCCAAATCTTTTTGCTATATATGTGGACAATATGTGTTTCACAATTATAGAAAAGTTAAATAAGAGTTCGTTCAAAACACCTACTTTCTGCATTTTGGGATGTTCTTGGGTAAAAGTCCTGAGTCTTTGGCGTCTAATTGTATTTGTAAATCGTGTGTCAAATATTTAAGATTGTGGAAAGGTAGCAAAAGAAGTGCTTTTGAATTTGAAACACCAACAATTTGCGGGAACCACAAAATCATCTCGATGAATGTAATTTTCTTAGTGCCAACATAAATGGCATAATCCAAGTACTACTTGTGTTCAGCGTCCAGTGCAACATTCACATGAGTCTCCAGTACCCCCAAATATATCTTAACCAAACTATACATACGTATATACATAATCAACCAAACTCTTTAGAAAATGATCATGATTTGGGAGATGTATCCAATGGACCAACATGTTTTTCACAAAACGAATCAGATGATCTTGTAAGAGATTTCAATCTTTCTAAACAAGCTTCAGAATTGCTGGCATCAAGACTTATAGAAAAAAATTGCTTTCTCTAGGTACTAAAGTTACTTTGTATCGTGAAAGACAATATTGCTTTTTGTTCATATATTAAAAACTCGTTGATAAAAATGAACTTGTAGAAGTCCTCCTCTTACAATTAAAAAATTTAGAATGTAATATGAGTATTTAAACTCTACTTTCTCTATAGTAACCTGGACAGGTTTCCTGAAAATCTAGGCGATATGAGGGACGGGCAGGGTGAGTGTATGCATCAAGATTTACGCGTTATGGCAGAACGCTATTAAGGTTTTGATGATACAAAAATGTATTCTGACTATTAATACTCATAAGAGGAGAGACTTGAGACGAAGTTTTTAAGAACTAAATGCTTAATTTAATTTATTAATAATTTTTTTCTTAGTTAATACAAGTATTTTTTTGTATTGAATGCAGATAGCTGAAACTCAAAAACCAGAGCTGTACAAAAAATTCTAATTATATATTTGAATTTAGCATACCATATGTAGTCAGCAACAGCAAAAATTTTCCCGGCAACAAAAGCACTGTAAACAAGATAATTCATACTATCTGTGCCTATGTTCAAATAAGTACTTATCTGCCTAGTCTTGGGTATGACTAAACCGATGTAAATGCGGCTAATTTAATCGAAAATTCATAGCGATATTTCAGCAAAATCCGTAAACCAATCAAAAAAGAATCATGAGCCCTTTGTTAAAGAGGTTTTTCTCTAAGTGAATTTTATGAACAAATAATAGCGTATATTTCTTTAATACTTACGTTTTTCGTACTTATAGTTTTATTTCGCGAAAGAATGGCACTCATAGATAAGAAAATTCTTAAGCCGCAGATATCGATAATAAGATTAGGATAAGATCAAATATATCATCTTCAGATCTAAAATATTACACAACGTAAAAAATGACAAATTCTATGATTTAAGGCGACATGCCATTAGTTTCAACTCGATGATCTACTTATAGCTTTTATATTAACTGCTAAATAATAATAGTTTTAGTTACTTATACCAAAAAAAAATGTCGCCGCCGGAATTTTAAGAATAGAGTAATTGCGTAATTAAAACGAATCGAAAAAAATAAAGGGTCTACACAAATTAAGTAGTTTTGCTCTATATACAAATAATTAAATTATCATAACAAAATAATTTTAAAACAAAACATGAATATGTCACAAAGATAACTTCTTATTATTTTTATTTTCTTTTTCAGATATGTACACTCTGATCTTTTTTGCCTTATAGGCATATCACATGGCGTGCCCTTTAATTCTGTGAAATCTACCTATAGTAACGAACACTATGTCCTTCCTGGAGAATCTAGACCCACGTTATATGATATTAGTCTAATTTTAGACCCCAACAATGAGACTTCATTTCTTGGAAATGTATCTATAAGAATCGTACCTGAAAGAAACACTCAACAGATAGTGTTACATGCTATGGAAATGCAGATTACAAGAATTGAGTTACATACTGAAGCAAACCCGGCTGCTAATCTAATGAGCACTTACAGTTTGACAAATGACACCCAATTTTTAACTGTTGAGTCGAACACGCCGCTATCAACGTGGCAGGCCTACATCTTGAAAGTAGAATATGTAGGAACATACTCTAGAAATATGTTCGGCGTTTACGTATCAAATTATCAATATAATGACCAGTCCTAGTAAGTATAAAGCATATCAATTTTTATAATTTTAAACTAACATTTATCCTTAAACAGGTGTGTGTGTCCAAGTTGATCTAAATTTAAGACGTACAAAGATAAGTACATTTGCTTGGTAAATAAATGTTATCTAAGCACAGTCAGTTTTAATTCATAACAAATGGGTGCATACTAAGATTCTAATCAATCATCTTCTAAGAAAATGTTGTGCTGCCAGATCGGGACAACTATCATCAACAATCCAACTTTCTACAACCAATAAAATATTTATATATAGAATTGAATTCCAAACTTCCTGCATAATAAACTTACGCAAAAGCATATCCGTATCATCATTGCGACCTGAAGAGTGTAATAAAATATTTTTCCTAACCCGCACACAAGGCGACATCGGCTGAACGGCAGAATTTGACTAATTATAATGCCGTCAAGTTAATAAAACATATAGAATTATTCTTTTATTAAGTGCTTGCCAATATAACGATGTAACTTAAATGTCAAATTGGTTCTACAATTCTGAAGCCTTTTTCTATTTTTTGTAATATTAATAATTATAATACGCCATTAATCAGTAGCAATCTCTGATCCTTAATAAAATTTAATATTTAAAACTGAAAAAGACTTGGTCGCGCCATTTGGTCTTTTATTGGTCTGAAATACAACCAGAGCCGCGATCATAGTTGCTTAGTGCGTTTGTGCTCTAAATGGTAAAAATTGTGAATTAAAGATTTATGCATATGCACTCTTTATTTAGTTATGGATCATTTTTAATAATATATAATTGCTGCGTGTCTTCTACATCATGTTGCTTTCTTACAGTAATCTAGTGACATCTCAACTCCAGCCTACATACGCTCGAAGTGTTTTTCCCTGCTACGACGAACCTCATCTAAAGGCTATATTTAGAACAACAATATACGCTCCGCCACAGTATATGGTTGTAAGAACCAATATGCCATTGAGAGAAGACACTTCAAAGTAAGTAACAAATATCTTAATTATTGACCAAAAGACACACAAATATGTTGTTACAATAAGAAAATGTTATTAGAAATACTGTAAATATAAAATATATTATTTTTTAATGTTCCAGGCCTGATGTGCAAGGTTACGTTAAACATGAATTCCGGGACACAAACGTGATGTCCACATACCTTATAGCTTTTCTTGTATCCAACTTCGAGTTTATAACAAATGAGCCAACTATGATACTTTACCGTGTACCATTCAGAATATATTCCAGAAGAGGCACTCAGTCTACGGCCTTATTTGCCCTGGATTATGGTCAACGAAATATGAGAGAATTACAGAATTATATGCAATTCATTTACGCTCTGCCAAAAATTGACAAAGTAGCTGTACCTGATTTTGCTGCTGGTGCTATGGAAAATTGGGGATTGGTTATTTATAGGTACGTTGAGCCTTGATTTATTTGTGTATTAAGACTGAATTAAATTACCATATGTTTATACAAGCGTACAGGAAAAAACGATAATAATTGAAATAAAAAATATTACTACGTAAGTGGTGGGTATAGCTGACTAGCCAGACAGCCAGATCGACTAATCAAAAAATGTCGCTGAGTTTTCAAATACCTTGCCTCGTCTTTAAAACATTTTGACAAATTTCTACCACAAAAATCCATTTATTACAATAAACGAAATACATATATTGTTGGACAAAATATAAGGGAATGAAAAATTCTTCTACACTTTTTTAAAAAATATTTTTTATACTCTAAAACAGAGTTTTATTAAATAGAAATAATCAGAACTAGCTAGTACTAAATTAGGCCTGAAGAAGGCGTATCATAATGAAAAAGTCAGTCTTTGTGAGTCCCGCAAATGAGTCTCCTCTTACATTCGCTAAATAAAATATTGTGACAAAGAACCTTAGGAGCGTTATGAAGTGAGCATGTTTGTGCTGTTTTAAGATCTTGTTTTTAATTCTTGTTATCGTATATCAAACTTTATTTTACAGATTTTAAGATTAATTTTTAAATGCTCTTGAAAACAACGAATAAACATTAATTGTTATCATTACCAATATATTACATATATGCTGTATATTTATAAGCAACCTAACATTTAATCATCTTTGTAATAAAGTAACATTTTTGATTATTTAATAATATAAAAATGACCCACCTACAATTTGTTCTGATCTTGTCTAAACCCCATGAAATAAAAAAACTTAAAAAATTTCTATTCTTGTCCAAAGGAAAACTTTTCCTTTCCCTTGGATCCAATATTAGTTTTGACCAATCATCTACCTACCAATGAACATAACATCGACACCTCCTTTTTCCCAGAATAAATATTAACCTGTATATCTTTCTACCTTTAATTCTTCATCCACCAACGAAAGATAATTTAAAATTGATGTTCCCATTCCATAGAAAAGCAAGTACAGACAGAAACATAGGCCGATTAATATATTTATAATAGTCATTTGATCTTTGAGCACTACATCATAGACACTGCCATAATTTATAAGAAATAAAGAAAAAACTACTTGCTACATGAAGTATTATAGTGATATGAACAATGTACATGCTAACCTATTAGACCAAGGTTGTAGAGGCTGTAATTTTATGTAATGCTGTAATGTAAAATTATTATTACACTTAAATATAAATTTGAATATTTCTTTGAATAGAGAGGAAGCACTTCTTGTCCAAGAGGGCGTTACTACTACAGCAACTTTACAGAACATTGGCCGTATTATTTGCCATGAAAACGTGCATATGTGGTTCGGAAATGAAGTAAGTCCACGGTCTTGGACTTATACATGGTTGAATGAAGGCTTCGCTAATTTCTTTGAGAACTTTGGAACTGATTTGGTAAGTTTAAAAGTTTTGTTTGTTTGTTTTTACTATTTTATAAAGTCCTCTAAAATCGAATTTGGTTGACAGGGCTCCACCTCATGTTACTCTAACTTGAACTTTTTTATTTCTTTGCATGAGAACATAGTCCAATGGGGTGGCTTGTTTACCTAAATATGTATTGAACAGTAAAGAAAGATATCATCTAGTCCAAACTTAATTCACATCTATAAGATAAAGGTAATTGTATAGTTAAAAGTATGTATATCCGTAAAATGTATGTATATATATATAAAATAAAAAGTAATTTTAAATATACCTTTCTTTTCGGATTATTTCGCGTGTTTATTTTAATTTTTGGTTCCCAACGTTTTAAATGCTATTATGTTCACGGGAGAGACTAAAGTTTTAGATGTCTAAAAGGCGTAAAAGGTAAGTTTAAAAAACTCAAACCCGACTACGTTTACCTTTAAATAACGTTTACGTTTCAATGAATATGAGTTGTATAAATCCAGCAAATATTCTCGTCTGAAACTAATCTGAAACTATATAATATTTATCTTCTATTATACAAACAACTTACACGAAATATATTTTAATGCATTTAATACATACTCATTGTACTTCATCGGTATGGGCTAAACGTCATTTAAGACAACCATAGTGTTATTTTGTTCAGATTACATAAACTGACTTTATTTCGGAGAAATAGGGCCAAAAATTTAGTAACTCTTCCCAAGTGGAAATATTTTTTTTACTACTTAAATAGGTTAGGATCACTTACCTAATTATAATATTATTGATAAAAATATATGAGGAACCAATATAATACAATTATGGATATAGATATCTATATCACAAAGATTTGCACCGCAAGATTTTGACCAAAATTTTATTTTTTAACAATCTGTTCAACACTAATAGTCTAGTTATCTTCTAGGTATATCCAACATGGCGTATGATGGACCAATATGTTCTTGCCATGCAAAACGTGATGCAGAGCGATGCTGTACTCTCCGTTAACCCCATGACGCATCCAGTATTCACACCTTCTGAAATCATTGGCACGTTTAATGCCGTTGCTTATCAAAAATGTGAGTAGATATAAAATACTTACAAATCGAAGTCGCATATGACTAGGAATCAGTGTAAGCTAAATTGCCTTTTGTCAGCGACTGTATTGTATTCTAATAGAGTATACAAAATATTAGGGTAATTTTGAACTTGTTTGTTTCTTTTTGATATAAAATAGGCATTATTACGATTATGAAATTGTAATAAAACAAATAGATAAATTACCGTATCTGAGTATTGTTATCCAAAGACACAAACAAATTTATAACATTTTAAGCCTTTTCAGTTATTCATTAACTTTACCGAGTAGTAGCAAGTTAAGCCTGACGTAAAACAGGCACAAATTCACTTAGACGTGTCAACAAAGTTAGTTGCAACTGGAAGTTTAGCTTTCTAAGAGTCTTTAACTAAACAGAGGTCAACAGCATTTTGCTTTGTTGTTCTATTCTATGTTATTTATTCATTCTCTTGAAGTTATCAATACAGAAACATTTGCTAGTAGTAAAACCTTAAAGCTATGAACACTTTATTACTGGTATATAATTTAAGCTGTAACATCTTAATTATAAATGAAATAATATACGTTTTATTTAATCAATTACATATTATATTTTCATTTACAGGCCAATGTTACTTTCTTACAACTTATATTTCTTCATTGTGACCTGTAACATAGCCTATTTTGTAATAAAAAATGCTTAGAAGCGGATTCTTATTGTTATTTTATCAAATTGTATTTAGATATATTAAGAGTAAATTTATTATAGAGTAAAAACAATATATTCCTAAGCTTTAAGAGGCTTAGTAGAAATAAAATGATTTCAATTCACAATGTATACGTGTGCTTTGGAACGATTTATTCTAATATTGTGTCTTATTTTTTCTTACATCAATACGTAATTTTGTCAAGGAATTTTAGTTTTAACTGTTAAAGAAATAAAGACCACGTTTGTATTCGGTAGCGATAAGAGCCACATTATATCCAGAGGAATGATATGATATGAAGTAGAGATAAAACGCGCACCTTTAAAATATACATTCAGAATGATGTAGTCAGTATATCTACGAAATGAAAAAAAAATATCTAAGATACTTTTGTTATTTTCTGTTATTTTCGAAATAGGACCTTGCTATGAAATATTACTCCATCACGATGTCACCTCATTTTTTTGAACAAATACTAGTTATCATAATATAAGAGTAAAAAAATGCATTTTCATGCCTAGTAATTGATCTAAATGATAATTTTAGGCATCCAATATCAATCCAAATTCGCAAGAGCAACATATTGGTCCGGCTTTCATCCATTGTTTAGAGGAAATACATTAGAATTTCTATTCAGAACTATGAGTACCCATCATATTTAATTTTTATGTGACAAATATTTTGTAGAACAATTGGATAAATAGGAAGGACTTAATAGTTAAAATTTATAACATATCGACGACTTACACACTTTTCTTAAATAAAAACTAAGTTTAGCATTTCATTTCAGCTGGCTCCGTCATTCGTATGATGCAACACTTCCTTACGCCTGAGATATTCAATAATGGTCTCATCATCTACATAAGATCATAGTAAGCTTATATTTAAACCCTTCTCCGCGTACTTTGTGTTTCACTGCATGCTTATATTTTTTCTCTAACCTTGACCGTTAATAAGCAGTACATTCAAAAAAATACTTTGTATTATATTGGATATTAATATTATTCATTAAAAATAGCTTATTAAACTTCAGTAAAAATAGCTTATGTCTATCAGGATTCAATATTATTTAAATTAGAACGTATATATATTTATATATACATATTGGTTTTGAATATTTTTTCAATGTGCAATTTCTAATATGCAAATTCTGATGTTTGCCGAACTAAGAAATTACTATAATTATTTGATTATAGTTCAAGACGAAGCGCTCAACCATCGGACCTATACGAGGCGTTACAATTGGCGTTGTTTGGATCCAGTCACGATATTCCTGACCCTATTGAAATAATTATGCAGAGATGGACGGAACAGGGTGGTTTCCCAGTCCTGACTATAAGAAGATCAAGAACTAGTGCAGAGTATATAACAGTCAATCAGGTGATCATATAAATTAAAGTTACCAAAATCTCGCTTATTGTCTACTCTTAGAATGCTTGGAAATTGGACTCCTGGATGAATTTATCACATACTGACATCAATATATAAAATTTTCACTTAACGCAAATTGTCTTTATATTAGTTTACAGCAGTTAATATAGATCTAACTAAATCTTGTTTTCTTTTTATATTGCCAATATGTACAATGTATTGTGCATACTTGTCCCGCAGCTTATGAACTTAGTAATAAGTTATTGTCTAAGATCTCTGATCCAAAGTAGTAGCTTTTTATAACAGTTATATGAATCTATATGAACAAACCAAAAAAAATTAAACTCCCACAGTTATCAAAAGATACCTAGTGATCACAGATACAAAACGTTTAGATGTAATATTTTTAAATTTTTATTTTTCCCTTTATAGGAACGGTACCTCACTGACCCTTCACTATCATCAAGGGAGAGGTGGCATGTACCTATTAATTGGGTACTCTCTACAAATCCAAATTTCACAAACACAAGTCCTCAAGCTTGGGTAATACCCATACCTGGTAATGCAGCACTCCGTTTTAATATTCCAGGATTAAATGAATCTGAGTGGTACATTTTAAATAAACAACAAACAGGTTAGTACATAACACTATACATCGTTTACTTGTAGCTTGATACGAACTATTTAAGTAATACCTACTATCACTTCGATTTTTTCCCGGATTTATATTGATTTCCGACGTTTCGAATACTTACAGTAATTATGGTCATAGGAGAGACTAAGATTTTAGACGTCTCAAAGGTCATTATATAGTTTTATTGTGAGGTACTAGAATCGAGTGCAGGTTGAGAAAAATATGACTCAGTTTTTCTGTTAAAATACTCAGTGGCTGCCTAAAGTTATATACACCTCTAAGAACACCTAAAATTATGGTATCTCTTATATTGTTGGCAAAAAAAAACTGTGATAATTTTATTTTTTAATAATTTCACAAGAAAAGTACTAAATTTTGATGTTGGTGCATCTTTTTAGTTATAAACTAATATATAATTAATTAGCCTTAGACTTTTTACTGATGATAGACAATTCGGGTTAAAGATGTTTTTATTCCCAAAAATAATATATTAAAACTATTTATATTTATTTCTACTTAGGATACTATCGAGTGAACTATGACGAGGCTAACTGGCGTGCGTTAGCGAATGCCCTACAACGCTCTCACGGAACAATACATTTGTTAAATCGAGCACAGATTATCGATGATTCTTTCAACCTTGCCAGAAGTGGAAGACTAGTAAATATATTTATTGCTTTATAATTTTTTACAGGAAATATTTTTGTAACATTTTAGGGCACTTTAAGTCTTGAACCTCTCAAACCGTCAAAGAATCATCCAGCCAACGTGAAAAACTATAAAAAAATACTACTGAATTTTAAACTGTATGTACATACATACATTACAATTAGGAATTACGGTTTTATATACAGTTTGATTTGTTTTGATTGTTGTTTCGTTGTTGTTGAATTGTTTTGATTGCGAGCACTAAGAAATAAAAATTTATGCATCTTTATTATAAAAAGGGAACTGAAAGGTAATAAAAAATTTTCTTTTTAATATATTTGGAATAATGGATTGCATGAACTCTGAGATGACTTTAAGAATTTATTTTCATATATGTATATACCTGGCTATATCATACTTGTAGGTCAAAGTCAGCAGTATGTAATGCTCAATGAAGCATGACGATTAGTACCTAATGCTCAGTCAAGTGTAAATATGTAGGCAGGCTAAGTTTAGTAAATTATGGGCATTATGTTATATGTAGGTAATACGAAAAGCACGTTTTGAAAGGATATTTGAATATATTTCATATGATCAATTTTCAGATTTAAATCGAGTAGAGTTGTATTATATGTTTAGATTATAAAATATATAATATGTAAATATTTGTCTAGAATCTCCACAATCATAAATTAAATAATTTAAAAAGCTAAAACTAAACCTGTTTATTTTTAAAGTAATGAGTACATATCGAATTATTTTTTTATTATTAATTAAACATTTTATTGTTACTAGATAAAAAGGATTTTTTACGATGGGTTAATGAGAAGTAATTTTTATTTTTTTTGTAGCAAAATTGCATGTTCATTTTACATTAATTTTGTTGATTTTTAAACTATGTACCTATTTATAAGTTTATACTTTAGTTTAAATACATACATATCGTACAATCTCGTTTCTTAAAAAAACAAAGTGTCGTCTTCATAGACATTATAGATTCATCATTTTATTAAGATTAATTCATATTAATCTATGTAAGTTTAACGTTAGTCACTAATTTAAAACGATTTTAATTATATTTTTCAGGAATATGTTATTGCCTTCGAAGTGTCTAGATATTTGATAAACGAGACTGATTACATCCCTTGGGGGGCGGCGAATGCGGCTTTTAGCTACCTGGATATCGTTCTCAGCGGTTCTGAGGCCTATCGACTATTTCAGGTATGGCTTAATTGAATGTTATGGTATTATCAATTTATCAATCATGTTGTATTGCATATTACCGTTTAATATCTTATTACTAAATAAAGCCTTGCGTTTTAGGTACTCGTGGTTACAAAATGTGTACATTTGGTAAAAATTTGCTTATTGTTAAAAGTGATTTTTCTAATTTTCTTCTAATCGTAAGTTTACATTTGAAAAATAAACGGATAAACTATTTGTAAAGTCACTCTTTTCAAAAATATTAATTTTAAACAGTCAATTATTAAAAAAAACCGGCCAAGTGCGAGTCGGACTCGCGCACGAAGGGTTCCATACCATTATCTATAAAAACAGCAAAAAAGCTATGTCTGTTATATGGGAGCCCCCTTAAACATTTATTTTATTCTATTTTTTAGCATTTCTTGTTATAGCGGCAACAGAAATACATCATCTGTCAAAATTTCAACTGTCTAACTATCACGGTTCATGAGATACAGCCTGGTGACAGACGGGCAGCGGAGTCTTAGTAATAGGGTCCCGTTTAACCCTTTGGGTACGGAACCCTAAAAAATAATGGTGTTTTACTCATTTCTTCCACTATAAATATAGTATGTTTTAGATAGCATTACCTATACTAAACGATATACAGTCAGCCACCTTCAAATATTTAGTAAATACCTATATTTTATTCAGTTTTTATTTATATTTTAGCAATATGTACTTACACTCACCGCGCCTCTATACGATCAACTTGGGTTCATAGCAGGATACGGAGAAGAACACGTCACTCCTTTCCACAGGAACATTAATTTAGATTACAATTGTCGTTATGGCAACCAACAATGCGTCAACAGATCTCAAGAACTTTTACAACAATTAAGAGATAACCCTAGTAAGTTTTAAAGATTATTTTGAAAATCTCTATTCTATTAAAGCTTATTACTAAAAACATTAAGTGCACAGAAATCAAACCCAAAAAATAGTATCAGGAATACTAATTTTGGTTAAGTAGTACAAATATTATCTTATGCAAGAATCAAACTCGCGATCTACGATTTAGTAGGCAGTGCTAGTTAGCAGTACTGTGCTAATACCGTTTTTAGCATTATAACATTTAGTAATAATAATATTCGCAAATATATATATTATTACTTAATTAAAGCCGTAAGTAAATATAAACGGTTAGTAAGGTATCAGCTAAATATCTTTGCATTATAGAATGATGTCATATAATACGAGTGTGTATTATAGCAGTGGAGCTTAGGCACTGAATAGTAATTACGTTAAACTAGCGAATTACCTTCGTTTCGCTCGGGTGCGTCCCTTTAACCCTTGGATGCCTATTAGGGATATATATATTTATATCTAGAAAAAATAATCAAATTATTTATTCAGACCAGTCATTAAATCCTGATGTCCAGACTGTAGTATTCTGCTCTGGTCTCCGCGGCGGAAGCGCTGATAACTTCCACTTCCTCTGGGATAGGTATAGTGCAAGCCAGGATTCTAGCGAACGATCTACTTTACTTAATGCCTTGGGCTGTACTTCTAATGCTGGACTACGTGAATTGTAAGTATTTACATCTACCAACTACATCAGTTGTGGTAGTGTTGCTTTGAAAGCTAAGTTAAGCAGGCTTAAGCTTAGATCTCGTAACTCCTTAATTATTATCATGTTTTTAACATGATTTTTTTGTCAACTCTTCTTCATTACATATATTTTTTGCTTTCGTATTTTGATCAGTAGTTAGTTGGAGTAAAATTGCCGTATCATATATCTAAATTACCTATGTTTTTGCCTTCAGTTAAATACGGTACGGTACTAAAAATAAATATATAGACAAAATTAATATTAACAGACAGTTAAAATTATTAATATAACAACCTTTTTAGCTTCCTCAATCAAGTACTTGATGACAACTCACCTGTGAGAGACCAGGACAGACACTCTATTATTGTATCAACGATAAACGCTAGCTCCGAAAACATGGAAGCAGCCTTAGATTTTGTGATAGAAAACTTCGCACGTATTCAGCCAAGGTTTGTAAACAATAAAAATATATAATTCATTTATCACCTCCAGGTAAATTTCTAAGAAATTAATTAAAATTCTAAGAAATCTATTGTTAACTGACACGCCGGCGTGTCCGCGGTCATGGAGGGATTATTATAGTGTAACTTATTAAATAATCTGAATTTTCTTTTTTCAGGGTACAAATGCTTACCGGCACTACGAATATCCTTAATGCCTTTTCCAGGAGATTAACAACCGCAGCACATTCCGCTAAAGTAAGCACATATTATTTTATAAATAGCTCATTAATACTCTTATTTTTAAAGCGGCAATGCCTTATTCCAATCCCCTAAAGTTACTACGTATTGTAAAATAATTGCAAGTCATTCTTAATTTATAATTAAATAAAAACATACACACTTGTGGCCTTGTACCTAAACTGGCACATCAATGTTTATGTTGCTATATTTTTTTATACATATAATAATGTTATTTATCTTATTTGAAAAATAAAGACTTAACTGCGTTTCTGTAATAATAAGAGATTTATTTCACTATTAGAATTTCAATACAAAAACATTATAAAAATTACACTTATAATAATAAAAGAAACAACATTTAAAGCCTCTATTTCAATCTAAGAAACAATAAACTAATAAATACACTCTTCTCGAGGAAAATTTATAATTACATACTATATCAATTATTTTATTAAATGTCAAAATTAAAAACTAAAAAAATAAAGTAAATTTAGAATCAATTTAAAAGTATTTATGTAATGAAAATAAACTTAAAAAAAGCACTCGCATATGAAGTGGTTTTCTTTACATACATATATCATACAAACATAATAACTTTAGATGAGATACAAGTTTCTTACTTTATTAAAATACACACAATATCCATGATATGCATTACCTGTATTATATAATATAATTATATAAATGCGGCCAGGTCTAGAGTCGTGCAAATTACCAATATCAACAAATAAAAAAACGGTCTTTCTCGATAATTATCTAATAACACGCACTATTATTAGCAATTATACTTTCAACTGCTCAATAAAGTAAAAATGTACTAGCTTTGGCAAACAATTTTTTACAAGCCCCAATTTATGAAGTGGTCCCAAAATGGCACAGCGGTCGAGAATGGATAAAAATCTATTGAAATTAAGTCAGTCATTTTCGAGTAATGTGCAATTAAAGAAAAAAAGGAATATAAAATTATTTTAAATAAAACTAACTTCTCGGATTTTTTGGGGAGTCTCTTATATGACCATGATTGCTGTAAAGCATTCGAAAAGTCGGGAACCAAAAATCAAAATAAATCCATTAAAAAAACCGAAAAATGACAAATATTCGCGTAAATCTTATAAAAGTATTAAATATAAACTTGATTTGTAACTTGTAAACTTACAAAGCGAGTTAGTTGACTTTTATTTAAAGACTTTAATATGAGATATGCTCGTGCATGTTTTAATATTCATCGACATATTCGGCAATTGTGATCTAATTATATATTTATTTTTTTCTTTAATTAAAAAAAATATCTCAAGGAATATATATGGGACCAATATAAAGGAGAACTAATTTCACAACCCCTAAAAGAGGCATAATTAGTTTAAGTAATGTAATAGTTACTGTAACTTTTTAGTTACATAGTTATTGAACCTCTATATTATGACCTTTCGGAAAGCAATATTCATGAAATGAAAATTTCATATCTTTATTATATTTCAGGTAACTAATCTAATATTATAAATAATCTTCTTAAGTCTTAAATAAAAATTGAGTGGCCTTTTTTTGCACAAGTACAAGTAAGTCCAATTACTGTCATAATGGAGTTAGATTTTGTTCAATTCAATTCTCTTGTTTTTTTTCCATTCTTCAAGAAATTCTTCAAAGCGTGCCAGTTGAGGCGATTTTTTTATAATAATGAAATTTATTATTACAGATTGACTGGCTTGTCAGCAATCACACTGCCATATTTTCGGCGGGCGAGAGAGCTGCAATAGCTGGCATAAGAGAAAACATTGTAGCATCTATTGCTTGGAGCGAGAAGAACTACAATCAAGTCAACTCATGGTTGAATGATAACTACGGTGATAATGATGATGATGGTGGTGGAGGTGATGGTGATGATAGTGATGATGGTGGTGATGATGGTGATGATGATGATGGTAACAACGCTAATGCCTTAGCATCTTGCTTCCTTGTGATTATTTCTATCTTCATCACTATTTATAACCGCTAGTAAAACTTTGGTTTAATGATTATTTATTAGAACTTAAGGTAAAATGTTTACTTAAAATTTGTATGTTTTACGTTATGTAGATTTTATTGACAAATGAAAGCTTGTTATATATATAATCTTTATATGATTATTTAAGATTTTTAACTGTGATTATATTAATCCAAAATATAATTATCCGAAATAAATATTTATCTTTCTGTCAATTATTTCCTATTATTTTTGCCAAAAATGCAACTGCGAACCTAAAATAATTGCACAAAATACCTCTCATAAAGCCATAGTATTATTTTTCTGTTTTCATAATTCAACTTAATAAATTCAAATGAACATTATTCAAAAAACATTGGCAACTATAGAAAATTTTAATAATAATATTTGAAACTTTGTTATAAAAATAAATATAAATATTTGAAATTTTAAAACTTTATAAGTTTTTTATAACTAGCAACTCGCCCTCGCTCCGCTGGGGTTCGTATATTGTAATGTTTAGTGTAGATTTATCAGAGACGAGATATTTTTCCGAAGTAAAAATCGTATATATTGACCCGGATAACCAGCTATAATTTCCATTGTCCAGTGGTTTTCTCGTGATGCGATCACAGACAGATAGACAGATAATCTGAAAAATATAGATTCGGCCTCTGTATCAGTAATAATGACTATTTCAATAAATTTTTTAAAAAAATATTTAATGTACAGATTCGACTCCGTTAGAATTTTATTATATGGATATATATAACCAAAAATTTTGCTTAATAGGCATTTAATATAAAATAATAATAACATGCACTTCAAATTAAATATGAGATAGGGTCTACTTATAAATAAATAAGCACAATGTACATACTCATAACTTTCTATATCTGTATATTCTCAGAATATATAAGTTAAGCTATGAACGTCGAAGGCGGTATAACAGAATGGAGTGGACTGCGCCCCTCCCTTTGCATCATTCCACGAAGCAAGAATTCGTTGGTATACTATTATAATAACATTCATCTCCGTTTACAGTACGAAGAAAGTATAAGAGCAGTATACCCAATCAAGATATCATATCTCAATTTACTTTAAAGATAAATATGATAATGTCAATCACACCAACGAGTATAACGCTATAATGCTGATATATTAAAAGAAATCGAATTTGGAATTTAGTACGTCACATCATATTCATATACGCGTGAATTAATTTAGCTTTTTACGTCCCACTGCTGGGCATAGGCCAATCCAATTTCTGTACTTATTATGTACACACACTTTTTCATGTAGGAGCATGAATATTGTGAACATCTCATGTCAAGAAATTGTAGCCCAGGAGACTCTTTATTGCTAAGAATTGTATAATTTTGCGTCTTAGTCTATTTAGTAAAGATAATAATTTCATTTATTTCGCTATTATTCTTACTATTCCAAATCTATATAACCCAATCTATAAACTTTTCTATCTATAAATTTTACAATCAATGAAACATAATAATATATTTCACACCTATACATTTTCTCTATGTTATTTTAAAACCTTACCTCGACAAATATTGCACATATCAGTTAATCAGTTGTTGGAAAATATAAAATCTTTTATCTCGTCTCAGTTTGAACTGACATTATCGGAATTCGTTTGTCAGTATCCAATTCGACCTATTTCGCATTGACATCACTGTGTGTGAAGTGGCCGTATGGGACGTTGCGTTTCGCTGTGGACTGCCGGCCTTAGGAAAAATGGCCCGGACTAAGTATAAGTGTGGAATAAGCATTGTTTCTTGTATATTCCTTTTGGATTTCGTCAATACGCTGCCAATACTTCGTTCACCGACATTAGAAACGACAGACCGTATTTTTACAACTACTAACTCACTACAAGATGAAGTATTAGTTGAAGAACCAAAGAATTTTACAGTTGATTATAATACTCAAATATTGGATGCTGCAATAAACAACACATTCAACGTGACTGGAAGATCTCTGGAACGACAATCAGAGGTTAACATTCGGAGAGGACAAGAAGTCAGGAACTACTCTATTCAAATTACAAGAAATGGCGATAAATTTATTGGGCAGGCTATTTTAAGTGTCCGTGTTAGTGAAGGAAGAGGAGAAGCGTTACTGTTCCATATGGTAGACCTTGAAGTGCATCGTGTTCAACTGGGGATTTTAACAATTGCAGATGCATCAGATGTTAATTTTGATGCATATGATGATTTATTAGAAGTACAAGTACCAGAAGAACCTGCAACGACATATGTAGTTATTATAGATTATTCAGCAGACTTTAGGAGTGATGGGATGGGTCTTTACATGGGACATTTTGACGACACGTAAGATGCTTTTCTATAATATTTTCAATAAAATCCTACGGGTCTTAGTAACGTCTCAATTTACGAATTAAATGGCAATTTAAATGTAACTCTCATCCTATTTAATATTTTTACTTTATTTAACTGTTTATAAAAAACTAGAATTATCTTATAATTATTCAATAAAATATTTATTTAACCTAACCTTGTCACAAAAACTTGATCCTGAGAAGAGCTCCTTCATTTACTTGAAATAATTATGCTCAGTCAGCAAATTTATAATTAAGTGGTATTATACAAAATATGAATTAAATGTCAATGCTATTTTTTAAATTCTTAAGAGAGAGAAAATAATTATGTATGTTTTAGTGATTATATAGCTATGAACCTCAATCCAACCAATGCAAGACGGGTGTTTCCTTGCATGGACGAGCCATCTCTTTCGTCGATTGCATCATTTACATTTCTAGACATGGAATATAGGAACATTATTGTAAACTCACAATTGGAAGTGGACAGCCAGTACGTAAAATTATTTACATAACTAGTATTATATTAAATAGCACTTAAATATTTATTAGGCACTAGGAGAACCCGCGGCTTCGCCCGCGATCAAATTACGAAAAAATAAAACAAATTTTTCGCAATACATACTTTATTGTTTGCTAACATAAATTCGTGTTTCATATTATTTCTTAATTCCTCTACGACCGCGGACACGCCGGCGTTACAGTTAACAATAAATTTCTTAGTTTAATTAATTTCTTAAAATTTTACATGGAGGTGTTAAATATATATGTTAAACGAGATATATTTTGTAAATAATTTTTCATTTTAGATATTTAGCAAGCTCCACTAGGTACCTGTATTTTTTGCACATTTTTCTACACCATCTTTCTAAAGTTAGAGAGTATTGATGCAACTCGCATACAATGTTTACAACTTTAGATTCATGTAACTCGGCTACTATGGGCTTTTTATCGATATATTTTTAACTATAACATACTAGCAGAACCCGAACTACCGAACCGAAAAGAAACTACAAAAAAATCTCTAAAAGGGTAGTTTCATACAAACTTTTACTCCCAGTTTTACCCCCTTATAGGATGTATTTTGAAAAATGGAAATGGAAAAAAAAGTAAGAGAGTTTAATGAATGTGTGTAATATAAATGGGTGTAAAATAGAGAATGAAAAAAACTTTCATTCCCTATTTTACACCCTTATGGGATGGAATTTCGTAAAATGCTAAAACATGTATTTATTTAATTGTATGAAGAGCATTAATACCAAGTTTCAAGTATATCTGATCATAAATAATTTTTTGCCCATATAAACTACATTACCCCCTTTTACCCCTTTAAGGGATGAATTTCGAAAAAAACTAATAAACACATTTCTTATTTTTTATTTTAAAGCTAAATATATGTATAGATTAGCTGTATCAACAGATGTTTTATTCAATTTTTAATAAATTTCTTTTAGATCTTTACACTCAAATTCCTTAGGCACTTTTAATCTCTCCCGGATTTTGCAAGTTTTCGGGCATCTTTTCCAATATTTTTTTCATAAACTTATTCGAACAATTGTGAACATTTTAAAATGGAATGTAGGGTCAAAAAGGGTAAAATAATAGGAAAATCGGTCCAGCTGTTCTTAAGTGATGCATCCATGATGAACAGCATTTCATGTACTTTATATAATGAGTGTACATTAATTTAAAAGAAAAACTTCATTCGCTAAATACCAACAAAGCATATTTTTTATACAAACGATTACTAAAATTGAAGCAACGCCCATGAACCTAATTATTTAGTCTCTCATAATTTAATGCATGTAATGTATCATTTTAGAACATCATTTAGGCCATTAGAAAGTCCGGTTTATCTTTGGGGTATGGTTGCACATAACTTCGACGTTACTAATATTCCCAGTGTAAATGTGCAAATACATACTCGCCAAAGAGTTTCAAATCAGAATACTGTAACTTCAGTGGCTATTATTGATTATTTCAATGCGCTCAACGAATGGACTGAAAAGCCATATGATGAAATAGTAATGAACCAAAATGAAAGAATGAATATAATAGCCGTTCCTGATATTTCTCGAGATTGGACCGCGTTGTCTACGGTCTGTATTTGGTAAGTTACAAAACTTTATTACATACTTTATTTTAAAACTATTTAAAACTATCAACGTAAATCAAATAGTGGTTTAATTATTCCCAGCTCATGTATAGATCTACAAAAACGTTTACATGCTCTCATTCATATTCACACTTCAGTTATATGTATAAACAATATTATTTTTTATTTTTCATAAATTTTAACTATATATAACTAAGAGAATCTGATTAAAAAGGCTATAACAGATGAACAAACGGATATGATGTAATTTTAACGTTGCGTTTGCCTACGAAACCTTTACAACGTAGCTAAGTAAACTCTATGCTATGAATACAAATCGAGATGTAGGTTAAAATTATGTTACCCTTTCATTGCAACTCTTTATTATATCTTGTTTTACTTTTTAGGGAGCCTTACATACTAACTGAAAATAATAACGCTATAAAACATAGAAAAATAGCACTTGTAAAGATTGCCGAAGGGATGTCGAGGCAATGGTTCGGCTACGTTCTACGCCCTAGCAATTGGAAAGATCAGTGGTTCATAATTGGTCTTAATACCTACGTGGCTTATGAAATTGCGAAAGGGGTAAGAAAAGGCGTTTATTATGATAAAAACTATAACTTAAAATACATATTGAATTAAAGCAATAGTAATAACTAATATATATTTTTCTTGCTATGAATTATAGTAAAATTGATATAAAGGTCAATTATTACTTTTGAAAGCACTTTCTGTTTGCACCTCACTTATTCCTCTGGAACGACAGTTCGACATTACCAGTGAGAGACAATGTGAACTCTGAGTCCCAGGGACGTAAACACGGACCGCTTCCCAACTACATGCTGCTACTAGGAATTCCGTGATAAAAAAATCCAGTAAATACTTGGACTCTTGGCTACAAATATTTTTAGGATAATTATAATATGTATATACCTAATTTTAATTTTATAATATTATATAATTTTTATCTAATAGTTCAAATCAATTCAATTCTTTTGTTTAGTGGCTCTAGCTAGTTCCTACGAATTTAGTTGCAAGCATTTACGTAGGGTAATTAGTAAATAATTTTGATGTTGTAGTTCCAAACTGATCCAAGTGGTGAAAACGAATTAATGATTGATTTCAACACAATATTTGTAACGGATGTGATACAAGAAGGTCTTCTATGGGATGCTTATGCCGAATCGGGTCGAATTGAGCCAGAAAATGATATATTTGAAGAAAATGAAATTAGATTGCTTATGAATGGTGTGATGCAATATAAAGCTCCAGCGTTAATAAGAATGATTAGACTGGCTTATGGTACTGAAGAAGATGAAATAATGCGTACTGCAGTTAGAGCACTAATAAAAAACAGGTAAACTTTTATGACAAATTATAAAGACCTTTGTCACAATACTAGGTAGTACTGTGAAACTTTGGTTAATATTTGCTATGATATAAAAACATTATGTAGTAAGTTAGTAACTTTCTTTAATGATTTTCTTCGTTCATCAAAATATACTTTAATTACTATTTTTTCCTGTGTATCATATGTTTTGATGTTTATTTTATGTAGAAGTTACGCAAACGTCGGTAGTATAATTAATTTATTTCTGTTAAATCAAAATAGTTATCATCCACAATTTTTATATAATTGATATGATCAAGAGTATTAAATACGAATATGTAACGTCTTTTGTTCATTTTTCTAAATTGTATCAGATAATATTGTAATAGGAAATATATCAAATATTAGCATTTCATATCATTTTTTATTGAGCATCCAAGCTCTAGTGTAAAAGAGTACACTGAGGCTTGAATTGGATTTGATTGGATTGGATCGGAGCTTACAATATAAAAACAATTATTATTTGTATAGGCCTATGGAACTGTTGACATCTGATGACTTTTATGATTCTCTAAGAAATAACGGAGATGCAAGATTTGATTTAGAACAGTGGGTCAATAACAACGGTTACCCCTTAATTACTGCTTCGATTGTGCCAAATGGAGTACTTCTTATTCAGGTAAGGACATACAATTTACATATTAAAAAAAACTTTAAATAACTGCTTCAACTACCTAACGGCAATTTTGGGTGGATCTTTTTTCTTAAATTGATCAATAATATTGATATTGACTCCTCTTTGCACCGTTGAAATTGTTCGAAAATGTTATTTTAAATATAAATTACTAAAAATATTGTAAATGGGAAAATTCTTTTCGTTTATGTATTACCTTTTAATGAAAATTAGCAAAAACGTAGCCTAAAATCTAGTGTGGGCAGAATAGAACCTGTGTAATCATAGCTCCAATTGAATTGGATTAATTAATCGGAAGGCAACCGAGGGCTGCAACCTTGAACCCCACATAAGAGGGGGTACTCCGACAGAAACTGGTTGATATTTGTTAGTTTACTAAATACTTTTTAAGTACCTCAAACAATAACGAAAGTCATATGACTTTAATTTGTTTAACATATTAAGAAGCCTGTACACCATAATTGGTCCCCACACTCCACTTCTCTAATGGGATATTGCAATTATGTATCTTAAAGCCACTTTGCGTGCCATAATATTTAGAGTAGCATAAAATTGAAAATCATGTGATTTTAGAAATTTCAATTATGATTTTTTATTAGGAACCGTTCAGTTATACACCTGGTGGCACAACTGCAGGTTTTAACGTTCCAATTACATTTACAACAAGCTCAAATCCAGACTTCAATAATCTTTACACTGATACTTTTGTGGATAATACAAATCATATATTGCGAGTAACTCTTGAAGAAAATGATTGGATTATATTAAACCTTCAAGGGCAAGGTAAGTTTATATTTAATAGTTTAACTAGTCTAAGTTTATATGACACTAATGATTTACCCTCGCTTCGCTCGAGTGCTATCCTGGGTACGTTTTAAATTGATAAAAATAGTTATTGCGAGTGTATCTTAGGAGATAGACATTTGCTATTGCGGACTTTTTTGTATGCCTTTTTGATACCTACAATTTTCTGGTACATTATTTTGATTTATCTCTTAAGATTTAGCCAGCTTTAGCCATGTAAATTTCTTAAAAAGACTCGATAGAACATGTTATTTTGTTTTCCCACGGGAATGAAAGATTTTCCTGATACAGGTATCCTAAATGTTGGTTCGAGTTATTATTATTTATCACTGCACAAAATGTAGTTAACATTGGCTCAGTACTTTTTACGTGAAATACGCAATGCAAAAAGTACTGAACAAAAAGTGAAAATTAAATGTAGGTACTGAACCGACATTTACAGACAAAATGTTCAATATTTTTTTGTGGTTTAAATTCTACGTTACAATACGTTATAAATAGTCATTGTTTTCAAAAAATATTTCATGTACAGATTTCGCTTTGTTACGGTTTTATTACAAGCTTTTATTTAGTTTCACCTGTCCCGGTCTGTGTAATGGAATCTTGCAAGTTAAATTTGACCCACTTCTCAGTGTCCGATTAAGCTGAAAGCCACACTAGTTAACATAGTTCCCGATACAATGCGGTCATTTTTTAAAATAGGTAAATCTAGCTTCTTGAATCTAGAAGCTTGTCTTCTATATCGTATAAATTGTGTAATGTAATAAATTGTTGGGTTTGATTCAATTTAAAGTTTGTTTCCTTCTTTTTAGAGCATTTGAATAAATCTTATTTTAAAAAATGTTTTTTTTTTACAATTAATTTTGAAAATGCATAGATTTGTCTACCAAAGTTCGTGTAGTCAGACTAAAACAGCTTCAGTGATTTGTATGAAAATTTTACAGATAATACACACAGGCTATATTTTAAAAATTTTATTTATTTTTAAATTTTAAAATTTACCAAAAGTAGGAACGTGCCCGACTGAAGCAGGAGTAACAATTATTAATAAAATATGTTATAGGTTACTACAGAGTAAACTACGATCCGATTTTGTGGGAGAATCTTATCGAAGCATTGGACGATCCTGAGGAGAGAGAAAACATACATCCATTAAACAGAGCAACAGTATGTATATATAACACTTCTTATTAACGTTGACACTCCTTATGTACGTACATAATACTCGTATATTTAATACGCCATTTACGACGTATTCTAATAACCCATCTGTTATATATAGAAGACATAGTATATCACAACCTGGATTCTATCAGATTTCCTCTATATACATATATCTATATAGATAGGTCTTCTCCTGCTGTGCCAATATAAATATAAAGTAGATAAAATAAAACATATAATTTTAAGGAAAACAAATATAAATTATAATAAATTTTCTAATTTTTTTTTTTTTAAATTTCACTTATCACTTTTTGTATGTGGCTTTCCTTTTTTATCATGAAAAATGCTTGAACCTCCCATATCTTTATATTATCTTTTTATTCTTTACGAACATGATCGAATTGTTCGTATTTAGATATTATTATACTTCTTAAAACCTAAATTGTTTTACTTTTTTCAGCTTCTCGACGATGCTCTTAATTTAGCTCGGGCTAACAGAATTTCTTATGATGTTGCGTTACAAGTCGCTTTTACCATACAACATGAAACTGAGTACGCTGTTTGGCGAGCATTCGTAAGAAATATGGATTTTATAAGGAAACGTATAGTTGCATTTGCAACGATCGAAGAAGATCGAGATGACGACATTTATTTGGTAATTATTTTATATAAATTTAGTGCCTTGAAAAAAATAGGTTTGTATATAAAACATAAAAGTAAAATATAAAAGTATTTTTATTACCATTTCACTTATGTTCCGTTCTGTAATGTACACAGTAGAGCTAATGCCCACGTTTAATTCTGGGTATACCACAAGATTTTCGACTTAAATTACCTAATTAAGTAAACATATCTTAGTTATGGAAATGAAATTTGGAGTTAACTCTATTTTTTCAGAGGTTAATACGACGAATAATGGGGACATTTGAAGAGGAAATAGGTTTCATTCCTCCTCTGGGTAACGAGCCTGTTATGCAGGTTCTTACGCGAGGACTGGTAATGGATCACGCTTGTCGCTCCGGATACGAGCCCTGTATAGCGGCGGCAGTGGACTTGTTCTACGATCCTAATGACGATGGAGCAGTGTAAGTTTTAAATTTTCTCAATCATTTGCTATGACAAATAGCCAGCATCACTCAATACAAATTTCTATTTTCTTATCTAATATTAGAAATAAAAAAAAAACGACATCCAGGTCCTAAAATTTAAAAATAACTAAACGGAGGTTTTCATTTAGATAAGATACCTAATCAGATATTTTCGAAGTTGGTGCCAGTAGTTGTTACATGATGTTCCTTGGACACTGGTAAAGGTACATCATGTATGTATAATGTATAATATGTAAAAAAGGTACCATGGAAAAAAAATAAGAATAAAGAGAAGAAACAGTAATTAAAGTAAAAAGAAAAATATTAGTTGAGTTTGATTCTGAAGAATCCAAATATTGCTGTTACCTTAGAGTTAATTGATGTTTGTAGGGTTGATGTGTTCAGCCATTTGTCGTAGCCTTCAGTACAAATCTATACATATAATAAAATTGTAACTAAACCGAATCTGTACATTAAATATTTTTTGGAAAATCTTATTGAAGTAGACATTATTATCGATACAGAGGACGAATCTATAGTTTTTAGAATTTTTGTCTGTCTGTCTGTCTGTTATCGCATCACGGAAAAACCACTGGAGGGATTTTGATGAAATTTAGTATGGTGATAACTGGTTATCCAGGTCAACATATAGGATACTTTTTACCGCGGGAAAATATGTAATTTCTGAGAAAAAATACGAAAACTGCAATCTAAGAGTATACTAATTTGTAAAACCTAAGATTTTGGTTTTTGGTTATCTGAACATGGGCGGAGCCGCGGGCAATTCTAGTAAAAAGTAAAACTATAGTAGCAACTGCAAGTGTTTTTCTTAAATTGATCCTAAGTCTAAAGTAGAACGGGTAAGTTCCAGGTATGTTGTACCTTGGATAGTTTTCCCTTTTTTTTCAAACGGTTTTCGTTCCTAGTATTTCATATTATGTGCAGATTTTATTAATGCAATATATATAGTCAAATAATTATTATTTGATCTTTAAAAATGAATTTATGTAAAAACCTGGCCTAGGTACTACAGGTTCCCTTACACGCTATTATGCTTATATTATGTATATGTACAAACTGCCTCGGCGTTGTAGTGGCTAGTATATACGGCTGCTCACCCGAAGGTAATGGGTTCGAGTCCCGGGTCGGGCCAAGTTTAGTTATTGAGTCTTTCTGTATTGTTAGCCTCAGTAACAGCTCGGAGTTCGGAAGTTGGCGGTGTTGCACCCACCTCAGAGAGCATGTAAATTCATCGGTCCTGCGCCTTAACTCACACCGGTCGTATCGAGTAGTTGTCCCACTGGAGTATGAGACGGACAGGAATAGAGAGTGCACGTTGTGTCTGCTTGCACCCGCGCTGCACTATAACATCTCCTGCGCAATTGGCTAGTCTCAATGAGATTGGCGACGTCGGTCAGAAGGGCTTATTATTATTATATGTATACGTAAATAATCAATTATAAAAGATTAATTACAATAGTATTTAATATTAACAGGAATCCTAACATACCTCCGGAAATAAGGCCGGCAGTTTACTGTACTATGGTTAGAGAAGGAGGTGAAGAAGTCATTGAGGCTCTGCAAAGTCGCCTTGAAATTGAAAATTCAAGATATGAACGTCTCGTCATCTTAGAATCACTTGGCTGCTCTCAGGATGAAGAATTTATTAGAACGTAAGATTATCTCTAACTATTTTTTGTGTCTCTTATGGATATCCATTGCATTTTCAGTTTTAACAGCAACATTTATAGTACATACTTTTATACTAATATAGAAGAGGAAAGATTTATTTATCTATTTATTTATTATTGTATAAGGCGATAAACTCTGAAACTCCTGAACCAAATTTAATTAATTTATATTCAATTGATTAAGTAATAATAAAAAAATTAGCTGATTAATTAAATAATGTTAATTTTAAAACTTATATAATGTTAATTTTTTATAATATTAACTTCTCGTAAAGCAAAGATAGCGGCCTATTGAATCATATTTTGCGAAACGTAAAACGATATTCAAAGATAACACGCATTGGACACATTATTGGATCTTTACAAATAAGGTCTAACTTTTAAAACTTTACTTTTTAAACTTTCTAAGAAATTTTTTTAAGAACCCATACTACCCGAGTCATATGACTCTATATTCGTAAGCATTGTTTTGTCCGAGTAGCCTCCATCCCTAACTTTTATAAAGGCTGCCAAAATTCCTTTATATAGGTACAGACGTTAAATAGTTTTTGATACATAAAATATTTTTAGTTACGTGTTTGTCAGTTTTGCAACCGCAAAATTATCTTTATTTTCTGTAATATTATGTTAAAAAAATAATATGAAAAACTGAACGTAATTATCCTATCGATACAATGTCTTCATATTGTGAATACGTAAATATTTTACTAGTATTTGCCTATACAGAACCCTCAAAGCGACAGTCGAATCCATACTTGTCCGATTTTTCAATTTAAATATTACAACCATTAACATTATTTAATAAACGACAGTAAAAATTTACATTTTCATTTAAAAAAATCCGCAACAAAATATTACTAACTAGCGACTCACTCTCGCATCGCTTGGGTTCGTCCCTAGCTTGAATCCAAAACAAACTTTCATCCCCTTTTTTACCCTCTTAAGGGATGATTTCCGGGATAAAAAGTATCCTTTGTCCTTCCCAGAGTCTCAAACTATCTTCTTACCGAACTTCATCTAAATCGGTTCAGCAGATCCAAAGATTACCCTTACAACGTCACAAACTCACAAACTTTACCTCTTTATAATATTAAGTATAGATATAAAGCAGAATAATTTGATCTTACCGCAGGTAATCTATTTATTATAATAATATCATGGATTGGATTATAAATTACGTATTTTAAAATCACATGGCGGCATCTTTTGATAATTTTCTAAATTACAAATCAATAAATATTTTGAAGTTATTTTAACGAATAAAATTTCGCCTATTAACACGTTTTATTAGGAAAAGCTATTTATAAAAGTATTTTTTTGTTTTTCTTTTACAAGTTGCTTGCCTTGATATAATGCTTTTAGTTTAGCGTCGTTTTATTCCAACCAGTTTATTTATTCTTTCTCAAAAATACCTAAAATGTAGCGCCCTTTGTAAAAAGTATCCAATGTATTGATTTATGTATGTTGTATAGTGTTGTATAATCCGGATAATCAGCTATCATCATATCAAATTACATCAATATCTGCCCAGTGGTTTTCCCGTGATGCAATCATAAAGAAACAGACAAAGATTCTGAAAACTATAGATTTGGCCTTTATATCGATAATAATGACTAATTCAATAAAATTTTAAATATTTACGATCAGCTTTAATTTTCTTAAATGTATAGATTAATGTAATGGGGTAAAAACTATTCATATTTAATATTAAGTATATTATGTGTATGAAAGTATGTTTATATTTTTACAGATTACTTTTGGAGACAATCGACAATGCTGCTCCTTACGATACGGAAGAAAGATCGAAAATATTCGCTGCTATTGCGTCTGCGAGTGCTGAGAACGCGATGCTCGCAATGTTGTTTATGTCTACACGTACAAATGAGATAAGAAATTCGTAAGCATTATTTATATTTTATTCAGCAATAATATTATTATTCACCAATATATAAATCCCTAGGCAGATTTTTTATACTAGATTTTTCTATTAGCCTTTTTAAGACTTACAATTTTCTAGTACGTTAGTTTGATGTATCTCATAAGGCTAAAGCAGCTTTAGCCAAGTAAGCCAGTCATGGTTCAGCCATTTTGTATTAAACATGTACACACAAACAGTCCTCGTTTATCGCTCTCTGTGGCATGGTTTAGAAGAAGTTAGCGGAGAACAGACAGAGGAAAACTTTTTTATACTATGTATGGAGACGTGTGCCTGAATATTTTTTTTATTTTCCCACGAAAATAAGTCGTATAATTTTTAAACCTGCTACTTTTGGTCACCTACTACTAATAAATCAATAAATTTTTGTATAAAGGATAAATTGGCTGAACTGATTAATATGTTTCCCCGTGAGAATAGGCGATTTTCCTGCAGTAAAAAGTATCCTAAATGTTGACCAGTATAAAAAGTTATCACTATTAAAATCCATTTTGTACTTTTTGCATGAAAGTTAACCAGATATACAGACATAGAGACAGAAAAAAAAATCAATAACTATTGTTTTGGGATCTATACTCTGTACACACACAATCTCTATATAAAAGTATAATATATAAGTATAAGTCTATATACAATACGCGACGAAAATTATGTACAGTAGATTAAAAAATACACGAGCATGAGCAAGTCGAACTTATGCATCGAAAGTTTCCTACCATTTTCATTTTATTTTAGGGTTTGTGCTATAACCATTTCGAGTAAAAATTTATTATTTTGTGTATTATATATTGATTTTTGTGATGCAGCACAAATATACAAATATAGCTATTTTTTTAATTTTCCCCATTTTTTTAGGTACGGTGGCCCTGAGAAACTGGAAGAATGCATATTTGTTTTATCAGACAACATGGTGACAGATGACTTAGCGCTTGAGGTTATTTTTTTTTATTATAGTTGTAAATTCTTATCAATAATATCTCAGACATTTCAAACAAAATGATTTCAAATAAATTAATGTATTTTTTTGCACTTAAAGTTCTTTACACGCTTTTTAGTCTACTCGCTACTTACTATTGTGTAATGAAAAATCTACGCATCATCGATTTACTGAAAAATAATATTATATGCATAGGTGATATCTAGATTCTAGAGTATTCTTATAACCTGTTGTTATTTATAATTTTCTATTTCCCTTTTATTTCTTCCTAGCTTTCTTTCATAACATAAGGAGAGCCAAGTCCTTTACTAATTAAATTTAGATAAAACCTCTTTCTTATATAATATGTACGTTTTGGACCCTATTTAATATGTTTAACTTAATAAAGAATACGCTTGTACATTATATTATGCATAGTTTAATGTGTATCAAATCTATTCTTTATATGAGGGATGGTAGCTTTGTAAATAAACAACAGTCTGTAATATAACAAACTAGCGACTCACCCTGGCCATGCTTCGCTCGGGTTCGTCCCTACTTACATTTTAAAGTTTAGTATCAATTTCTCAGAGACGAGATATTTTCCCGCAGTAAAGATTATCCTATATGTTGACCCGTATAACCAGCTATCATCATATAAAAAAAGTTTCATCAAAATACCTCCAGTGGTTTTTCCGTGATGCGGTAACAGACGGACAGACAGAAAAATAAACAGACAAACAAAAATTTTAAAATCTATAGATTCAGCCTCTGTATCGATAATAATGTCTATTTCAATAAGATCTTCCAAAAAATATTTAATGTACAGATTCGGCTTAGTTACAATATTATTATTTATGTATAGATGTATAGATAGAGTGCTTTTATGTCAAGGCAGTTTGAGATAACGCGTTCATTTAGAAAACTAAGTGAAGCGGGAAACGGAAACCCGGATCGCGCACCTCTGATATTTTAATATACGAATTATTTTCAATATTTTACTACTTGCCCCTTTTTTCTTGTCTTAGAGAACCTAGCAAGTTTTTGAAAGAATTATGGAGTCGTCTGCCCATATTTCGCCAGCGTGATAGACTATGTGACCTGATCCGTCTCACACTAAGATATTTAATCAATTGTGGAACTTATATTTATTATCATTTTTATGATTGCAGTTTACGAGATGGGTGAACTCATTAGATTCTATAAGCAACATTGAAGACTCTGACTTGGCAGCGGCAAATGCAAGAAGCCGAATAAATCAAAATATAAATTGGAACAACAATTTGATGGAAGATGTGTATGAATGGATTGACGAGAACGATGCTCCTACTTTATTTGTATCTAGCTTTTTAATTTGTTTAACATTATTCGTATCTTTATTTAATAACTAAGTTGATTATTATAGTTCGTTTTTATTATTAGTTTATTGGGGTTATTTTTATATTAGCATTTTAGAAATAAGGTGTTAATTGTTATTGGGATACACAAGTATGGTGCAATTAGATTTTTGATACTCATTGCTATCATTTCTGATAGTACATGTGGTTTTAAAGATCTATAGTGGAATGTTTAAAATGGATTTTTATTTTAAAAACCATTATTAGAATGAAATTTGAATTTATTTGCTTATTTTATTATATCGAATAGGGTAGTTAAATAAGTTATTTTAATATTGCATTGGTTATTATAGGTTTATGCGTTAAATTTAATTAGTATATTGCGTCAGTATTGCACAAAGTGAATAGATCATAATTATTTTTATAAGTATATTTTAATTTTGTACTGCATTTTCACTCAAATTATTCTATAATTTACGTGTTATTGGTATAATTTTTCGGTTATTCTAGAAGTTATGTTTATAGTTTTAATTTTTTTTAAATGGAGCAAACGCGTCCTCTTGCTTCATTTTTAAAACAATTAAACAATAATTAAAATTAAGTTTTTTATTATTCTTATTAATTGTAATATAACTATGGTTTTATAATTTTTATTATCTTATGATGTTATAAAATAAAATAAATATCGCATAAGTTTAATCTTATTATGTAATATGTACATAATACAAAATAACAATAAATAGCTATAGAATAAGAGTAATTAGTTTTATTTTGACAATAATATAAAATTAAATTCAATTCAATTACACTTTATTGTACAACAAAAAAAAAGTTATAAACAAAAATACATAATACACAAATAAAATATGTACAGAAATCGAAATATTATTTTACTTGACTAGAAAAGATTATTGTAAATTTAACATTAATAATATTACACAATTGAATTACATCTATTAGTAATAAGTAATAACTTAATAAGGCACTTTATTTTAAGCTGAACATAATACGTTATTTCCTTCAGCCCTTATAAGGAATGTCAATTACAAAATATAATTCATATATTGAAGAAAAATTCGGCAGTCTGTGAATTTTTGGGCAGTTTATATGTAAAAATACAAAACTAAAGTAATACATTTTAAAAAATTGACACAAATATTTATCATAGAAATAATTAATTATTATTCATTAAATTAAGAAATATTCCTAGAATTATAAAGAACAAAGAAGCCGTTGACATCATCCCTTTATTGATCATTTGCGATGAAGTTACTGAGTTCTGAAACAATAATAGTTGATTTTAGTTAATTTTAATGAACAAAAAATAATTTACCTACAGATATTTGACGACACGTTTGGCTCAGTTTGTAGTGACCCTACTTGCTGTGCCAGCGGTCGCGGGTTCGAGTCCCGCTGGGGGCATTCCTTCGTTTGATGAGCATGAATGTTTGCACTCCAGTCATGGGTGTTTATATTTATAATATGTATGTATTTAAAGTTATATATGTGTAGTGTATCAACTATCTGGTATACATAACACAAGCCTCGTAGGTTACTGTGGAACTAGATGGTGTTGTGTGTTAATGTCCTAACATATTTATTTATTTATATTATGTAGATAGGTATCACAGAATATATACCACGAAAAATCATTGTATATTCCGTTTTTTAAATTCTTCTCATATTATTGTTGTTACAACTAACTAAATATTTCTATAAACATAATAAAATAACTTTAATAACAATTGGAATCTCCAATCTATTTTTAGGTAAAATTTTATTTTATAAATATTAAAATCGTTCAAGTGCAAATCGGGCTCCGTCGCCGAGGATTTGTAAAAAATTCTAACGCGGTCAAAAAAGGAAGTATAATGCAAAGAGCATATTTTATGTGTAATGCTCGTATCATTTTGCGTTTATAGTATTATTTTATTAAGTTATCAATCTCTCTAATAATCTAATAATCTGTTAAAATAAAACAGCTACCTAAAAAGATACCCACCATTGAAAGTTAGGACAGACGGACTAGAGAATGCAGATGAATAAAGAGATAGCGTCCAGAAATACCGTAAAAAGAAAATTCTGAATAAAGTTTAGTTTTCTAGGGAATTCTGTGGAATCAGCTAAGCAGTATAAACTCTTTTCATGGTACCACAATATTTTCTTGAACTTAAAAAGTATATAACTACAGAAACATATTTATGTCAGACCCTAGATAATATTTGTATCACAAATGATATTAAACTATATGTATAGCTACTATGAAGATACCCCATCCCATCCAAAAAAAAATGGACGGCTCTCATTAGGCTTATTCTTCGGGCAATTTTATTGCTTAAATAGACGATAGATGGCGTTAATCTAAAAACTGCAGATTTATTTTATGTTTATAATTAATACATGTAAAGTCATTCCATTGATATTATTTGTATTAATTTTTCTTTTTTCCTTGAGACCCCATGCTTCTATAGACCATAGCTAAAAATTAGATTTTAAGTCCTATAACTGAGAAGCTGGGTTAATGCATTGGTATAATCTATATCTGTATGTATGTGGATAGTCAGTGAAATATCTAACTTTACGCTGCGACCCTTAGGAGCAGAGTACTTCCGGTAACGGTAAACGGTAGCTAGATATTAAACATAAGTACCTCAGTAGTGCTAGTCGTTGTAGTCGTCGTCTTTATAATATAAGAGGGTCTCGGTTCTCCCACAGGTATTCTATATAAAAATCTATTTTCATTTTGACTGAAAAAAATTAAATAATATTATAAGCATTGTAATACACAATTAGTTTTCAGGCAATATGTACAACTGGCATAGTTTTCTATGGCAAAAGTTTCGCGCAGGACTGGAGAAAAGGATGAGAGGCACAGGATGAAACACTGTCAACTTCCCAACTCCGTGATGTTACTGAAACTCTCATAACAGAAATACATAATAACAAAACTTGGTTCGACCCTGGGTTCGAACCTACGAACTCCGGGTCCGCAGCCGTACATGTTAGCCACTAAATCACCGAGACTTTTAATATACACTAATATCCTATGAATTACTATCTTTCAACATACTCGTACACATAACATTATCAGGGTGATTCGCGTAGTTCGTGCAAATTCCATGGAATTTCTTAATTTCAAATTATTCTCGAATAACTTAGTTTTTTTTATGTAATATCATTAATATATATATATATATATATATATATATATATATATATTCGATCAACCTCCTATAGTTTCTACCTCTCTCCTATTAATAATTATGAAATTACAGTCATATCAAAAATACGAATGAGATGGTAATGAGAACACTAAAGAGATGAATGATTTTGTCTTTAAATGAGAGAAGTAGATGTACGAAGGCAGTGATACAGAAAAGAAGACAATGATACAAAGTACTATTAATCAATTATTTTTAATATTAAAATATTCAATGTACCTATTAATGATTATACAAAAATTAAAGTTGTTCTATAATTGTATTAATGATTAATTATTATTATTATTTTTGGAAGTATGAGATCAAAAAAGTTTTTTTATAACAAACAAAAAATAAGACTTACAATTAGTGTTAATTTAAACAAAAATAAATTTAAGTTTATCTATTTAACATTTTTTTTAATTTTAGAAAATATTCATATCATCATCATCGCTATCTTCACTCCAAAAGTCAATCACTCGATATTTGATCTTATTTTCACTTTTATCCTGATTTTCTTTTTCATCTTCACTTTTATACATTATAAATTTCTCAAAGTCTGTTTGGTATGTATTTTGATTATTTTTCTCTTTAGTAACATAAAAATTGACATTATCCCAATCATTAATTTTAACATCCGATAGTATTTTTATTTTCGGCGAGTGAGAGGTAATTGAAGATTGATCTTTGATTGATGATTTAATTGACATGTCAGTATGGGTTATTGTAAAACATGTGTCGTTTATTTCTTGGATAAGTTCTGGTGTTGTATTTTCATCGAGGAATTCCTGAAATTGGTTTGTATTTATCAATGGAGAAGATAAAGGAATATCATAATAATCAATATGGTTATTTATTATGCCATGACTGCAAATATCTCCATTGCTACATACGAAACAACTTAGTTTTCTTAAACTAATTTTAGAGGTGCCGAATGACCAAAGAGCTTGGTGCACCATCATGGTACCTTTAGCTACCTTTAGGGCAGTTGGAAAACTTCTGATTTTAATGTCTTCTTTGGACACAGTGCGAATCGCAATTTTTACTCTTGATCCAACACAGGCTAAAAAATTTTCTAAGGAGTCCACGTCTCTGCCAAAACGAACTACTTGATCACATGTTCGTTTTAGAACAGCACCAACTCCATCTGGTGCTCCTTTTCCGTGTCCAGCTTCTAAGTAATTCCAGGTCACAGATTTAAGTTGAGGAAAATCCCGGCATAGTTGACTAATCATAAAAAAAATAAAACAATTTCGATATTGACTTGTTGGACTATCAGAAATAAAGTGTATTGTGTCAATTTGGGTTGAAATCTCCAACACATATCCAATGGTAGGAATTAAATGTGCCCAAACAGCCGCAGCATCATGTTGGGTACACTCACTTACAGTGCAAAAGCTGTATTCTTTTTGTATTCCAACTTCCGGGTCTATCAAATAAATGACACATGTGTGCAGAGATAATTGCATTCTACTACCACCAAAGTGAAAATTCTGGATTTCTTCGTTATATTTAACGCAGTAGTTCTCACTAAAATCTACGTGAAGGACTACTTCGTGTGGAGTGAGATTATTTGAGGTCTTATATATTTTTGTATTGAGCCAAAATATTGTTACAATGTTTCATATAACCGATAAGATTGCTTTCTAACTGCCTTATAATATTGCGTGGAAAGTCATATATTGTTGTTTTCTTCGTCACAACTTTAGTTTTCTCTTCATCTTTAATAATGTATTTTTCAGGGCTAGTACACCACTTATAATATTTAATTTTTGTATCGTTTCGAAATTCCGTGTAATTTATTTTATTAGATAGACAATTTTCACATGTTCGATTTAAGCACTGGCTACTATTAACATTGCAACACAAGCTTTCTAAGACAGCCGTTCCATTAGGTTCTTTTAGTATCTTATGTGTGTTAAGACATTTTATCAAAAAGTCAATATTAATATGAATTTTGCAGGCGCACGTATTTCTGCTAGACTCCTTTGGATATAAAACCCAAAATGGACGATATTTACAAAATGTTTGATATGTTATCTTGGTATTAGAATTGTGCATAAACTGTTTGTAGAGATTACGTAAAGTATCTGTTAGGTATATTTTCTGCTTTCTTACTTTGTTTTTAGTTATGTACTCTTTTTTATCAGCTGCAATTCTAGTAACTGCATCATCGTCGAAAAAGTCCAAAATTAGTTGCTTTACCGAATTTTCAGCCCTAGTTGTTTTATTTCCTTTTGTATTTCTTATCTTGAATAAATTTGTTTGTGTCAAGAGCTTGTGTTTTTTGAATCTTTCTTTTTCGGTCAATATTATATTAGAGAATTCCTTTTTGTCTTTTTTCCTTAAGCATTTATACCCTTCCTCAACGCTTCTTCTAAGAATATCACCAAATATTAGTTTCCTTTTAATTTCTTCACGTTGTTTTGTGTCCACGTCCCTTACTAAATTATCTATTTTTTTGCAGTCGATGTATCTCTGTTTTTATTCTTATTTTGCATTATTCTATAAAGCATCTTTCTTACAGCATCTTTTTGTTTTTTAGTTTTCTCTATCTCTTGTTTCAAAAAACCGATTTGTTTTTTATGTCGATACCGAAGTTTTCGCAAAAGAGTATCCTTTTTCAGACACTGTGGACAAGAATTACTCGTACTAAGATCGGAATTTTGAGATGAACTACGTTTGGGATTGAAAGCTGGCCTAGCGAGTGGATCTAGTTCAGCTGGGAGTACTTCTGTGTCACTATTTGGAGGAGAGTTATCTAATAACAGCTGTTGTATAGCTTTTTCTTTCTTTTTTTTTCGTAGTGACGTTTCGAACTAATTCTCCACAACTTTCTTTGATTTCTTAATTGTCTCGGTGTCATGTCTTGGGTACTTTTTATTTTTTTCTGTTCTTTTCTTTTAAGATATCTGGCTTTTTCCTTTGCCTTCTGTTCCGCGTATTTTACGGGATCTTGCTTAATTTCTGCATACTTTTTTTTTTTGTAAACGATCACGCTCTCGTTTTTGCTCTAATGTTTGTTTAGTTTTTTTTGGCATTCTAAATTCTGATAAATCTGTAAAAATACATATAATTTTTAAACTTGCAGAAAATAACTAAGAATCATAAAAAGTACTAATATCTAATGCATAATACAAATATGAATGACAATATATTTTAAGCTTTATTTAGATTCACTAAGTAAAATAATACATGGAATTTTACAAACGACTTGGCCAACTATTTGTAAAGTTGATAAACAATTTATTCGAAAGTGTTTGTATATTAAAACTAATAATTAATTACCATTAAAAAATTCTAATTTACCTTCGTATTGACCTCATTAACATCGCTCTAAAAACCGACGGTAATCGAAGGTAGTGAGGAAGTAGGTAATGAGGTTTGAATACATTTTATAAGATTTTCTTAAAATTATCAAACATACGAAATATGCATGCATATTTTAAATTACGAAAATAATCATTATAATTCATATCAGCTACTTATTTAACAAAACTGTAAATACTTACCAAATAATTTAGACGAAAGGAAAGAGAACTATTTCAGAATAATCACTTCCTGCGGAAATACGAACTCAAATATTCTTTAACCATGTCCAAGCGTGCACCTGCTACGACGTTTGCTGGGTGAATGAGACATGTACGCAGGGCCTGATGTCGATATACTAACGTTTAAGGCCGTACACAGTCTAATATTGAATATTTCTTACTAGCCGAAGGTAATCAGAAAAAATAAATGATAAAAATTTATTAAATAATATTTTATTGCATAGCGAAATTAACATTATTTAATTTAGGTGTAAATGTTGTGTTTTTTGTATAGATTATTTGTATGGTATTTTTTTATATTTAATGCTAACATTTTTTGAATAGAATATAAAAGTCTTCAGAAGAGTAGTAAATGGACACCGAAAGAAATGAGAATTTGTGAAGATTTTTATTTATAACTTATTAATTTTGTGATTTTAATAATTAGATGTTACTTGCATAGAAGCATAACTATATTATGTACAGTTTCTCATATATTCAAATTAGATGTTTCTTAAATAAATATTTCTTATTTTACTTGACGCGTAATATGCACGAAAAAAGCGAATCACCCATCATCATTAATATGACAAATATTATAATCATTAAGATGTCTAAATGCAATATATAAATATATTTTTTATTAAAAATCTTTAACAAGTACGAACAGTATTTTTAAATAATTCAATTACTAAGCCTTAAATATAACAAAGAAATATAATTTACATCATCAGTATCTTTGTAAGAAAGAATATTTGAGACAACGTTAAAAAGATTCAAAATATCTGAACTCATACATTTTGTAAACTACATTAGCCATTTAAATAATTATATAAGCTAATATAACCTACTTACAATTTATGTTCAGCAGTGTTTTTATCCTCAAGTTCGAAAATATTCAACTTTGATGTAATTTTATTTGCACCATTTTGCATTATATTATAGTAACAGGCTTCACGAAAATCAGGGTTCAATCTGAAATAAAAAAATATTTAATGGTGTTAAATCTAAAAATAATGATTCATTTAAAACTGAACTAAATATTTGTGAAGAAATATCTCTAAAACGAAGGCAAAACATAAAAATATAATGTAACAAGCATTTGCTACCGACTTCGCTAGCGTTTTCAATCACCAAACGCAAAATTCTACAGCTATACATCAGTATAGATAAGAAAGGTATAATAACAGAGTAAAAGTTATGCCCAACTGACATTTTCTACAGCTATATACATCAGTATAGATAAGAAATTTTTAAATTTTTTGTCTGTTTGTCTGTCTGTTGTTTATTTGTTCCGGCTAATCTCCGAAACGGCTGGACTAATATATTAGCATTTCACTGGCAGATGTTATAAGATGATGATGATGATAAGGAGTAACTTGGCTACTTTTATTTTGGAAAAAGAATTAGGATTCCGCACCTGAGCAAAGCGAATAAGTAAAGTGCTTATCAAAACTTGTTGAATTTGAATTTTGAATTTAAAACAAACATAATATGTTGAAATCTAATTTAAAATAAGTCAAATAATTAAAGATTAAATTTTAAATTCGACCATAAAATTGACGCTATACTTTTAAAACTCACCTTGCTTTATACTTATAAAAGTTCTCGTAATGCTCTCTCATGTCGTCCAAACACTGTTTATATTTAAGTTCACAAGCAAATTCTATAATGCTGCTTCGAAATAATCTCGTCTTCGGGTACTGCTCGGTACTTTTAAAAAGCCTCCTGTATATTGACGATATTTTGTTTTGCATAAATTGCTAAAACATACATTATGAGATATAATTTTGTCAGTTTCTTCTTTAACAAATAATGGAAGGAAATGTTAGAGAGTAATGATGAAATAACAACTGAAAAGACATTTCAATAGGAATGATTATTTAATACTAATCATTAAATAAACCTATGTATACTACAAAGAACAGTTATAATAATGTCCTTCTGATAGATTTCGGCCACGGCGGCCAATCTTACTGAAAATAGTCAAATGCGCAGGAGATATTATAGTGCACAAGTGTACGCGCAGACACAACGTGCACTCTCTATTCCTGTCACTCTCAAAGTCCTATGTGACGATACTTCGACACGACCGGTGAGAGTTAAGGCACAGTACCGACGGCTTTACGTACTCTCAGAGGCACGGGAGTTAAACACTGCCAACTTCCCAACTCCGGGCTCTTGTTACTAAGGATATCTTAAAAGAAAACTCAATTAAAATGGCCCGACCCAGGACTCGAACCCAGGACCTACGGATCTGTAGCCGTACTTGATAACCACTAGACCACTGAGGCAGTTATAAGAACAGTTAACGTAATATCAAAAGTTTAAAATATAATTAATTTTCATTTAATCTCATTAAAAAGGAAAAAGCAATATACTCGTAGGAATGCAGTAATCATTTCACTACACATTCTGCCCTCAAACCTACTGCACGAAGTACGTGTATAGCTTAAAAATAATATTATCTAAACTTTTAAAATATGCTAAGTTACTAGTAAAACTTTTACGGAATACACAGCGTTAATGTAGAGATTCATTAAATATGTGCAATAAATAATTAATTAGTCTTTCTATATGAATTTTGTTTCCTTTTTGTACAACATAGGACTATTAAAAAATATAAAAGATTCGAAAATTGTAAATTTAATAGAGTACTGTTAAGTGCTAAATTACATATTTTATAATCAAATATATTTAAATACAAGAAGATATTTTTATTATCACTGAAGCATTATTTTCTAAGAATTGTATATTAATAAAAATATATAACAGTAGTCAAAAGAAATATGAAACCTAATTAAATACCTGCCATTCTCCATATAACGTTTTAGTCATTTTTACATCTTCTATCTTCAGAAATTCGAAACCAGTTATAACAGATTCCCAAACGAAGAAACTTATTTCTTTATTCAAATAATCTAGAACTTCTCTAGAAATATCTTCATGTAAGTCACCAGCTGCGTATAAGGCCAGAACATCGTTGACTATCTGAGATATATAAAGAAGTTGAAAAATGACAATATTAAATATTAAATCTAGCGTACACAGTACACACTTATAATATAAACGGCTTATCACTTTTATAATTATTGGTGATCAATGATTGTTGACACTTTTCTTTACGAAATGTTTCATATATCAAAATAGAAGTTGTTAAAAGTCTATAAGTATGAGATAAGTTAGTTAATGTATAATTATTTAATACCAAAATACTGGAAGCTTTTAAAGTGGGAAAGCGTCTGTCAATACGTACTGTCGATATGTACATATGATGTAGAAAATAATGAAAATACATATATTCCCTATAAAAATTCAGTCAAAGTGGCCAATCTCACTGAGACTAACAGTTAACTTCGGTGCTCTCCAAAGCTCTACGTATTACCAAAGACTTTACAAGTTCATGCTTTTACTGAGCATACCTTGGCCAAAATATGCAATAAACTTACAATATAAGTAAAATTAAAAATTCGAACCTACGATTTACAGCCTTTTAATGGACCAATATGGTGGGCCAAAAAAGGCGTCGAATACGAATATATTTCTGACGTAATAGATGCTTTTTTTTAATTTGAATAGAAATATATTTTTAATTTAGAATAGAATTATATATATATATATATATATATATATATATATATATATATATATATATATATATATATATTAGCTGACTAAGAAACTAGCTGATATCTACTACTGACTGAAAGAATTGTTTGAAATAAACTTAAAATTGATGAAGTACACCATCAATAAAACCAATTTATTCAATTAATTCTTTATTATAGTAATTACTCAATGTACCTACTTCGGCTCTATTTAGTTCATTAATCGCTGAGTGATCTTCTTTTAGAGTCTTTGCAATCAATCTCCACGTTTGCTCGTCATAATTGACGCGATAGTAGCCTGTAATAAAATAAAATTTTGATCAAAGAATATGCACTTGCCTAGGATGATTTTAAATAACTGCCTCATATTGACATAATCAAAGCTATTTTCGTTATGTTTGTGTTTGTATGTATGTTTATTTGTGTTCACTAATCTAAGAAAACTGTGAAAATAAATATTATCACTGGCTGATTCATAAATATTAACCACAAGCTAATTTTAAATTAAACTATCTTTTCGGATTCTTTCGCGGATTTATTTTGATGTTTGGTTCCCGACCTTTCGAATGGTTTACCGCAATACTACGAGTACTACTGTTAAGCATGATTGCTGTTGGGAATCAAAAATCAAAATAAATCCGCGAAATAATCCGAAAAGATAGTTTTATTTAAAATGTCAAATATTCGCATAAATTTAAGAAAGTGTTACACAAACTAATTATGATTCTAGACTATCTAATCCTGATTCTATTAGATTATTCTGAATCTAATAGATTGTAAATTTTCAGAGGACTTTATTAAGAAAGTCGACTACAGTATTTTAAGGTTACGTTCTGTTTCAATAAGATGCAAGAAAATTTAGTAACAAAGCAAAGTATAATTACAAAATGTAATTAAATAGGTACGAGATGTATGTGGTAGCGGTTTGTAGCCAACGGGAAAGTTGAGCAATAGGCAATGATTATAGCTATACATTTAGTATATCTGCCACAAGTATATATGGCAATTGTACAAATAATGGACGTATGTTTGTAAAATATCGATGGCAAATTGCAAAATGTTTAAATTGAAACTTAAATCAATAGTATATAATTTATAGACTACTTTTGAAAATAAATTACAAGTATGATGGTAGTTTTGTTATGTGAAGGGTATCTAGGGTTGCACCTTACAGTTGGTTCCTAGTATTTGTAGGAAGAACACCAACACTAAAAATCTTTGTAAAAAACCTTGAAAATTATCAATATTTCATCACTGTATCTTGTTTATTATTATTATTTTTATTCTACATAAGAAATTCGAGTAACATTAAAAATATAATAACCAAACGTAAGTGTCTTACTAAGAAGTAACCCAGAATACTTAGGCATTCAAAACAATCATGGCGTGGGTTGCGTAATGGCTGCGTCACACTCGCGCTTGATATAAAATTAGTACTACAATGTATCAGCTTATTCATTTCGTTCAAATAAAAATAAGAAAAATGTACTATAATTTGATCTCTTCAAACGAACAAAACATATGATAACCAATCATCACGCTGGCAAGGTATTTAATTTAATAAAATATGAAATTGAATACCATAAAACCAAAAAAACATCTTTTTTATAAATATTACTAATATTATTCGTATACTTTCAAACGTTAACAAAATAGGCTCCTACAATATGTATTAAATAAATGTGACTCTATCGCCATTATGTCATCGCCTTTACTATGCGTGGGCGCATCAGAAATAGACATTCGGTTTATTGCTAGACCGAGGAAACGTGTTAGTGTGCCAATGCTAAACTTCAAGTTCATAGCACTTCCTTGTTGTAAATAATAAGTTGTTTATATTTTCTTAGATGGATGGTAAAAAAATCATTTCAATTTTACTAGTGCATTAGAATTATAATATTTATTAATATCAAAATTCCTTTTTAGTCATATCTAGAGCATTGTATTAAATAAGTTTATTATTTCAAATATTTAAAAATAATTAAACCGAAACATCCATGTAGACTTCACAAGTTTCGACAATTCAAAGTTTTCGAAGTTATTTATTTGCCTTTCTTCTTCCATCATCTATCCTTTTCTAATATGAATAAGGCCTTAAATTATTCTGACCAAAATTCTCTATTTGCTATTTAGCCTGTTCAGATTACCGAGTACAAAGTACAAATATAACAAAAAACAATTTAGAGCTATTTTGACTTTGGAATCGTGCCTTTTATGAAAACACAGATTCACACTTTAATTTTATTTACTTATATGTTAGAGCATTCCCACAAAATTCTTACAACAGCAGTCTATGATGCTAGACTTATTTTTGATAAAATATAAGTAATTAATAAAACCTAATTAGGAATTACTCTTATAAATACTGGCTTTCATCCGCAACTCTACTTGCTATTTTATTCATTATTATTGTGTCCCTAATCTTATAACATTCATTAAATGATCTATAAAATGCAAAGTTTTTTTATATTTGGACTGATAGTTCCAGATACCAGTGCGTTCATATTAATAAAAAACAATATCTTCAAATTTATAATATAGATGTAAATATAGATGTAAATTAAACCAAATTTTATAAATTCTTAATACATAATAAAAAGAAAAGTAAATATTAATAGTTTAATTTACCTGAAGCATTTCTATTTAGAATGATCCAACCTCCATTAAGATTTTCTCTAAATGTATAAGTTTGCATACCAATAGTGAATCTTGGTTGAAAACAATTGAAGCAGTTTTCGTTATTTTGTACAATATAGGATATGGGTATTAGGTAGTTAGAGTCGGTTTTCTCGTGTTCGATCAAACTAAACTTTTTCTGTGAAATTACAGAATAAATTTAAATAACATAAAATTTAAATAAAAGAATCATTTTAAAATTAAAACATAACAGTATTTACTGTTTATGTGCGCGCTTTCAAGCTTATTTTCTTTTCTTGATAGTTCAAGAACAACTCATAATTTGAGAGCTTATCATATATTATTCAAATGCGATAGAAATTTTCAGGCGAGAAATTACGAAGAATCGTGGCGAATGAAATGTTGTCTTGTTTGGATGACTTGAATTAAATACCATATCAACCAACTATAGTCAAAGTGAAATCCAAAATAAATATTGCCTTACGATAAAATAAATAAATTTAATTACTTGTACTAATATTAGATATTGTTAAATACCTGTTTTAATTGTATCGCATTAGGATCTCTATCTCTAAATACTTGAACATTCACAACAGGGTATCTCGACTGATGAAACCAAGAACTGAGAACCCTTGAAGAGGTTGATCCATTGAAAAATTGATGTAGACATTCCACAGTATCAAGATCCAGATTTGTCATAAAGTCCGCTAATGATATATATTGACCTCTCCTGAAAATTGCTTTAGTACAGAAAATTTTAAGTAAAAATATTTATAAAATTTGCAATTTTAAGACTCACAAAATAAATATTGAGTCATAATAAACGTCGTAGACATGTTTTTGCGTCAAAAACAACAAAGTGAAAGAAATAAAAATATTCTACAAAATTTGTTTTATTGTTAGTTGTAACGAAAATATATTTACTTGCTATTTATATATTTGATTAAAGCCTGGTGAAACTTTTCAGAACCCAGCCAATTTTCGACCATCCACAACAAAGATGCTGTCTTCATCGCCACTAATTCTTTGTATCTCGATGGTATTTCTATGGCTAATGTCCGATTGAACGTTGCTAAAGCTGGAGTAGAGTGATGCCAGTCGACAGCCATCGCTTTATGTTTCATTTGTATGCCATAAATGTCAATTGGTCGCCGAAAACCCATTATTACGTATCCATGGTTATACTATAAATATAATCATATTTTTTAACATATTTTTATTAACAATATTACCTACGAGTATGTTAGTAGTGTTCGTTATAGATTTTTGAATTTTTTCTCGTGAAATTATAAAAAATTAATCAAAAATATAACCAACATGTACTAGTACTAAATGCTAGTCCCCATTTGGCCAGCGTTTTGGACTATGGTCTGAAACTCCCTTGTCAAAAATTAACAGTACTTTGACCACTTATAATTTAATTTTGGAGCCCAAGTTCCCTCATGTGGTATATCGATAATAGCTTATGCTAGTCAAGAATAATGTGGTTTTAGAAACAGAATTTTTAGAATCGTTAAAAATGGTTCCAAATATTATTCCCTAATAATAAACAAACAATTATGACTATATGCAAAAGTGTAAAAAGTATAGCAATAGAGGACTAAAAAATTAGTTACAAGTTTTATCATTGTTACGTATTTTACACGTACTTGAGCTAACAAATAAAATGCAATATAATTGGAAATGCCTTCTTTAAACCACTCTTCCTTCCATCTAGTGCGTTGTAATTCTCCAGGATTTCCGAGCCATATACGACTCAACTGTTGTGCTAATTCAAACTCCATTTGCTGTATTTGCTTAATACTTGTATACTTATATATATTGGCCAATCTGTTATTTCTAGAAATAGCATAAAAAATATGTTAATTTACATAGCTATACTAGCGACTCACCCTCGCTTCGCTCGGATTCGTCCTTAAGTTCGTTTTAACGGTTAGTATATAATAGATATACTATATATGTACAATTTCATATTTAGCCTATAGGCTTCCTCAATAAGCAGACTATCTAATGCAAAAAGAATTTCGGATTCGAATTTCGGAATCGGATTAGTCGTTCCTGAGATTAGCGAGTTCAAAAAAAAAGCAAACAAAAATACTCTGCCTCTTTATAATGATAATATAGTATAGATTACTAACTACACGGACCTTAAAATCACTTAATCGTACTAGTAGTCCATACATAGGGAAGTATTGTTTTAAAATTCATATTGATCTTAGAAGTATAATTTATTAATTCAAAAAAATAATTATAGAATGCGATCAATATTTTTTTATTGAATGCTATTGCACTGAACCTTTTCCTATTGAGACCGGTCAAAACAGTAAAAAAGAAAACTTAGCTAAACTAAAACTTACTTCGTATAAGTTTTTGTTATTAATTTAAGGATTACGTTGTCAATATAGTTGTTTTGATGAATACTTTGTAAAATCTTGTACTTTGTAAGATCGCCTTTGATCTTGACGGAAACGCCGGATGACGCCAAGACAATTTTTTTGGCTAAGGTTTGTCAGAAGTAAACAGCATTTATATATTTTTCATTTAAAACTAACGTCTATGATAAAAACATATTTTTGAATTTGGTGCCATTTTTTAATTTTTGAAATATTTTTGTATAATTAAGGGTAGGCACTGTCTGTAACAAGTATATGGCCTATAATGACCTTTGATACCTCTAAAACCTTAGTCTCTCCCGTGACCATGATTGCTGTAAAGCATTCGAAACGACGGGAGCCAAAAATCAAAATAAACCCGAAAAAAAATCCGAAAAAAAAGATTAAATTGAAAATAATACACATAATGTTTTATTATAAATCCAATTAATTTAATTTGTTATCAGTGAACATACAAGTGCAAGCAATATATTAAAATCCGTTACCTTAGTTGTGAAAATAGATCATTTTCGTAATATGCTCTATAAGAACAAAAATACCTCGAAATTACCACCCATGTCATTTATATTGGTTTTATAAAACAAATTGATGAAAAATTAAGAAAGTCGTTGTAATTCAACTATATAACACACGTCGTATGAAATTATATGGGTATTTTAACTAAACACTGTGTATTTGCCCAGTATATGAACAGAATTTACATATCGGTATATATTTTTTTTGTCAAAGCTATTAAACAAAAAACCAAAGGAAAATCGGTTGACAAACAGGAAAAAAGAGGTACTAAACTCTTTTGCCTTGGCCTATTTGTATACAGATTATATAGAAATATTATAAAGTAGTGGTAGACGGTAAGTCATTTTAGGTTTAGTATTAATCACAATATATTACAAAGTTGATCGATAATAGAAATGTTTCATCTATAACCATAATAGACAGGTATATTTTTTATAATCTAGACATAATATAATAAAATGGTCACCGATCGCTGTCTGTACATGTAAGATATTTGAGAAAAATACTGTTGGGGCTCTTTATTAACGCAATAGATCCGAAATTTTTTTGTCTGTTTGTCTGTGCGTTTGTGCGCGCTAATCTCAAAAACAAAAAAAAAGTTTTCAATGATGCATTGTGATACTTAACATTTAATGCTTGTTTTACTTCAATCGGTATATAAATAAAAAAGTTATGCCAATTTAAAGAATCACTTATTGACGAATCAGAGCGAAGCGAGGGTGAGTCGCTAGTTGAAAATAAAATTATCTTTCAATTTCTACATTCCAATTCTTAGTTTACAGCTTTGTTATAATATTCATATTTATTTATAATAATACTTTACATAAATGTTTGAAAGATGAGGTCAAATAATGTATACAATACGCCTAGCTTATGTTAAACACCTGTTTTCTTACTATTTGACCTTAAATTCTTCTGGGATGAATTTTGTAAACTATAAAAACTAGAATTAGATTAAATAGAATACTAGATTTTGGCTGCGGCTTTGTTTTCATGTTAGGCGCGTCGTTTGACACTTAAAATTGTTGGGTTGGTACTTCGCTTATTTCTTTTTTCTCTAAAATTGTTTACTTAATTACTATGACTTTGGAAAACCAAAAACCTTAGTCTTCCGTGACCATGTTATAAAGCATCCAAAATTAAAATAAAACCGTGTAAGCCTAAGAAAATATAAGTGACGAATTATTAGTCTTAACAATTCAAACATACAAGCACTTCTATTTAAAACCTTGCACTTACCCAATTGTAAGCAGATTCCAACTACAAATTTCGTATCCATTTAATATCTTCGGTACACCAACAATATTTATTGGTCCATACACAAGAGGCCGATTGATTGATGCATATTCATGTATAAGATCGATTATAGTCTTCCCAAATTCAATTATAAAAGTATAATGTTTGAGAAATTGAACTGGCGCCCAAATTTTTAAAGTGTCATTGATATTCTTAGCTGTGATCTCCCGATGGCCGAAATTGGAATGATGAAAACCCACTTGATGTAAAGCCACTTGAGGTGACGATATGGACTCGATAACCGTATAGTTGTCCTCTGATCTGGAAATTTAGGATGTTGTTAGCATACTTTCATTAGCTGTACTTGTAACTATTTAATGAAACCAGTGTTTGCTTATTGATCGAAATTCGTTGATAATTATTATTGAATAGCGGTTCACCCTCCTTCTGGGATAAAAAGTAGCATATGTGCTATTCCAGACTATAATCTATCTTTGTGCCCAATTTCATTAAGATCCACTCAGACGTTCTGACGTGAAAGAGTAACAAACATCCATGCATACTCACAAACTTTCACATTTATAATATTAATACGGATAATTAATTTGAGGAAAACATATATGAATTGAATTTACCTATCTATATAAAAAAATATAATGGTTCCATTTTTTTTATTAATAACTAGCGGCTCACCCTCGCTTCGCTCGGGTTCGTCGCTAGGTACGTTTTAAATAGATATAAAAAGAAAAAATCTTTCTTTCTCACATTTTAATTATATGTTTTAATACTTACCTATTCCGGACTAAGAGAAATCCAAAAATTAAAATATCATAAAAATTGGAACGCGGTCGAACGGGATAAAAAGTATCCTATGTCCTTCTCCTGGCTCTAAACTACCTCCCTGCCAATTTTCAGCTAAATCGGTTCAGCCGTTCTTGAGTTATAAGCGAAGTAACTAACACGACTTTCTTTTATATATATAGATACTAAAGATCGTCAAGATCTACTAAACAAAAAAAAATCAGTTGATAAACAGGACAAAAAAAAGTACTGAATGGGTTAAAATATGAGATTAGCAACTAAATATTCTTTCTCACATATCACTTATCACAGTAGGAATCATATTTATTTTTAATACAATGTCAAATATGGAACTACCATTACTTTTATTACATTCATCCGGTACTTTTAACTTTCTCCTTCTCAGCTTAAATGGACTCGTACTTCTTAGAAGTAGAAAATATTACCGGCTCTTGGATATAATTGATCGCATTTACTAAATAGTGTATGGACAGGAAGCGAGCGATATTCTAAAAATATATTTTCATCAATTTTTAATAAAAAATTTATCTGGATAATAAAAAGAAAATATGTTTATTTTAAATGAAAAAGTACTTAGAATAAAATATTTTAGAAAAATAAATAAAAACAATACACATTTTTTTTCAACAATATATATATATATATATATATATATATATATATATATATATATATATATATATATTATATATATATATATTATATATATATATATATATATATACATAAATATTGTAAAATAGCTGAAATAACCATATATGAGAATTAAAATCATGACATATTTTAGCAAATAAATAAAATCGCTTTGAAACGTACTGAGCCCTTAATCTACACCGTATAGGGCAAGAGACCGCTGTGGAAACGGTGTCAATCATTGTGGTGTAAGCGCGTCGAGTATCATCTAAATATAGACTGCATAAAAACTGATTATAGCCTTAAATGAAGAAGTTTGGTATATCATATTATATTGGAGAAACTATTATAGATATGGAGAAATCGACTGACAGCTCTCATCTGAGGAATAGTGATAGCAATCAGCTTTCTACGTACCATTTATGCGATGAATATTCCAGCGATGTTTAAAATTTTTGGTATTAATATCGGAGGACAGATGACAATGTTAAATATCTATTCCGTATTATAAATGAGTACTTGTATCGTATGAGAACCAAACCTAGAACCTTAAGCTTAGCCAAATTCTTAACAGCTTTGGCCAATATTGGTCAGGATAACATTATGTATGTAATACCAAATAATTAATGTAGTATGAGAAAATACGTTTATATGTTGCCGAAAACATAAAATAATTAAAAATGTCAAGTACTTGATTCTGGTTTTTTTATAATAATTAATGATCAAAAATATGAAAAATATATCGATGTATTTACCTTTGTTCTTTTAATTTGTTAGCAATAACTAGTGTCGTATTACATTGTTGAAAATCTCTCCGAGGAGGTAGTATGTTGACTTTAAACTTGAATACTGCTTCGAATTGAGGATTGTCGAAACATGGAAAGAAATATTTTGCTCTGTTCGGTGCAAGGCGGGTTGTGTAGAGGTATCTGAAAAAGAAAATACTTAAATTTAACAAGTTATTTGCATAAGAAGGTTTAATGCATTTTATCTAAAATAATAACATAAAGAGAAATAAGTCTTCAATTAAAAATTAAAATATTATTATTATATTCCTTGAGGCCATTTTATTGAAGATAAACACGATATCTCTGGAGTATTTTGGTAACGAGTTGAGAATCTTGCAGATTCCAGGTGACGCTGTAGCATCAGGCAAAGGTCAAGCATCATTGCAATGACATTAAACTAACTGGATACCAAGTTTCGTATCAATTAGATCTGTGGAAGTTCTTTATATACTTTTATCTAGAAAAAATATCATATTACTAATATTATAAAGTATATAAAATAATAATATATAAAAATAATAATAGTATATAACAATCTGTACTTAATATTATAAAGAGGAAAGATTTGTTTGTTTGTTTGTAGCGAATAAGCTCCAAAACTACTGGAGCGATTTAGATGAAATTTAGTAAAAAGATAGTTTGAGACCTTGGAAAGGACATAGGTTAGTTTTTATCCCGGAAATCATCCCTTTAGGAATGTGAAAATGAGAATGAAAGTTTGTATTGGCAATCAACCTAGGGACGAACCCTAGCTTAGCGAGGGTGAGTCGCAAGTGCGTAATGTGGTCTATAGTCTATACTATCGATAAACACGCAATAGGAACCGCGGGTGAGAGAATAGCTATCACTATATAAAAATGACACAGATGTTTACTTATGCACAATATCGTACAATGCGTAGCTCGACATGGTCCAATGCTACTAGTCCTTGGGAGGCATTGAACCAATTTATCAGTTTACCATAACTAAACATGTCATCAGACTAACACATTTGTTAAAATAATTCAATCACGCTTATATTTTAAAGTTTGTGAATGAGTCAGTTTGTTAATTCTTCACGCTGTAACAGTTTAATGTACGTAAATGGATGGGGATAATTATATATATATATACATATATATATATATATATATATATATATATATATATATATATATATATATATATATATATATATATATCGGTTACCTTAACTTATTAATTTTACTAGTGACCATACAACACAAGTGGGGAGTAATATAAGTACTAAGATTTTATATGTGCTTTTTTGCATTTACGTATGTTGATTCTTCTATACAAAATTATAAACAAAATTTAAGTGTCTGTTAGTAATTTCAAAATATCAGCTTTTTAATAAATGCATATGAAAGTATATACAGTACTAATAAGAGAAAAAAAACAATTTTTAAAATGTTTGGTGGTCTGTTTGTTCCGTCTAATCTCTAAAACGGCTGGATCGATTTTGATGTGACTTTCACTGGCAGATAGCTGATATTATAAGGAGTAACTCAGACTACTTTTATTTTGGAAAACTAATTAGATTTACGCACAATTAAAATAATACTCATGAAATTGTGTATGAAGCGTATAGCTAGTTGTATATAAACATTTATAATTATGCAAAAATTTCGAAATGCCTGTATGTATGGTTTTAGATAAACCTTTGGATTGTTTTAGTTACTTGTATAGTATAACTATATAGTTAATTTCTTTGAAGAGATTCAAATTTTTATTAAGTACACTATGATATATACACCACTATACAGAATACATGGAATAATCATCAAATGGCTAAAACGTTCCCGTGGGTTAATAGTGCTTCAATATACAAGTATAGCTTTAGTTTAATGGTAAAATAATGACACGGTTGGTTTTAATCATAGCCATAGAGAATGGACTGAGCAATACTCTCATGAAATTGACCGCTCTCTAGAAAGAGAGAAAGCGAACGTGCGGCCAATACCCGTCTATTTCCATCCAATTTGAAGTTATAAATGGAATGTAAAAAATATATAACACATTGTGATAGAAAAAAATTGTTATAAATATCTATACTCATGTATTGTATTTCAATTAATACAGAATACTTCTGGCCGCACATTTGTTTTGTCTCTGGCGCTTTTCCGCCATTTTTAGTTTACGGCTGGCAAAAAAACACTCAGTCCACTCTCTATATCTATGTCCCGATAAAGTGACTATCTGAAGAGATACCTTACTAGGGATTGAAATGGGACATATAAAATTCACACAAATTATATCGAATTGTTGCTGATAATGAAAAGGACAGATAAGTTATTGGGGTTTTTACCTTTTATTTTAGGGGTTAGCTTGTCAGTTGATGGTGTTATATCTTGAGAGAAAAAATATATGGGCATATCCACCGGAAAAAATAATTTTAGTGTAGATTAGTACAGATAGTGAGGGCTACTTGAATCAGTAACCATTTGTTGTCTAATGAGGCTCGAGCTATTTGCATGGGTTATTAGTTCAGGTAATCGTTAATAATAAAATGGTTGAGCAAATCTATCGTAAGCATGAATCATACATTTCATTGAATAAATATAAATTAAGGATCTATCCACAATATAGTGCCGATCACAGTCCGTTCTCGACCCGATATTGGTATCGTAAAGACTCTTTACATAAGAAAGGTTGCTGAAATGTAATAATTCGACCGGACCTTGACTCTGATAGGGTGTGATGATCTGATAGTGTGAATGTACTTATTTTCTCTTTTATATAACAAGAAATTAAATTATAAATTTTGAAAAAATATCCCTTCTTTACTGGTCATTTTAATGAATAACTAACTACTAACTAAATTAAAATCTGTTCATCCGTTTGGGCGCTATGAGGCCATAGACCGATATGCAGATACACACGTTAAACTAATAACACTCCTCTTTTTGCGTCGGGGGTTAAAACTTTACCTGACCAATATCAGTTCGATAAAGAACCTATTCAGCGCTATAATTTGGAATCGGTCCTTAATATTGAATAACTCTAAACATAAAAAGCATCTTTAATGTGCACATAACATTTGTTTTGTCATTGATATATGCATATTAATTTTATAGAAAATTTACGCATAAGACAAGGAAGTTAAGTAATACACGCTTGTCATAAATTAAAACATTTATGTACATTAGCTAGCTATTATAGTGCCCATATAGAGAACTGAGTTTACCAAAATCCGCTTAGCGTAGGAGATACCCTGAATGAATTTTAATATATTGAGATGTATAAAATAAATAAAAATATGTAAATATGATAAACTACTGACTTCTTATCTTTGCTCGGGCGTGTCTCTAGGTGTCTAACAGTAGCCTATATGTTACTTCAAGTCAGTCTATCTGTATAGAAAGTTTCATCCACATCTGTCAAGTCATTTCAGTATAAAGGAGTAATAAATATATAGACATACACACATAAAAACTTTCAAATTTATGTTAGTAGTCCGGTGAGTAATATTCATTTGTTGAGCGACAAGCTCATTACTTTTCGTTACAACGGTTTTAATATGGAAATTGTTACAATGGCGACTTTTGGCACGCACTGTTGGCACAGCCTCCTTCATCCAAGATCGCAAGTTCGAATTCAATTCAGTTAACATAAACGTAAAAAAACATTTTAATAAAATAAAATCTATTCTAAATATATAGACTACTAGAAATACAAAAAATATCTAAACTGACTAATAACAAATATAAAAAAAATACGAAGAATAAAAATATAATTGCAAGTGTTTTTTTTCGTAGCTGTCATAAAAATATGTATAAATATATAACTTACTCGCTATTTCCCTGTTCATTTTCATATTTCACAACGAAAATCCCATCGCTATTAAGCTCCACTGTCTTACTAAATGATATATGAATGAAATACTGAGTCCGAGATACACTGTACTGTTGAAGAGGTTGTCGTAAATATATGTAGAGTTTGCCTCTACTTTTATCAAATTCATATGGTCTATATTCATTCACTAAATTAATGTTTTTGTCGAAAACTTGCACAGAACCACTATTAATTTCTAAATCCTTCGCGTCTAACTCTATTACGTTGATATTAGGGGCGTTCGCGATAATTGTAATAATTATACGACCATTATAATATGAACGGCCGTCCGCATAGATATATGGGTCTAATGTGAGGTCATATTGCACTGGATACACGGTATAGTTCAGGCACTCTTCCTCCACTACAAATGCTGAAGTGAATGAAACGAAAAATAAAATACACGCAAAAATCTCCATATTCAGCCGATAATATTTTAAATGTTATTTTATGCAAATTAATAAAATTTTGGCAATTATTTTGTTATGTATAAATAAATATTATTTAAAATTAGTCCAATGTTTCACGTATTCTTTTATTTTTGTTTATTTTATTTCCATCGCGATAAGACCAATACGTCCATACGACGCGAGTTGAAATGACTTCTGCGTGCGTATGGTGTTGGCGCCAGCGAAAAACACCATTCGTATTAGAACTGTAACCTCTATAGTTTCTATATACTCAAACCATAAGGGTCGCCTTTTGTTGGAGAATACATATTATAATATGTTTAATTCATGTTAGGTGTACAGGATTTTCTTTTATTAAAAAGTTATTTTCAGGAATTAATTATGTATAAATAATTAATTATCTATGTATATTACATCATAAGATAGTTTTACAACTTTTTTTATTATAAAATAAAATATATATATATATATCTAAATTATATATCTTTAGACATAACTTACCCAAGATAGTGTTATACTCGTAGTATTTAGTTCAAACGAAGTAGCGTTAATATTCATTATTAACAAAAAAAAAATTACTGGACTCTGGTTCCTTATTTTCAAAAGTTAATAACCTAAATTTGAAGAAAAAACGAAAAAATCATACACTTGATCCTATTCAATATCTAAATACTAGTACTACTAAAACTTTATAAATATTATATTATTATCGACCCATACTCCTAACCTAAATGAATGCTAAGAAATGGTTATCGATAGGCGATTTACAATTTTTTAAAATTTTGAAATTCAAAAAACTATTTTAAATCAATTCAATTTTTTTGTTAATAGCTTTAAAGCTTGTCAGACCTAAAATAAAACAACACAATATAATACTTTATTCATTTAATTCATTTAATACTTAACTGAAAATAAGTGGCTAGGAAGAAGTACTTAAAATTAGCTATTTGAACTGCATACTATTGGCATAAATAATAAATAAATATGTTGGGACATTAACTCAGCACCATTTAGTTCCATGGTAAGCTACGAGACTTGTGTTATGGATACTAGATAGTTGATACACTACACATATTTATATAACTTTAAATACATACTTATTATAAATATAAACACCCATGACTGGAGTACAAACATTCGTGCTTATCACACAAATGAATGCCCCCAGCGTGATTCGAACCCACGACCGCTGGAATAGCAAGTAGGGTCACTACAAACTGAGCCAAACGTGTTGTCATTTAGCCAGTAATATTGTACTATAATGTCAAGGATCATGTTATAGTGGCCGCTAGCTGATATTATTTTAAGAACGTATGATGTTTACATTCTACTGTGTAGTGTTATTATGAAATTTGTCGAATAATGGTAATGAAATGGTTTTAGAAAAATTGTATCAAATACTCGTAAATATACCGTACGTATTCAATAAAAGACCAAAATCATTTCGTAATTAACTAATGTATCATTGATTATACACCTCCTCCTTCTTTGAAGTAGGTCTATAAAAATACTTAAAAAAATGAGCATTTATAAAAAACCAGATCTGATCTGGGTCGGAAAATGGATGGTGCACTTAGGGCGATAAGAATAATTACAAATTAATTAAATCATATAGTTTAAACTGTAATTTGCAGTATTAAGTTTAATCTGTGGTTTTAGCTACTATTGCAATCTCCGTCTTTTCCATTTAACGTTTCAATGATGAAGTAATCTATGCAATTAGCAAGAATATTGAATTAAACTAACCTTCTATTGATTCACGTAACCTTTGTAGAATTCGAAGGCTAAATAAGTATCTGATAACGCACAGCCTAAGCCACTTGATCTAGAAGAATCAAATGATCCATAATAATTTATAACAAAGATAAGAACTAAACATCTATTGATGAAAATTTACTGCCTAAAAAGGGAAAATAAGGGTGACATTTTTAGTATGTTATTCTAACTCGGGCCTGTCCTTGAAATAATTACTTACAGCCGAGCGTCATGTACCAACGCGACAGGGCTGCCTGCCGGCCAGTATTTTAATTTCATCTACCTACTTGAGTTTCTTTCTAGTTTTGTGATTTCAAATATTATGTATTCTATTTAAAAAATATTATTAGTAGATTTAATTAAAAAATCACATACCACCATACACAAAAGGGTCACATACCACCCTTATAAATTTGAGATTTAAAAATATTTGCACCTCGACTGAGACATAAGAAAAGCTTTATTGTTAAATTTAATAGTATAAAGAATCCGCATTCAGATAAAAAGTTTAATTAAAAATACTTTAATTTTTATTTTTAATTTAATTAATTAGTTTTTATTTTTAAAACATATGATGTCTCGATACTTTTTCGTTTGACATAATAGCGAATTTGCGGGAGGAATAAAATATTTATTTTTGTATCCAATTATAAAAGTTACATAACATAACCATTTTATAAAATTTTCGTATCCAATTATACGATTAGGCAACCCTGCACGGTTGTGTACCGAGTGTATACCGAACGCGACGCGCGTAGGTATAACTCGATTTCCGACCGTTTGTATGAAGATGGAATACTGTATGCATTACATTACCGTGGTTTTAGTTTCATTTTTGAAACTTTTTCAATTTGTTTGAATGAAATTTGACATTTAAACTTCCGTTTTAATTGTCAATTAGAAATCCAATAGAGCAAATCAATAACTCATCAATGAACGGTAGCAAATGTACTGCGATTCATTATTATATTATGTAATTATTAGTAATAATTGTTATTTTACAACATCCTGTCATCGACTAAATTAGCCTGATAGATATAATTCAAAGAATTACTCTATCTGGTAGTTAATTCGAAGTAAAATAGCCAGATTTATTCCTATTATTCATTTAAGATAAGCCAATAAGATTATATTAATTTATTTCTTATATAAAAATAACAACAATTATATTATGCAAGTTCTTTATTATTTTAACAACATTATTATACAAACTATTCTTAAGTGGCTTGGGATCTCTTCTTAATTATTTTATTCTTAACAATAATTAACTATATAAAACTCAAATGTGTAATTAATACTATTTAGATGTCCCTACAATGTACAAAAAATAGATATTTTTTATTGATAATTAACGTGTATTTATATCTAATTTTATATAAAATATTTTTTTAAATAAATCCTAATTTTTAATAATCCTGTGCTAAAAACCATTGACCAGGGTAATAACACCAGCAACTAGTACTAAGAACGATGCTGAAACCATTGTAGCGTCACTTCTGAGGTTGCTCAATATGTCACTTTTGTGTTCCTCAGCCCAATCTGTCACTTTCATGGCCTTAGCCAGAGCTGTTCTTGCACTTGTCACGGCTTGTTCATTGCATTCCGAACATGATGATAGCAAGCTTTCGAACTGGAAAATATAATACGTAAGTATAGTAAATAATTGCATATAATCAATATGACTTCATGTGGTTAAATCGCCTACATATATGAAAAATAATCTATTTTTGCAACGAAGTTCCTTATTTTAATAGTTTTTGAGTTTTCAGAGTTTGAGAGCAAAATCTTTTTTCTTTAAATTTTAGATTATTGATATGATTCGTCCTTAGTAATTATGTACATTATACAAGATCGACTAACATTTTTAACAGTTTATCTGATGAAACTTCACACACACATAAATCCTTTTAGTTCTAACGAAATCAGATTTCTTTGAAAAATGTACTTAAAGAAATTTTTGATGCAATATTTTTTGAGCGCACGGATATAGTGTCACCTTCAGAGTTGGCGTTTGATCAAAATATGCGTGATAATAATGTTATCTAAAAAGAGAAATTTATTGATGAGATTTTCCTATTATACTAATCAATATAAGGACGAGGCCTTCTGATACTATGGGGTATAGTATTCTGTGATCTATGTAAGAGGTTACCACTTACTTGCCAATGAGATAACGATAGGCGAAAAGCAAAAAGCGGTATTTTTGTCTCTAAAAACTTGGTCATAAATTAGTATAGCGTTCTCCGTTTTAGAAATAATATTTTTAAAGTAATACATGAGTATTAAATATTAATGATGATGAGTATAAAGTATTAAATATTAAGGGAATAATTACTCTTTACTTAAAAACAAATAATAAAGGAAACAATAAGAAAGTTTTGTGAAGAAACAAAAACCATAAGCGAGCGTTTTAGTAAGTTATATGTTAGTTTTAGCCCTAAACACCGCATTCAATCTTAAATATTTATTATGTATTCATCCAAAAAAAAAGAATTCATGACCTTCAATACGACGATATATCTAGTCAAATACACCAAGTTATTCAAATTTACATATTAGCTTTTCTTGGTTTCGTAGTACAATAACCATTTTGTAAAATTGGCAGATTGCCAGCTGATTCATCTGTGCCATAATTGTTAATCATGTAGGTCACGATCGCTTACGTGTAAACATATTTCAGCTACGTTTCCATGACCACATCAAACAAAAATATATTTATAATTTTATGAATAACAAAATCTATTTTTAATATTTAAGATAATTTTGATGAGGTCTTTATAATAAAAATAGGTGTTAAAGGGTGTTAACAGGTAGTTAACGTCAACTGAGCACTATTTGAGTATACTTACCTAAATAAATTGTAGATACTATGATCCCGGTAGGTATACGTTAAACTGCTAACAACCTCGCTAGATTTAAAAAAATTGAGAGGTACAGAAAACAATTGAAAAGAGATCCAGTACAATGTGTACTGTTGTTGTTGTAAAACTTGAAATTCTTCATATATACTAATATTATAAAGAGGCAGAGTTTCTTTGTTTGTTTGAACGTGTTAATCTCAGGAACTAATAATCTGATTTGAAAAATTCTTTTTGCATTAGATAGCCCGTTTATTGAGGAAGGCTACACATCATCCCATAAAAATAAACGGTTCCCTTGGGATAGATTTGTTTTAGTCTGGGGACGAACCCGAAGCAAAGCGAGGGTGAATCGCTAGTGGATATATAAAGATTTAAATCAGATAAGGAATTTAGTGCCATAACGCTTCTATATATATACATATATATATTATTTTATTTATACATAGTTGTACCAAGCCTGAAGCAAACAATGCAAAACGGTCACGGCCTATTAAAATATAGAACATTAGTATCCCTTTATTAACCTTCTCCCTAATTGCTATTTTAACCCAAATGACCGTCAAACACTGTGAGCATACATTCATTAACAAACTTGTTTGGGAACCTGTTTCAATGAGACGCGCTAACGACAGGAAGTGTTTGTAGCAAAAATTTAGCAAATTACTGTAGGATTGACGCTGGTAAATCTTTGTGTGTATGTATATCTATACATATAATGTAATTCTAAATAAGCTGAATCTGTACATTAAATATTTTTTGAAAAAACTTATTGTAATAGTCATTATTATCGATACAGAGCACGAATCTATAGTTTTTAGAATGTTTGTTTGTCTGTCTGTTACTGCATCATGCGAAATCTACTCGACAGATTTTGATGAAATTTAGTATGGTGATACCTGGTCATCCAGGTCAACATATACGATACTTTTTACTGCGGGAAAATATCTCATCTTTGAGAAATGTGTTCTAAGCGTAAAACGTAAGTAGGGACGAACCCGAGCAGAGCGAGGGTGAGTCGCTAGTAAAATTATATAACCTGACTGATTCATTCATTTACTCCCAGACTAAAACACTAGAACCAAAAGAATAAAGGTTTGACTGGTTTATTGAATTAAAGATATCCACTGATTAGTTTTTTTGTTTAATCCCTAACTAAATAAAAAAGCGAATGGTATTTTTCTGGCCCACAAAGAACTTAGTACCAATGATCTTCAATATAAATAGCGTAACCTTCTTTTATTTCGGTGTTTTCAACATTCAGCCAAAAATTGTATAATAATAATAATTAATAACGAATATCCCACTGCTGCTCATGGATTTCCCTCAATGCAAGTAGAACAGGTGTAAGTTCGCCAAGCTGGCCAAGTACGGATTGACGAACTTCTCAGACTTTCAAAATCAACTTAAGTTCATGTCGGAAAACTATTTTTCGAATAATGTTTCCTAGAACGTAAAAGTGGTAAGCCTATTGAAACGATTCGCTTATGAAAATATCAGAGGTACTAGTCTGCTAGGGTTTTAAGCCTGCTTCGCTTGATTTTCCATACCAAGAACACGTTTAAAACAGAATTCAATGACCTTGTGATCGGAAAAGATTCAGTTTAGTTGATCTAAAGTTTTATATTATGATTATAATGAAGGCAACATTTACTAAAACTTTAGATAAATTACCTTTTCGAAATCTTCTTGAGTATGAAGTGCTGACGCGATGGTAGAAAGTATGGAGTCCATTGACGGATAACTGAAATTGACAATAAATTAGTCGAATTAAAGAAAAGATTTTAATTATAAGATTCTGTAAATAATCTATTTAATTTAACTTAGCCTTTATGCTAAAATAGCTAGCTTTTTTGCGTTTCTTTTAAAATGTCGAATCTAAAATGTAGTTCTATTAACTACAGAAAGTCGTAAACCAGAATTACCAAACCACCAACTAACCAGTAGTTTACGAAAAAATAGCATCAAAATCGGACTTTTTAGTAGAACACTATGATACACAAAAATAGATAAAAAAATAAAATAAAAAAACAGGCTTTATTCAAATAAAAGAAAATAAGAAAATATACGCCTCAACTTAGGAATCTCCTTATTTCATCGGTTAAAACTAAATCATAATCAATATCAATAATACTATATAATCGCAGAAATTCAAAGATGATACCTTAAGAAGAAGAAAAAAAATCTTCTTCTCAAGGTGCCATCTTCGAAGTTCGGAGACTATTATTAACATTTGTAGTATTTTAATTATAAAAAATGACCCAGTACTCTTGCCAAATCATAAATAGATTTTTAGGCAAAATATTGTCCTACTATGAGTTGCAGCAATTTATATTTTATACTTCTGGTTTCTCAGTATGTAGTAAAGTATTACTAATAAATATAATAAAAACAGATAATATAAGCACTTACATTGAATGCCAAAGAGAAACGTTCCGTTGGAAACTTTCTAACACCACATTCACATTGGTGTAGTTAGAAAGAACGCTTGCTAAAGGTACCGTTAGATCTTGTTCCTGTATAGGACTGTTTTCCTCTAGCATAGAGACTAAGTAACTAGAAATTTAAAAAAAAAAACAAATTAATATCAAAGAATGAAATTTTGATTTAGCAAGTTGAATTAATTGGAACGTTTTCATATGAAATTAAAAATAAAACACTACAGTGTACACTATACAGTATAACTAACATTAGTAGTATCATAATAAATATTACTTTCGCTATTTTTTTCTGAAAAAAATACAATTCAATGTCCTATAGGTATAATTTTTTATGGTCAACTCTAAGTATTATAAACACCTGTTAAGTTTGTTCTTATCGGAAGTACAGCCCAATATATCACCAATGATTCTGGCTTCATTAGCAACGTTGGTAGTGGACATTCTCTTCTTAAGGAAGTCATAATCCTCACCGGTCCCAAACCGTAAACCAGTGCAATACGACACAGGTCGCAAACTTGGCTGAATCCTACAAAGAAAACAATAGCATTAAATAGAAATCATAAAATTGCTAGTTGAATATTTTAAATTAGAGTATATGGAAAAAAAGTCGTGTTATCGGACGACTAAAAGCATTATCTTCGTGTGTGTTTGTTATTCACGTTAATATATCAATATTTAAAGCACAATTAAAAAATTTGGTAATTGGTATACCGTACAGAACGTGTACTTCTTTCTATAGGAAATCGATGCATTTTCACGGTTTTAACAATACTTTAAATCAATAGATCTGAAAAACAATTATGAACAACAAATTTGTTAATTGTTTTATAAAAAAATATTACCATTTTCCATTATCCTTAAAATCTCTGTATAACGCCAAAGTATTTTTCAAACATCCCTCGTGTCCCAATTTGCAGGCAAATTCTAGCACTAGCATTCTTGTACTGAGGATGGAGAAGTCATCCGATGATCTTACTTCATAGCCCAAATTACTAATAATGTTATCCATTAAGTGTAGAGCAAATTCCTGATAAGTAGATAGGTATTAAATAATCCAATCGAATACAATGTATCATAAAAGCTATCAATTTTTTTCTTTCGTTTCAAATTCAAAATGAAATCAAAATGAATAGAGTTATAATACTTACATCAACTAGACTTAAAGTATCAGAACCCAGATAATGATTTCTTAAATTTTTCAATCCATTTATTGCCGCGTACCAAACTGCGTATTCCGTTTCGTTTTCCAAGAAATGAAGAACATTATTAAGGAGATCAAATTTAACTACATCTGCTTGAAACAGCGCAAATAAATCATTAACAATCTGCAACACAACAGTTTTATTAATTTCTAGGTAAACATGTTAGAGAAGCAGAAATCTATTAATGGTTGTTGGTTGCACTTGTATCATTTTAAATGTAATGTGTTTAGTCTAATAAACACGTTCGAAGCAGACACACGTTCTTTCTCTTGCACCCAAAGTCTCCAAGCGATATTCAACCTTAATACCATATACATAGTGGTCAAATTGCGAGCCGGATCAAGGGTCATTAGCGAACATTACAAAAAATGTACATTCAATAGATAAGAATTACAAGTCGACGCACTTTAATGAGTATTGAAATATAAACGTTATAAACGCATATTACGACATTTCGAAGACTATTTTTTGGAAGAAAACTATTATATAAGATGACTACACCGGATCAAATGATTAGATTATTGGAAGATACTGCAAGTATATTACAAAAAACGCAAATAAATATTAAAAAATGTCCGAAACAAAGATTAACTTCAACTTATTTAGAAGCAAGATTAAAATGTATAGAAGATCATTGGAGTACATTTATGGAAACTCATCAGAATTTAACGAAAATATTACCACGAGAAAAAAGAGGTGAATTACAATACTTCGTGAATGAAGATTATTTTGTATACGAAGATTTGTACATATGCATGCGGACGGATATCAATGAAATGTTAAAACAAATGTCTTCTAGTGGAAGTCATTCGGAACAATCGACGAGTTCATGTATTCAAGATGTGAAGATCGGTCAAGTAAAGTTACCTCGTATTCATTTACCTACTTTTACTGGGAGATATGAAGAGTGGCCAACATTTCAAGATTTATTTATTTCGTTAGTTCATGATAATATGCAAATAAGTAATGTTCAAAAGTTGCACTATTTAAAATCGAGTGTTGCGGGTGAAGCTGAAACATTATTAAGACAAATACAAATAACGGAAAATAATTACTTACAAGCATGGAATATTCTTAAGAACAGGTACGGAAATAAGCGTATTATAGTAACATCAATTTTGAAAAGATTATTTACACAAAAGAAAATAAATTATCAATCGTCCAGTCATATAAAATCATTATTAGATGTAACAACAGAATGCATAAATAATTTACAAAACTTAAATATATCAACTGACTCTTGGGATCCTATAATAATATTTCTGATAGTGCAGAAATTGAACCCAGAATCACATAAGGACTGGGAAAATGTTGCATATAAAGAAAATTCGGAAGAGTTACCTTTATGGAGCGAATTAAAACGTTTTCTTGAAACAAAATTCCGTACTCTTGAATTTATCACACCTGTACCTGTAACCTCGGGAACAAAACCAGAAAAAACTCGGTCGTTTCATGCAACTGTAGAAAGGACGTGTTTAATGTGCAAAGACAAACATACATTGTGTCATTGCAAGCAGTTTACAAGTTTACAACCTTCAGAACGTAATGAGTATATACAGAAGAATAACCTTTGTTATAATTGTCTCCATCCTGGGCATTCAGTAAAGAAATGTCGTTTACAAATGTCATGCCGCATATGCCACAAGCGCCATCATTCTCTTTTACATCAACCATCAAAGTCAAATACCTTGGATCAATCAGAGAAACAAGCACAGCCAACGGTATCAGTCTATGCAAATGTAGAAGAGTCAGAAGGAGAAGAAATCAATGCAATGATGACGTCACATTACAATGGAAGACAAAGTTCAGCAATGTTAGCTACAGCAGAGGTTAAAGCAAAAAGTGAAGAAGGCAATATGATCATGTTGAGAGCTCTAATAGATCAAGGTTCAGAAGCATCATTTATAAGTGAGAAGGCTGCACAACTTCTGAAACTTTCAAGACAACCTGCAAGAGGTAATGTTGTAGGCATGGGTTCTACTAGAACAAGCGTAAATCAAAGGGTTCAATTACGAGTTTCACCAAGATGGGAATCACAATTTTCTATCCATATTCAAGCTTATGTGATCAGCAAACAATTGACAAGTAAAATACCACATACTACAGTGAAGGGAATCAATTGGCAACATATCAAGGGTCTCAATTTAGCAGATCCCAACTATTATAAGCCTAGTTCAATTGACTTATTACTTGGAGTTAAGGAATATTCAAAAATACTAAATGAAGGTTTAATAAAAGGTGTATCAGGCACTCCATGCGCACAGAATACAGAATTAGGATGGATTTTATTCGGAGAAATCAATACAAACCAGAAAGAAGAATCGTTTCTTGTTATACACAATCAAATAGACGTGGATGAAATATTAAAATCATTTTGGGAAATTGATACAGAATCGAAACGAATACTAACATTGAATGAGCAAAAATGTGAAGATATTTACAACAATACACATAGAAGACAAGAAGATGGAAGATACATAGTTAAATTGCCCTTTAATACTGAAAATCCACAATCAATACATGGTCACACTAGAGATATATCATTAAACAGACTATTACAATTAGAGAGAAGATTTAAAAGGCAACCTAAATTAAAAGAAGAATACAATAAAGTTATAGATGACTATATACAATTAAAACACATAGAAGAAGTACCTAAAGAAGAAATAAACAATAAATCAGTATACTTACCTCACCACGCAGTCGTACGTGAAGATAAGGAAACCACAAAGACACGGGTTGTGTTCGACGCTTCCTGTAAAGGGACTAATGGAATTTCACTAAACGAAGAACTCTTACCTGGACCAGTACTGCAAGATGACCTGAGAAGTATAATTATGAGATGGAGAATGCATGCTATTGGATTCGTATCAGATATTCAAAAAATGTATAGGATGATATTACTTACCAAAGAAGATGTTGATTTCCAAAGAGTCCTGTGGAGAAAAAATGATAATGAAGAAATCAAAGACTACCGTTTACTTACCGTTACCTTTGGCACAAGCTCGGCACCTTATTTAGCAATAAAAACGCTCATGCAACTGGCTGAAGATGAAGGAGAGAAGTTTCCAATAGCAGCGGAGATGATTCGTAATAATTTTTATGTTGATGATCTGATGGCTGGAGCTGAAACAGTAGAAAAGGCTATAGAAGCTAAAACTCAATTAATTAATATTATGCGAAAAGGATGCTTTGAACTAAAAAATGGTCGTCCAATAGTCTCGAATTTATGAAATCCATGGAACCTTCTGAAATCTCATCTAATGCACATGTTAATATTAGCATTGACGGTTCCGTAAAAGCTTTAGGAGTCCTGTGGAACTTAAAAACTGATCACTTTCAATACAGAATCAATCTATCACCTACTAAACATACAGTTACGAAAAGAACAATCCTATCTGACTTACAAAAAATATTTGATCCTCTTGGATGGATAGCACCCAGCATTATTTTAGCAAAATTAATAATTCAAAGACTATGGTCAGAGGGAGTAAATTGGGATGACAGAATTAATTTAAACTTAGAAAGGGAATGGCTCAAAATAAGAACAGATTTCGAAAGAGTCAAAGAGATTTCGGTTGATAGATGGCTAAAGACTTCAATAACCAAAATTCAAACAGTGGAGCTACATGGTTTTTGTGATGCTAGTAACAAGGCGTATGGTGCTGTAGTTTACGTAAGAGTCGTAGAATACAAAAATATCTTTACCAATATTGTAGCGGCAAGAACAAAGGTTGCGCCGCTGAAAACAATTTCACTTCCAAGACTAGAACTCTGTGGAGCACTGCTACTCTCAAAGTTATTGAGGAGTGTAAGTCAAGCTATGAAAATACCTTTATCGCAATCCTATGCCTGGACAGATTCATCTATCGTGATTTCATGGCTAGCTGGCGATCCTAATAGATGGAAATCATTTGTAGCCAACCGAGTCGTCGAAATAAATAACAATCTAAACCACAAAAAATGGCATCATGTGAGATCCGAGGATAATCCTGCTGATATAGCTTCTCGAGGAATGTTACTTGCTGATTTAAAACAATCTCAAATGTGGTGGCACGGTCCTAAATGGATATCTGAAAAAGAAATAATATATACACAATTAGAAAATATAGTCACAGATTTAGAAAAGAAAAGAGAAATACAAAATAACTTACATATAGAATCCCACGATGAGGTAGATATAGACACGCAGTTTGAAAACTTTGATACACTGGAACAACTTTTAAAAACAATTATAATATGTAAAAGATTTTTAAATTATAAAAAGAGTATAAAAACAAATTTAAATTTTACTACAAAGGAATATGAAAATTCATTAATAACATGCATACTTATAATACAAAAGAAACAATTTACACAAGAAATTCAAGATATAAAGAGTAAAAATCGAGTTAAAAGTATAAGCAAATTAAAAACCCTCAACCCTTACCTAGATAGCAACAATGTACTCAGAGTGGGCGGAAGAATAAAACATGCTAATATTAATGAAGACACAAAGCATCCCATAATATTAAATAAAGGAAATCCACTTACCACTTTAATCATAAAAGACGCTCATATTAAAACTTTACATGGCGGTATACAGCTGATGCTAAATTACATAAGATCTAAATATTGGATATTGAAGGTTAAGGGATTAGTAAAGTCATACATACATAAATGCTTGCTTTGTGCAAAGGAAAGAGCAACGTCAAGGGTACAAAGAATGGGAAACTTACCAGCAGTCCGAGTGACCCCAGCCCGTCCATTCTTACACAGTGGAGTTGATTTCTGTGGACCCTATTTAGTATTAAAATCTAAAGGAAGAGGAAGCAAAACTTGTAAAGGTTACATCTGTATTTTTATATGTATGTCTACTAAGGCAATACATTTAGAGTTTGTAAGCGACCTTACCTCTGAAGCTTTTATTGGAGCATTTAAAAGATTTGTGGCGCGTAGAGGACGTTGTACCCACTTATGGAGTGACCAAGGTCGTAACTTTGTTGCAGCAAATAAAGAACTTACAGAAGCCTGGAAAGATGCACAGTTACAGTTTGACGACGTACTAGCAGACAGACTCTCCCATGAAGGAACCCAGTGGCACTTCATTCCAGCTTATAGTCCAAACTTTGGTGGCCTCTGGGAAGCAGGGGTGAAGTCAATTAAATATCACCTGAAACGAATTTTGACAACGCACTTAACTTTTGAAGAGATGACTACTATATTATGTCAGATTGAAGCTTGTTTGAATTCACGACCCCTGTGTCCTATGGATGACTCAGACTGTGATAATTTAAATCCTCTTACACCTGGTCATTTTTTAATCGGCGAGGCTCCTATCAACATTCCATCACCTGACTTAAGAAACACAAACATAAATTACCTTACACGTTGGCAATTCACACAAAAACTAGTGCAAGATTTTTGGCATCGTTGGCAACAGGAATATCTCTCAAGACTACAACAAAGACCGAAATGGCTACACAAGGTTAACGAACTTGAAATAGGCCAAATAGTTTTAATAAAAATGGAAAATTTGCCTCCTGGAAAATGGGCTTTAGGCCGTATAATACAAAAACATCCAGGATCTGACGGACTGACCAGGGTTTATAGTGTAAAAAGTGGAAATAACATTACAAAACGTTGTGTTACAAAATTATGTTTGTTACCAATAGATAGTGATATATCTATCTTAATAATAAATATGTATACTTAATCAAATCATTATCAATGCTTTAATAATTATCAAATGTTTGTGCAAGTACAATTTTGTAAAACTTACTCGTAGGTACTAATTGTTTGTGAGATTGTTAATTGTTTAACTTAAATGTCCTACATAATTTTCATTTTTCTTTGTATTAAAAAAAGGTCAAACCCCTTTTTAGTGGGCGGTATGTTGGTTGCACTTGTATCATTTTAAATGTAATGTGTTTAGTCTAATAAACACGTTCGAAGCAGACACACGTTCTTTCTCTTGCACCCAAAGTCTCCAAGCGATATTCAACCTTAATACCATATACAATGGTTGTTATATTTATACTAATATTTTATGTATTAGCCAAAGAGTTTGTTAATACATAAAATAAAATTCTAACTGCGTCGAATCCGTACATTAAATATTTTTTGAAAAATCGTATTTGAAATAGCCATTGTTATCTATACAGAGGCCGAATCTATATGTAGTTTTTGGATTTTTTGTCTCTCTGTCTGAGAACGCATCACGAGAAAACCACTAGACAGATTTTGATAAAATTTGATATGATGATAGCTGGTTATCCGAGTCATAGGATACTTTTTACCGCGGGAAAATGTCTCATGTCTTACGAATCTATACTTACGTTAAAACGTAACTAGGGACAAACCCGAGTGGAGCGAGGGTGAGTCGCTAGTTCTATATAAACTTGATATATATATATATATATATATATATATATATAATATATATATATATATATATATATATATATATATATATATATATATATAAGACGGAGGAGGATTTAGTTACCTTTTTCTGTTATGAAACCTTATTATTGTTTAAAGTCACTATGTTCTTTAATTTACTTTTTAAAGTTATTTTGAATGTAGAGCAGAGATTTAGTCTCGAGCGGGGTCGAGACGCCATCACGACATTCTTTGGAGATACGTGGCTTAGTAACGTTGGTTGATCATAAAGAGTTATATTTGATATTGTAGTTGGAAGTCGATGATCGGTGACTGTGAACCCGCTAGCTCTAAATCATTAGAATTACCGTTTCAAGTTTATAACATTGTGACTTCCCTGATTAAATTGTGTATTGAGCACTGAATACTTTATTATTTGAGCCCTGATAACGCCCACAAGATGAGTAACCACTAAAGATGATGTTCGTAGTATATGGATAACACGACATCAGAAGTGGTATGATACCCGAAGAACAGGGCAAAGATAGATGACAGCGGCCATTTGAAAATTTTGTTGCAAAAATTTTTTCAAACTTTGAAACGAAATGCGATGTCAAATGTTATTAAAAAATCCGCACAAAATGGCGATGCATATGCGAGTTGTTTTACAGAAGATTTACTTTTTGATAATCATGAATCATGATGATATGATATACTCGTATGCAAGATGCTCAAAAGATTAAAATAATCATACATGTCTCAATTTAATTTTTATGAAATGACATGACGTCGTCAAAGATTTGTTGCTAGCTGGATTTGATTTTCTTGATATTATCGCAGAAATATTTTTGAACACAATATGTATGGAAAAATTAAATGGAAAATTTGTTTATTTCAGGATGATATATGAAGTTAATTTATTTAATCGATAAATCACGAGAATTATTTTTGAAATGTTTTTGTTCCATGCTTATAAGGAGCTTCTTCTAGTTATGAAATAAAATATAAATCGTGTCAGAATTTTAGTGTCAAAAATGTTTTATATTGTAATTGTTTGCTTTATATTTTCTTTATTTCAGGATTTCTAAAGTGAAAATAATGAATTGATATTTTTGTTTAAAGATTTGACTAACAGATTTAACTATTTATCGACGGAAAATAAACGGACGATATTTGCGCATTATATTGGGAAAATTACATAGTTCCTTTAACTTGCGTATTCATTTGTGTTATAAAAAAAATATTTAGCAGTTGATACTAATTTAAAAAAATTCTAGCAGTCCATCAGGTAAAATATGTTCCAAAAGAAATATGAGAAATAGTCAACTGTATTAATGGCAATACAGCGAAGAACTAATGTTTGTGTACACTCCGAAGACATTCTCATACGCAGGCTACGATAGAAATCTTTGAATATAATACCGATTTCACATGTCCTTATTTGGTCCAAAGATTAAACATAATTAGATCGGGCCGATGGTAATAACAACTGTGGCACAATAATAAATAATATGAATTTTCAGGTGCCTTGTTTCAAGTGTTCAAAATATGTATTTAGCGTAGAGAGGACGATTTCTTCAGCCAGATAAATAAATCACGCTAAGCCAGACCACATGAGACGTATACGATGCCCTAGAAGAAGACGGTATCCAGAGATGCTTGGGCTGTGCAAAAAAATGGATATCTGTGGACTGTTTCATTTAATCTAATATAAATGTTATATGGTGAGACGTTTCCAGTTTGTTTAGATGTGTCAGGCAATTGATATCGGAATGTACCGTTAAAGACGGTTGTAATTTTAGTTATTTCCAATAATATCTAGCAGCTTAACATTAATGAACCTACGTAGCACAAGCTAGGGTGACTGAATTGACGAAGTTATGTAACATTGACAAGCCGAAGTAGGACGATGAGGTTGTATGATTCTGATATTGCTGTGCGATGATGGTGGAAGGTGGTATTTAGACAATGTGGTGCCTATTTGGCGTTGACGAGTCTTTGTAGCAAATGTAGCCTGAGTGGCGAGAGTTGTCTGTGTGGCAAAAGTAACTTGGTGGCACATGTAGCCTGAATGGCGAGAGTTGTCTGTGTGGCATTGGTTGGGTTGTGTCGCATCGATTGATTTTTGTAGGACCAACTTAACTTGATTGACATAATATGAAACACTTACTTCGGTTATTTGTACTCAATGAGATTTTCTGTAATTTGTACTCAATTATAACTTCGTGTGTGTAGTTTTTAGGTTTCAGTTAGTTTAAAAAATATGTTAAGAGAAATTTGCCCTAAGAATAAAACTTGCTGATTGAATGGTTAGGTAGAATGAGTAAAGTATGATATGAATCGTTATATTAAATGATAACATATAAGGCTAAAAAAGGAGCCAATACACATTTTGATATTTCGTACATCGGAATTTAGAGTCAAAAGAATAGGGAGAGAAACGGTGTCTGTTTGTACTAAGTACACTTTTGCAATGTAATATCTACTGCATCGATTATTATATCAGTTAGATTGGCCACTGTGGTCATATTTGGTCAGGATTGGCCGAACAATGTTTTCTAAAAATTTGCTTTTTTCTGTCTACAGATGACGCTTATGCTAGACTTTCAAGATCACACGAGGGCGTGTGAACAGCAGGATGGCCGAGACGGAGGAGGATTTAGTTACCTTTTTCTGTTATGAAACCTTATTATTGTTTAAAGTCACTATGTTCTTTAATTTACTTTTTAAAGTTATTTTGAATGTAGAGCAGAGATTTAGTCTCGAGCGGGGTCGAGACGCCATCACGACATTCTTTGGAGATACGTGGCTTAGTAACGTTGGTTGATCATAAAGAGTTATATTTGATATTGTAGTTGGAAGTCGATGATCGGTGACTGTGAACCCGCTAGCTCTAAATCATTAGAATTACCGTTTCAAGTTTATAACATTGTGACTTCCCTGATTAAATTGTGTATTGAGCACTGAATACTTTATTATTTGAGCCCTGATAACGCCCACAAGATGAGTAACCACTAAAGATGATGTTCGTAGTATATGGATAACACGACATATATATATATATATATATACCTACTTTGAAAAAATATTTTTGCATTCTATAGCTAATTTTTGCACTAGGTATATTAAAAAGTTATTATTTTTCGTTTTTGTTTTTAATACGACTTATCGACATTTCACCAAACGATGTTCATAAGTATTCGTAATAAATGCTTAAAACTACCAAAGCTATTTACCTTTGCACGATTTAAATGATGTATCTTTTCACGTTGACTTGATTTTAAATATTCTGATATATGTTGCCAGGTCATCGAGTCATAATTTACTCTATAAAAACCTTAAAATAAAAACAAAATACAATAACCATAACTAACAAAGTAAATGTTATGAGATAGCAGGTTTTATTTTCAATACTAGCAGACCCGTGTTGCTGTGGCATACTTAGGTATATCTTCGTAAGTTGATAGTATTATTTATTTATGATAAATTATGTTCGAATGTGAAATAAATAAAATGTAAAATTTGAAAAAAATTTTTTTTGGTTTGAGCTTAAATCTGGTTTTCTCCCCGGAATCCCTCTCCGGATATGAAAATAATTAATTTTGCATTAAAAAAATAAGCGGGATAAAAACTATCCTATATTTTAAGTTGGAACAAACCACGCATTTAAATTTTTTTATTAAGATCGGGTAACCAACATCGTGATATGGGAACTTTATACATTAAAATAATACATTATTTTAAAAATAATAACTTTTACCTGATTCTTGTATGTTAAATATGGGCCAACTATGATTTTCTTTTATTTCTTGTATGTTCAAAACGTATGATTTATTATCCATTATGAAAGCAGGTTTGGTATTTTCAAAATTCAAAGCAGAATTTAATGTATAAGTTATAGGTATTTTGTAGATTTCATCAGAAGAATGCGAGGAATTAATATAGAAACGTTTCTGAAAAGCAATAATCAATAAAAAATATTCCATAATATTATACACTTATAAAAAAATCTATTGAGTGCAAGTTGTACCTGGTTTAATTCAATAGTAGAATTTTCATAATTAACTGCTACATTTAATACGGGATGACCAGATTGTGATATCCAAGAACTCATAACACCTGTTAGGTCATAGCCAGCGTAGTCAGACATTGAACCGTAGTTAGCTACACCTTTGCTGAGAGCGGAATACATTTTGTCGGGATATCCAGATTCGAATTGACTAGAAAAATATTATTATTTTAAATATTCTGACATAAGTATAGTTAAAATTTTAATAACTATAAAATGTTTATTGCTTAGTTGGAAAAATTAAGAAAATCTCCTATTTAAAGTTATTGAACTTTAAATACTTACTTTTCCGTCAGGTAAGCATTTAAGCCATACTTAAAAGCTTCATCTCCTATTAAATGGTGGATCATTCGTATCACTGAACCTGCCTTTTGATATGTAATTGTACCAAAGTGGCCGCTGATTTCTGCTGGAGAATTTACATCGTTATTTGTAATTGCGGGAGATTCCGGGTCTTCATCCGCAGTATATGCTACGTGCACTGAGCCAATAACTAACATGTCACCTGCTCCAACATCTGGCTCTATCTATAAAATTATAAATTATATAATATTAAACTTTTCCGAGTATTATAATAAATGAATGTGTTTATTGAGGACAAATTATTTTCTTTTACACAGCAACAAAGTAGAGTTGACGAGATGTTTTACTTCAGTACACATAAATGTGTAGTAGATATTATATGTATATAGTAAATATATGAGCCAGTAGGTGATACAAGTAAAACTAACTTTGGATATCATTACGTAAGAAATATTTATAGAAGAAATGGCGCATCACAAGTGCAGGTGCAAGCACTTGTCCTCACTCCTCATTTATTATTTATTTATTATTATTTATTTATTTTACATCCAATTAGAATGGCAGCGCCACTTACACTAACTAGATTATACATTATAAATTATTACAAACATAAAATACAGTAAACAAAACAAAAGTAAATACTACTTGAGTTCTGAGAGTATGCTGAGAATATCGAATAATACCGTTTAATAACAGGGTTATTCAATATTCTCAGCATACCTCAGCAATTCAAAAACTAAAGTTGACCACTTGTCATTTAATGGGTCCTAATGAGCATTGTTGTACAAGAGCGCGTTGAACGATGCCAAAGAACGCGGTATAGGTGCCATGATTCGAGCAACAGTGCGACAATATGGGACAACGAAAAACTTATTTTTTCGGGGGTGGAGATTATTAATAATTGGGGCATGAATGCGACACAGTTGAGTATGAAGATACGGAGCATCAACGTCTCCTCGCAAAATTCGGCACATAGTTTTTAGTCGGTCACAAGTCCGTCTGACTTCCAAGGAGTTGAAACCTAAGCAACCTAAAAGAAATTTGGTTGGGTATATAAAAGGGTAATATTCATAGCATCGTTTGAATAGGTATCTCAGGAAGGCCTTTTGTACCTTTTCCAATATAAGCCCATACTTTTTCTCGTACGGATGCCAGACGCAGGCGCTCGTTTCCAGTTTGTTTCGGACTAGAGCGTAATATAGTAACCGTATACACAGGACTACTGAACTCCCGAGAGTTGTGCAATACGAACCCTAACCTTCGAAATGTCAAAATTTACGCCCAGATCTCTCATATTTTGCACTCTGGGGACAGGAACTCATATTATTGAAACGTATTTAGTTATTTTATTATAAAACTTACCATGGCTGTGATGTAATCCTGGAAGTAGTTGGCAAAACCTTCGTTAAGCCATGTATTGCTCCACCAGTGGCACGTTACTAAATTACCAAACCACATATGGGTTGTTTCGTGGGCAACAATTTGAGCAACTCTATATTTATAGTAGGGCGTGGATTCTTCTGGCACATATAATAATAAAGATTCCCTGTAAAATATATGTATTTTTAATATTATTTACAATGTTATGTGCATTTTAAATAACATTAATTATTTTATATTAATATATACACTGATAGTCCATTGGGAGCACCCTGACTTTTGAAATAGTGCGTGGGTAGTGTATAATATCTTCTGCGCAGATGACTATACTCAGTGGGCTACCGTGATCGAAATCGGCCAGGAAGAGAACTATAATATTAATTAAGAATGTTCACCTGTATTTAACAAGTCCCCAATTCTCCATAGCACCAGCTCTAAAGTTAGGTAAAGCAATATGATCAAGTTTTAAATAGACATTTGTCGAATAATAATCGATACCAAAATAATCTCCAAGAGCTTGAACTACTCTTAGACCAAAATCGAATGCATATTCACTTTGATTTTTTGCTTCGGGTCTACTATACACTGCAAATTCATTTGTTCCGTTCGTCACACTTCTACCTGCTTCCATTTCTGACACCAAAAAGGCAACGAGATAAGTGGACATTTTTGGCGTTGGATAAAATATTTCACGGATATATCCATTAGTACTGAAAATTTCAAAATAAATGTAAATACTTTAAGCAAACGATTAAAAATGAATAGATAAGCTGTAAACAGTGTTATATATATACACATATTTTAAAAAGTATTAATTAATATTTATAAAGCAAATATGTTTTCTTACAGCTCCATTTTACTTTGTAGCTTTGTATTTGCTAATGATGGTTGGTAGTCTTTGGGCCTATCGATGGTTAATATAAATACTGCTTTTAATTCCGGCTCATCGAAACATGGGAATACTTTTCTGGCGTGCGTAGGTTCCATTTGTGTTGCACCTAACCATCTGAAAATATTATTTTTATGAATTTTCTTATTATCTTGTATTCAACTTTATTTAGTTATAATCTTATTAAACTGTATCTTATACATTTTAATCTTCATAAGGCATTAATTGTTAAACTTAATAAATAAGGTATAGGATTCTTATGCCAGTATCATTTTCGTATTTTCTTTTATTATTAACCATGTTATTGTAAATTATATTTTCCTACAAATAGATTTAACATTAGAAACATCTCAATATTATCTATTACTGAAGTACCATTCAGATAGTGCGACCCAAAACATTTTTTGCAACAATCTCGAAATTAAAGTAGTAGCAGCATATAGCAGTAGCAAGCAAGCCAAGTCAAGCGGGTTCAAATTCTGAGTAGCCTGTGAGATTTTTATGTGCAAATAATTTTTAAACATAATCACTAGCCTTATTGTGAAGTAAAGCATCTAGAGGTGACCAGCATGTGCGAAAATCTAATTACTTTTAGAAAGACATGTGGAGGATAAAATGTAACCTAAGTACATATGTACGAGTATATTGTTGTATTGATTTATTGCTTGTCCCATTTTGTTGTCCAACATTTTTTTTTCATAGCAAATATACCTACACATTTGTACAAGGAACATATAATGGCCGATAGTGACATGCTTAGGTTACATTTTGTCCTCTACATGAAAACACAATACTTTCTTAGATTTACGCGAATATTTGACATTTTAAATAAAACTATCTTTTCGGATTATTTCGCGAATTTATGTTTATTTTTGGGTCCCGGCGTTTCGAATGCTTTACAGCAATCATAGTCACGGGAGAGACTAAGTTTTTAAATGTCTCAAAGGCGTTATATACTTGTTAAAGAAAAAAATCTATATAAATTCCCGTTATCATCCGCAAAGATACTTAAATAATTTTTAATATTATTTACCTTATATTTTTTTATATTTACCTATTTTATATTTTTCTCACATAGTGAACTATACAGATACCTACATAAAATTGAAGTGTCTGTTTGTTATGGCAAAATTACCCTCTTTTTACTAAAGGCATGAAATTATATATGGTACCTACTTTATAAGAAAAACACAATTTTTAAAATTATTGTCTGTTACAGACAGTGCCTATCCTCTATTTTACAAAAAATGATTTCAAAAATTTAAAAATGGCACCAATGTACCTTAAAATATTTGTTGATTTTTTATAATTTAATATAGCAATATTATTTATTTAATTTTAGTTGTTATTATTATAAATAAATCCGCGAAATAATCCGAGAAGATAGTTTTATTTAAAATGCAAATATATTTTACATAACGTGATCATGAAGTATGCAAAATATTTTGACGAACACAGCAAAATATATGAAAAATAACCTAACTATAAAAGTAAACTAAAAACCTAGATATTCTTAAAACAAGAAGACAAAGGAAAATAACTATAAAATTATTTATCATTACTTGTCAATTAATTATGGTCTTAAAATATGTAAACGATAATAAACATCAAGTACATATTGTTTTTCCTTAAGTACTAGTTTCAATTTTATCTTCACAAAATCCAATATGTCAATATACTCATAGATAGGAGAATTTTGCAGATAAATGTTTTGTAACACTATCTGTTATTCTGTAGTATGGATGATTTTTTAAGATAATATTATCTTTCATGTAGAAGAGGTAACAAAAATGTTTGTGCACTTCGTACGGACTTATCACCAAGTTTCATTTAGATGTGATATTATTTATAATGTAATATTCTGTACAATTAATTTAAATTATTGTTTTTAATTTGATTAAAATTAATTATTAGGTGTTTTCAATTATCTTAAGGCTTAGATAAGATGTGAAACTAAAATCGTTGAAAATTGTATGGAAATGACTTTAATTGTTATTAAAATTATTATGATCTATTGATCATCTATATTAATATTATAAAGGAGAAAAATGTATTTTTGGTTGTAATGGATAAACTAAAAATCTGCTGAACGGATTTAGATGAGTATAAAGTCAGTTTTAAGCCCTGGAAAAGACATAGGATAATTTTAATTACGGAAATCATCCCTTAAGAGAGTTAAAAGAGGGATGAAAGTTTGTATGGGGACTCAATCATTTCTCAATTTAATACGCAACGCACATTTAACCAGTCAATAGTCAGATTTTGAAAATTATTATAGGAGCTCCAATCTTAAGTAATATACGTAGAATAAAAAATTAAATTAAAAGAAACCGTTTATATTTAAGTTTGCATTTCAGATTTTTCTTCCTAAGGTTATTTCTTACATATTCATTAAATGTAAAGTTGTTGGTAAACTTAATGAAGAGAGAGAAAAAAGAAAAGACAAGCGTTTTAATTTCTATCTAGGTCTATATAGGATGCTACTCAATCAAAATATATCTATATCCAAAATTATTGATACCATTGTTAGTATACGACTAATATTATTAAGCTTTACGAGTATTTTGAGTATGATATGCATAAAATTATAAAACGAATTAAATAATTGATGTAATTACTTACTTTTTAACTCCATTTTCGATGTAGTAGTTCCTGTAGAAACCATTTAAGTCAGTTCTTATTGGCCCTGTATAAACTATCCTCAAGGTATACTCCACTCCAGGTGTTATATCATTTTCCAAGTTTATATGAGTGAATGTGTAGAGTTCTTCATATTCCAATGGATTAGTTGAATTCAAATTAACAGAACCTGTTTCACTATTTAAGAAAATAGTCGAAGCGTTAAAAATCAAGTCCTGAGAGTGGAGTTTAATTTTGTTGATATTTTTATCAGTGGTAAATGTTATAAGGACTTCCCCATCGAAAGTGAATGCTCTACTGTCCTCAGTGTCAAAGTATGGTGTTATTGTTATGGCATAAGAAGATGGTGTTATACTGGTATTCAATCTATAGTTAGTATCTAAATAAACAGATCCAATAAGGCCACATATCACCATCAATTGGAAGGTTTGCCGTAACATGACTGCAAAAATAGAAATTTAATATTTTTAATAATTTAAATAAAGTACAGTTATTGGGCAAAGAGTTGTTTAAAAGAACAATGAAAAAAAAGAGTATATTAGAAGAACTTAAAAATATTGATTTATTTTTGAAGTTATACTTCTTTTGGCGTGTTAGGGTGAAAAATTATGAGTGTTTTTTTTTACGATTCAACAGATTTAGACTACAGTATGAAGTTAGTAGTTAAATCTCACTTAAGTATAGTGTGAAGTGATGTCTATTTTCAAAACATTTATTATGGTTTTTCTGTATGACACAACACGTGTTTAATATCGATAAAAATAAAAAGGATTACAAGCTTTTATATACTTTTATCTGTCCCGGTGTATGTCTGTAATCAAATCTTGCAAGTTAAATTTGACCCACTTCCCAGTGTCCGATTGAACTGTGGCACACACGTTTGGTTCTTACCATTACTTATTACCATTTTTAATCCATTTAGGTGGACGTTACAAAAGGGCGATTTATCATTTCCATGGTGACTCTTATGGGCATCAAATGAAAGAACTTGATGAGGGAAAGACAATAAGCAAAGTGATGTGATTGTAAATCCAATACAGCGGACTACCAAACATAGCGAACTACGTTTTTTATGCACCCCCATGATACGGATATCAAATGAAATGTTTGCTGAGAAGAATATGAATAAAACAAAAACTAAAATTAAAGCTTTAATTTAAATGCTCTAAAAAAACAAAGAAGTATAACTTCTTACGTGCGTACATAAATACATACATACTTTATTTTTATTGTTAGCTTAATACAGAATTTACATTTAAACATTAACATTTTCTCTTAATTTTATTTAATATTTTATATATATAATTTATATGCTCAGGCAATACGAAATGATTTAATAATTAAAACGCTCACTTACCTGTAGTGTTGACTACAGCAATTTATTTTACAAACTGTATTTCTTACTGCGCTTTACTCTTAGAAAGATAATAATCATCTCGAGTTTTACCTTATCATTATTCGTTGATAATATAGTGTATTATATCAAGTGCTAAAGAAACAAGTGTAGTTAGCGATACACATGCTAAAATTTAGATTTTTTTAAAATTGTTGACTCCCCCTAGCTTTGCTTCAGGTCCCACTACCCCCTATCCCAAAAACGTCTTTATTTTTTAAAGAACGAAAGAATCAGTCGATTAAGTATCAAAGATTAATAAGTACAAATAAGCAAAAGAGACTTACTAAGCTTAGGTTTTGTGCAAATAGTAATTTAGTATACGAGGGGTTTCGGGGGCGATAAATCGATCTAGATTAGTTTTATGTCTGGGAAAACGCGTGTTTCCGAGTTTTCATGCGGTTTTGTTTCGCATTATTCCACGCAAAATATGGTCGCTAATTCACACGCTAGGACATAAGCATCGTGGTCACGTGGCCAAGGCGCAAGTTTGACAACCACAGGTGTCTGGGTTCGTATCCCGGTCGGATACAAAGTTTTTACTTTTCTTTTTTTTTGTATTTATTCAAATTTTTGTTTGTTTTTTTTAAACGTTTTTTTGGCCAAAAACTCCGAGCGAAGCTAGGTAGCCCAGGTACTGAATATAATATGTAAACAAGGTTGATGTAATCACTCGATGTAATTATATTCTTTAATTAAAATTAAGTAGAAAATAGGTATAAAATTACTTTAAATTCATATAAATATTTTATGGGACATTAAAAATCTATATTAGCTTATTTTTTTTATTATGTACAAAATTTTAAAATATCTTCAAATTTTTCATCTCCATAACAAAACGAAAGACGTAACCAACAGCAAAGTTGTTGGTAAAGCAATATTTGCAGAACTTCTCGCCGCTCTAAGTATGGATTCGGCATTATCTCTTCCCCACTGCATAACGGTGCGTCTTGATGATATAGCATTCAAACCCACTTGGAAGTTTGGTATCGTCCCTTGGTTAGCTCTAAGCCATTCTTCCATCTGAAAGTAAATGATATTGTATATAATATGTAGTATTTCTAAAAAGTGTTTTTTTACATACTCGTATAAGCATAACATTTAATCTTAATAATTTAGACATCATTTTGAAGATTGTGTTCTAATATATAATTAAGTAGTCCGCCAACTTGCACTTGGTCAGCGTGGTGGACTATGACCCCCAGCAGTGAGTCGTTAAAAAGGGCTAAATTCACATAGTATATTATAAGTATAATATACTAAATTCGCATAGTATATTATAAGTATAAATAGTGGTAGTCACGGGCCTCCCTTCAATACGAGGGGGATCAGGATAATCCACCACGCTGGCCAAGTACGGGTTGGACTTCAAATGTCTTTCGAAAACTTATTATGTTATCTCCGACATGCAAGTTTCCTCACGATGTTTTCCTTCACCGTAAGACAAGTGGTAATCATGTGGAAAATGATTCGCACATGAAAATATCAGAGTTGCAAGACCTGGGATTTGAACCCTCTTCAATCGGTTATCCAAGTGAGTGCGTCATCACTGAGCTACCACTGCATCATATTGTATTAAAGTATTATAATTGTTATCATTTTTTTTGTGCTTATTACTTTCTTAGATTTACGCGAATATTTGGCATTTTAAGTAAAACTATCTTTCAGATTTTTTCGCTGATATTTTGTGTTTATTAACTTCTTCCTTTACCTTTTTTATTATGTATATGAGTACTTTCATTTAGTTTAACAATTATTATTCTATATTTATTATTATTATAACCTTTTCTTACATTTTACCTTGATTATCCACCATTATTCAAACAAAGTTAGCAATACTCAATAAGAGTTAGAAATACTTTTAAGTAAGTTCTTTTTAAATAACATTAAAATGCACCGAGCATATTCAAAACCTGCTGGTATCAAATTTGTGTACTAATTGGGCCTAAGAGAAAACCAAAAAATCAAATATCATAAAAATTGGTCCAGCCGTTCTCGAGTTATAAATGGTATTTTTTATATAAAGCGTAAATAAAACAAAAAAATATAAAATAAATAATTTTAGTCAGTACTCACGTCAGCCAGACCTTCCTCTTCCATGTAACTGGCTAAATTACTTAGTACACTGTCAAACCATGTTGGAAGAGCAACTCTAAAAATTAAAAATAATAAAATTTATATGTAAAGAAAAAAAATCATTTCTTAGATTGTACGAAATATTAAATCTGAAAAGGGAAAAAAGTTACAAATTACTTACTTTTTTCTAATTTCCTCCACTTTTTCCTTGAAAAATGGTAATGCAACTCTTGCATTTCCTCTATTGCCCATAAAAAGGAATGTTAAAGCATTAGCGCTGTCTTGAGCTTTGACGTCATCGCTCAGAATCATTTCAAGATATCTAAAACAAATAATGTATTCATTTCTACGCTAATAATACTCTTTAAATTAATATATAATTAATAATATTTAATACTTTCTATAAAGCTTCATTGAAAATATCTTCTTTTTCTATCTATTTTTTTTTGTTCGTTTCTTGTCATCTTACACCGTACCTTCTCTACTAATCACTACAAATCAAATTATTTCAATATTTTTTGATGAACAGATTATATCTCAAAGGATCCATAAAATAACTTAAGACAAACATCCATCTTTACAACTAGGATTATTCTAGTTTTAAAGTGATTTTAAATACGTTGAACCGACGTTTTTAGTCAAAAGAAATTAAAAACCACATAATATGCAACAACACATTGTATATTTTACTGTTGGTTCTGCCACGATTTACATCATCTGTCAATATCATCAAATAAAGAAATACGTAAAGTATAATTTAAGAAATATATGTAACTAATAATTCAATATCTAGGTAAGTATATTTCGGCCTATATACTTCTTTGATAGAAGAGTGGACTGTTGGAGCAACCCCATGGTTGCTATGGTCTGCTTCGGCAGACTTGCCGTTGATGCATCGTCGTTGAGTGCGGAAGTGATTTTGCGACGCCCCATTAAGGTGGGGGAATTTCTGATGGGTTTTATTGGCTAGTACTGGCTTTGCCGGTGAATCTCACATAACCACCTGTATGTCAGGTGGTATGCCTAAATGCATTTCGCAACGTTAAAAAAGACCTATGATGATAAGTATCTATCATCTAATCAGTCATGTAAGTTGAATTAGCACCAAAAACTTTTCTTCATAGCTGTATTAGACTAACTGGTCATTGCCAGGTTTTTTTTTATCAAAATAATAACATACTCTTGTATAGCATTTTCATCAGTAGTGCAGCCCAAGGATCTTAACATAGCAACTTCGTCAGCTTGGTTGTTAGAGTTCAATCTACGCTCGTAAATAAATTTCCATGCATCGTAACCACCGTTCAGAACTCCACGGCAGAAAACGTGCCTCCTTAAATTAGGGTCGACGCTGAAAATTTAAAAATGTTAGTATATGTTATTAAAAAAGCAAATAAACTTTAATCCATATTATATATTAATATTATACTCGTAAATGTGAAAGTTTGTGAGTATGTTTGTTACTCTTTCACGTCAGGACGGCTGAACGGATCTGGATGAAATTTGGCACAGAAATAGATCATAGTCTGGAATAATACATAAGCTACATTTTATCCCGGAAAAATATACGGGTTCCGAGAAATATAATAATTTCTTTTTGTTTTTCTACAGGCGAACCCAGGCGAAGCGAGGGTGAGCCGCTAGTATGAAATAATTGTAGATATATTTTTAGTTTTGAGGTAATATTAATAATAAATGTACATATCTATACTGTAATAACTAATAGAAAGCAGTACTCAAAAAGTTAGATCGAACAAGTTGAACTTTATAAAGAAATTTAGTTCAAAAACTACATTTTCACATTCATTTTTTAATAAAAGTATACGTAGAATCACATACTATCCTTTGCGTGTTAAGAAAATATTAAGCAAAAACGATACCATGAAGTCTAATCAAACAAAGTAATGGCGTAATATCGATATGAAAGGAAATTGACCAAGCCTACATAAAAATTGTACTAATACTAAATTTAAATATAGTAAAAGTACTCTGATACACAATTGACCATTCTGCTTTAATAACTTATTATCTTAATTATGGGACCTGATATTATAGAGAATTTATTATAAATTATAATAAAAATGTGATACATACAAAATTATGCAGTGGTATTTTAAATTTGTGTTTTACTGACGTTCGGAAATTTAACGAAATAAACTCCTAAGCTATTAAAGTTCCTACTGTATGTATATTTAAACGACCGAAAGAAATACAAATGGTTTTTTTTTGGTTTTAAATAGGAAACGTTAAATTTGGATGGTGTGAATCAATTGTTATCTTAAATATTGTTTAGGGATTGTACGATAAGGCTCAACAGTCAAATTGGGATATTGTATTATAATTATCACTTTGTAATCAATTGGTCCACCCCTGAGTGTATTATGTACTTCTAAAGTAATTTTGAAATGAGCGTGTCTTTTTACCCGACCGCGGTGAAGCCCAAAGGAGCAACATGGTATTATGCAGTCAGAGATATATAGGTACATACACGTAGTAAGACTCCAAGCAAGTACATATAAATATAACATATTCCCATTTTTTAGTTCGTTTTATTACGCAGTCGGTTTTTTTATATTTCTAATTTTTATTTAAAAGGTAATTGCAGGCTATACCGGTTTTATTAAAAAATATAACTAAATACATACCGCTTGAGCTTCCCGCTAAAAGCACTTACGTATAAAAGGTCGTATATATTCGTAATGTTTTCAAAATAATATCCATTTTGATCAATAAATTTCGTTATTTTTATTCAAATTTCAAGTTTAATTCTTTACAGCATAGAAATTAAGCATATTTTGTATTTATCTTTCTAAATCATCGTCTTTGTTTCTAAATAATAAATAAGCACATATAAGAAGCAACAAAAATAGGTACTTTACCTGTTCTGATTAGTCATTAGGGCATTGAACTTTGTGATAGCATTGTTGACACAACCTTCATGGCCGATCTCACATGCGAAAGCAAGGATGTGGAATCTGTGTAAGGTTCTAGTAAAGGGTTCCCCGGATTGGACATCGTATCCTAAATCTGAGACTACTGCGTCAAGGAATTTGTACAAGATTTCCTGTCAAAAATAGATAAAATAGAGTTAAATTATTAAATTATGGTAATTTTTGATATTCGTCAAAAAAAGTATACAATATGCCTTTTAAAGTAATCCTATCTATGATAATGACCTATGACTACTGATCCTAGTCATATGAGCAGGAGATATTATAGTGCACCAGTATGTACGCAAACACAAGTGCATTCTCTATTCCTTTCACTCTCAAAGTCCGATGGGATAATATAATACTTAGACACGGGGAGTCTTAATGCAGGAACAGGACAGACAGTTTTATGTGCCCTCCGAAGCACGGGCGTGTGACACCGGCAACTTCCCAACTCCAGGCTGCTACGAGAATTTCTTAACAGAAAATCTCAATAACTCAACTTTGCCTAACTCGGGACTCGATTTCATTGGGTCTACAGCCGTACATGCTAGCCACTAAACCACCAAGGCACTTTGTCCTATAATATGATCTTAAAAAGCGAATAAACGTTAATAACTAACGAAGTTGAGAGAAATTAGGCATGAATATGAATATCAAGATATACCCTTGAATCATCTAAGCGAATGAAGCTTCTAATGTAGCTTGTTAACGAATATACGAAAGGAACCATGAGAAGAAAGGCAAAAATATGAGAAAATATTTATTTTATTACAATATAGCATCATAAGCTACTTTTCAAAAGATATTATTAATATTCATTTCTGCACTAATAATTATCTTTAAGAGGATAAATGACTATGTAATATTATATAATTGCACTGATTACAATTTTAGTTGAGTGCTATAGAAATGTTTGACATAGAAATGTTTGACCTAGTACATATAATAAAATATCAGATTAATCTAATAGATATGCTAAATACATATCTCGTGTCACGGTGTTTGTGGTCGCACTCCTCCGAAACAGCTCGACCGATTTTAATGATATTTTTTTGTATATTTGGTTAATAGGTTAATGATTGGAGAATAGGTTGTAAAGTATTTTTCACCTTCTTACTCCCACCCCCTTTTTTTAATCGCAATTTTAATATTTCTGTAAGAACAATATTATATAAATATGTACATAGCGACGAACCCGAGTGAAGCGAGGATGAGTCTATACTAATATTATGAAGAGGTAAAGTTTGTGAGTTTGTGAGGTTGTAGGGGTCATCTCTGGATCTACTGAACCGATTTAGATGAAATTTGGTAAAAAGATAGTTAGAGAGCCTGGAAAGGATATAGAATACTTTTTATCCCTAAAATCATCTCTTTAGGTGGTGAAAATGGAGATGAAACTTTGTATTGGGAAGCTATATATTTTATATATTTATAAATTAAAAAATCGTATAAAATTAATACGAGTAGCTATGTGATGTAACTAGCAACAAAACTTATTCCATATATAATTTCTGGTTTTAATAAAAGGAAAATTGGTTTATATTTTGTTTATATGTTTTAAATAAATAAAAGAAAATTAAAAATTATAATTCACGTTCTAAAAAGTTACTGATGAAGTAAAATAATGGAAAAATAATTTCCTCTTCCCCAAATTTCAATTACAGCCAGTTACAAATGTTAACACTACGCGGCATATATTGCCTACAGTATATATTTATTTACCTTCACTGTAGTGACCTGAAGACAGTCAAATAAATTTTAGTTCTATATGTAATGACTGACGAAACTAAAAAATATCAGCCCAAATCCGAGCTGTCACTTTTAAGCCTGACTTGAAAGAAAAACCCAGGATCTTGTACGAGTAATTTTTAACCGTGACAATTAAAAAATATTAGCAACTAAACTTCATGTTAAAATCAATACTTACATCAAATTCCTTTAAAGTTTCAGGTAGGTGAATGAATCTTTCTCTAATCCAAGTAAAACCAGATATCGCTGGGAACCAAGCATAGTAATTTGTATCTTCCTTAAGGAAATCTAGAACTTTAAAGCCAAGTTCGTATGATATGTGCTCTGATCGCATAAGTGCAAAAACGTCACTAACAATCTAAAAAAAATACGTGTGTTGATTATGAACATAAAAATAGCCTAAAAAGAGTTCAAAAAAATTATAGTAAAAATAAAACAAAGTATACAAAGAGGCAAGTTTGCAAGATTAGAACTCGCAATCATCAAAACTTAGAATTTTACATTTTTAATTTCGTTATATTACAAAGCAGACATACAGATACGGAATAACCTTTTATTGTTAAATTGGCGATTCTTGTATATACATATATTTTATTGCGTGTATCTCGGAAACGGCTCTAACGATTTGGTTTAAATTTTGTTTTTAGATAAGGTTTTTCTTTTAAGTTTATCTATATAGCTGTCTTTTACCGTCGCCCAGGTGCTAATATATTATTCATTTAAATTTGAATTTGAATCAAAATTACCAAAAAAATCTATTCATCTCAAATTAAATACCGGGTATTTTAATAGCAGTCAATGACCTGTCAGTTCAAATCAATGGTGATTTAGAAAAATATAGTAGAAATCTATCGGCACTCTCTATGACTTAATTAATAAACTATTTTATGACATACCTGTGCTTTATTTAAGTGATGTATACTGGAGCCGTTATTGTTTAGAGTATCGGCGATCATTTCCCAAGTGCGGGTATCATAGTTGACACGATATATACCTGTATACATAATTAATCTATTTATTATTCTTTTTAATGTATTAATATTAGGCATAAAATGTATTTTTTTAGGTTTACACATAAAATTTAAAAATATAAGGTATAATATATTTGACTAGCGTTTTCCTGTGACTCCGCCCGCATAGTAATTTAATCACCAACATATCATATACTAAAACCTTCTCCGAAACACGCTACATCTTATGGTATGAGTATTATTCCGATCGAATCAGTAGTTATCGCAGTATAACCGAACTAATAAATCGGCACTCCATTTATTAGTATAGATTAATTGATGTAAATTTTTTTTATATAACTTGGCAAGCCGATAAAGATGACGTAATATACGGGGGATTATTACGTGATATCGGCACAGTAATATTATATATAAAATGTGTTTAATCGTCACATCGGTCCGTCCGTTTTTGGTTTGGTTTGGTTGGTGTTTGGTTTGTCAAATTAGAGATTGATCTTTTATTCAGCATTGAATATTTTATTAAATTATTACAATTATTTACTGAACGTCATGAGTCTACTACCAGTTCAATAAGAAGAAGCCTCAGACCTGAGAAGAACTGGTGAAAGAAACTCACCTTGCATTGTTAAATGTGTATCAACCATTTCCCTCGGATATTATAAATATACATAACTGTAATTTGGAAGTACTTTTTTAATGTAAATATAAATATAATAATATCAACCAACCTTTTTGTTGTATGTTAAATATCACCCACTCTTGTCCTGGCTCTTTTTGAATTTCCATTGTCTTATCCCACATAACATGCGACGGAGTTAAATTATTCCAATCTGGGTTATTACCCGTTGTAAATGTAAGGGGTAACGGCCACACCTGATCTGTTGGTTGTGTTGATGGGCTTATGAAGAAACGAGACTGGAAATTTTAAAATATTAAATAGCATTTCAGTCACATGCCATATTGTGTCGAAGCATTCATGAAAATTTTAATAATTGTTTCAACCTATTCGAATTTGTTACCTGAGATAAACTTATAACACCAGTGTCCATATTTTGGTTTACATTTAGCAATGGGTAGCCTGGTTCTTCTACCCAATATCTCATGAATCGTGCTATATCTGTATCTACAGTTTTGTCTTCTTCAAGAGCTTTAGCGAAAGCATTGTAAAGATCTTGTGGATGAGCATACTCAAAAGATCTGGAATTATTGTAATTATTTTTAAAATATTATGTAGTAATTTATAATCTTAAACGAAATGTTTCTATAGTAATTTTAAAAAAATCACTAATTTGAAAAAAATACTTACCTGTCAAGTAGAAAATAATTTAAAGCCTTCTTAAAAGTAGGTTCACCCAAGAAATGCTTTAGCATTAGAAGCATGGAAGCTCCTTTAGTGTAGCTAATTCCACTGAAATGGCCAGTAACTTGGGCTGGAGAGTTGACGGTATGCTGTAAAGCTCGTGTAGCAGCTGAGGCGTCACTAGTTAAGGCACTTTGCAAGTATCGGATAATGAATTGATCATTTAGTTCCATAGAAGGATCGACCTGATAAATTAAAAAAGTTAATAATTATCTAATCTTTGAGAAAGCATTAATTAGATGTAAGTCAAGGCTCAAGTCAGGGCTTGCATGACGGCAGGTTTTAATATTTTAACCATAATTATAAAAAAATATGTAACTATAACTTACTTAAAAGTGCCATTTCAAATGATAATCACGTCATGATACACATTAATTTACTTTCAGACTGTCGTAAATTCACCTTACTGTATTTAAACACCAAATATGGAGTCTTTCTTGATAAATTCTCATGTGACACTATTCAGGTTTTGCTTTTTTATCAAATATACCAAATTAAAAATAATATTAAAGCTATATGTATCATATGCATACTCACACCATCCATAGCAAAATATTCGAAGTAGCTGGCGAAACCTTCGTTTATCCAAACATTATCCCACCATCTGGCAGTTATGAGGTTGCCGAACCATTTATGAGCTAGCTCGTGTGCAGTAATCGTACCAATGGACATCTTATCTAGAGCATTAGTCTGTCCTTCTTCATACAGTAAACGTAGCTCCCTGATTATAACAACGATTTTAGTTTCATGACTTTATTAGTAATTCTACTTAATTTAAATAAAATTAATGTAGGCACAAATTATGATTTTTTTTAATTTATTGCACTTAAAATATGATACAGAAAAAAAATAACAAAGTAAACATAGTTCACAAAGGTGGACTTATCTCTAAAAGAGATCTCTTCCAGTCAACCCCTGGTTGTGGAAGAAGATGTCAGCGGGCAATATAGTGCAAAAAAAATTACTAAATATATACTAAATAAATAAATAGTATTAAAATTAATACTCAATTTCAAATATGATTTGTATTTAAGCAGAACAAGATTATGAATCAAGAGCATAAATACACTAAAATATTCATAGTTTTTCCAACAAGCTATATCATTTCTGTTAATTTACAAGTACGTATATTAGGTAATAAGCAGTGGTAGACCAATGTTAACGCGCTCGCTTGGAAACCAAGTAAAGTGGGTTCCAATCCCGGGTCTCCTACATCTGATATTTTCAGGTGCTAATCATTTTCAAAACGATTACCACTTGTCTTATGGTGAAGAAAAACATCGTGAGGAAACCTGCATATTTGAGAGAACCTAGCAAGTTTTCGAAAGACATGCGAAGTCCGCACTTGGTCAGCGTGGTGGACTATGGTTTGATGCCCCTCGTATTGAAAGGAGGCCCGTGCCCAAAAGTGGGACGTTAAAAAAGTCCGAATACATACATATTAAGTAATAGATAAACAAAACATAAATTAGAAGGTGAATTTAAAATGTACCTGTAAGACACCAATCCCCAGTTTTCAGTTGCACCAGATGCCCAATCGGGGCAAGCAATTTGATCATTTTTTATATTCTCATCCATCTTATAATATTCAATGTTTAGATAATCACTCAACCACGTTGTCAATGGCACACCTACTTCCAAAGCATATTGTCCTTGACCTTGAGCATTCGGTCGGGCCAAGATGCGATAAGAAGCTGTATTATTGTTGTTATTGGCAATGACTCTAAAGTCTTCGCTAATATGAAAAGTGACCAAGTACGCAGACATTCTTGGTGTGGTATGAAAGATTTCTCTTCTACGATTTCCTATTCTGAAAAACAAGAATATTATAATTAATAAGAAAATGATACTATAATTTATATTATTCAGATTACATATTATATTATGGATATTTTAGCCAATTTTAAGCATTTAAATAGTTTTTTTTACAATTAAATAAAAATGTAATTTGCATAATATTGCTCATATCATTAAATATTTTCAATTCTCCACTTTATCCACATTTTGGACGTAGACAACACGTTTGGCTCAGTTTGTAGTGACCTCACTGCTGTGCCAGCGGTCACTTTAAGTCCCGCTGGAGGCATTAATTTGTGTGATGAACACGAATATTTGTACTCCAGTCATGGGTGTTTATTTTTATAAAATGTATGTATTTATTGTAAGTTGTATTTGTAATGTATCAACTATCTGGTATCCATAACACAAGTCTCGTAGTTTATCATGAAACTAGATGGTGCTGTGTACTCGTAATGTCCCAACATATTTCTATTTATTTATTTATATTTTTACAAATAAAATGACACATGCTCTAAAATATGACACCATGGCGATTTCAATTTGAAATATGTATTAGCCAACATCTAGTTTATAACATGGTAACTTAATGGAAATGAAGCAGAAAGAAAAATGACTTGAAATAAATGTCAATAGCTGGTGTAAGTGTTACATGTACAGAATTTTTATCAAAGATTAATAATAATGTATTGAATAAGTGCAAGAAAAGAAAAAATCTTTAATTGCAAATTCACGCATTTAAAAAAATAGGTTAACAAATATAAATTTCCGAGCATGCACCATCTAGAATTTATTCAGACAAAACAAAATAGCCCGAAGAATACACCTTATTAGAGCCATCTAGTCTCTTATATGGGATGGGGTATTGGTAATACTTAGTATCACAGTTGTACGAGTAAAACATCTGCGTTTACATGAACACCGGTTGACATTTTCACACGCTTAAGTTTCAATAAATATCTGTGACGTACGAAGTTGACGTTTTTAGGACCTTGCCTCAGCAAGAAAATACTTATATTTATCTTTTCAATGACGTATACAGTTATCTTTTAAAAACGTGAAAAATAGCGTGACTAAGACGGCTATGAATACATAATATATTTCTTCATGATTATCTTCTTTATAGTTAACAATAATATTGTGTTTACATAATTCAAAAATATAACTAAAAATATCTTCACATGTAACTGAAGGAAAGACTTACGTCATTTGTTCCTTTATGGCCATATTTGAGAAGGTCTCAGTGAAATGTTCTGGTCGATTGATTATAATGTCAAAAGTTGATTTAAATCCTGGTTCATCTAAGCAAGGAAATGCTTGCCTCGAATTAGTTGGTTGTAAATGTGTAGCTGCATACCAGCTGAAAGAGCAAATATTATTGTAAATAATAATATATTATTTAAAGTGTTTTTCTATTTTAAACCGACTTTTTCAAAAAGGAGGAGGTTCTCAACTCGGTTGTATATATATTTTTATTTATTTTTATGTTCGTTACCTCAGAACCTATTAACTGATTTCGACAATTTCTGTTTTGTTTGAAAGTGTATACTTTCAAGTTGTTTGTCTTAGTTCGATGCAAATTTTTATATGAAGACTGAAAAACTAAAATTCACTTTTATAAGTAACACAGAGAATTCTGGCTCTAAAATACAATTCTAACGTTTTGGGCTTGTCGAATCAAACAAAATAAGCCCAAACTCAAAGTATTTACTAGTAGCCGTTGAAGAGTTCTACCTTCTGGCTTAACCATCAGATCAGGTCGTAATAAAATTAGTAAGTCGTCGAAATAAAAATACTTGCAAAGTTTCAAGTCCATATGACAATTAGAAATAGGGAAAATGTTCATTTGCTATTTTCACACCCTTAAGAGTGGTATTTTTATTCAAATTTAAGTGGTACACAAATGAAAGTATACAATTTTTAAAGAAATTGAGAACCTCCTCCTTTTTGAAGAAGTTGGTTAAAATATTTAGATTCATTCAATCTTTATTTTCGTTAAAGATATAGTTTTTATACTTACTGAATTTTTCCATCGCTGTCTTTGTAGCTCCCTCTAAAAACACCTCGACTCAATGGTGTTTCATTAATGTTACCAACATACACAACTGTCAACGTGTACACATGGTTTGGAGTCAACACTAAACCATCGTCTAAGTTAACTTTCAAGAAATGGTACTCACTTATCCTTTCAAACTCATTTCCAGGTTTCAACCGTACTTCAGCATTACTTTCATTTACAAGAAATACTGATACAATATCTTTAACATTTTCATGAATTATAAGTGATGAAATGTTAGACTTGGCCTGTAAAAAAAAGTTTAAAAATATTACAATAATTTTTATTGTTATACAATGTCAAAAGCAATGGTAGCCCAGTGGTAACGCGCTCGCTTGGGACACCGAGTGTCGCACCTTTGATATTTTCATGTGCGAATAATTTCGGTGAAGGAAAACATCGTAAGGAAACCAGTCTAAAAGAACTTTACAAGTTGTCAAAAGTCATGTGATGTCCGCCATACAATACGTGACATACAATGTCTTAGTTTTTCGCTTATTTAGGGATTTAATTTCAAAAAAATGGCTTCTTAGTGCTAAACTAAATATATGCTGACCAGCCGTTTGATCTAATCGTAAAAAAACAGTCAGTAAAAGTAACTTTATACTAATAGTTTTGCAAATAATAGAGAGAACAAGTAAAACAAAAATGGTTTTATCCTACACTTTTCATGTCAAAAACATTCAATCAACAAAACTTAAAACACTTTCTCAGATTTATGCTAAAGATCTAACTTACTCGAACTATCAGTGATACAACTCCGTCAAAAGTAAACGCTTCTTTATTTCCTTCAGCTTCAAAGTATGGTGTTATTTCAGCTGTTATGTGAATAGGATCTAAATCTTCAGGTAGACGATAATTTTCATCGCCTTCATTGCTTCGGAGAACTTGCTCTTCGATATCAATTGGAAAGTCGGATTTCACTAGTGCTATTAATACTACTAATGAAACCAGCTTTAGAAGAGCCGTCATCGTGCTAAAATTTCAAAAAGTTTCTAAATTACATATATATACCTACATATATATTTTTTGTGTTATCAGAAAATACGCTTAGAATGTTCAGGTTTGTAAAAGCAAAAATGACGAAAAATTAATGAAAAATTAACCATGAAGTCAAGAGAGAAACGCCTCATGTCGGTTTTATAGATCTATTTTATTCATATTTAAGATTATTTAATTATAAAAAAGTGTTGTCGATTATTATAATATAATTATAATATATATAAATATAAAAATAATTTTTATTAACATTAAAACTACTCAGTAAGAAAAATAATAATTAATATGATGGAAACGATTTACCTGTTCTGATCCTACATGCACAATTACGTATTTTATCAAAATATATTATAATCATTTATTGCGTCAATTAATTTTGTATCTTATCAAAATATTATTATGGCTTTCAAATTTCCAAGATATATGTATATATGTACGTAGATTAAATAAATTTTATGATAGTAATATCATACGAATGAACTTGAATGTATTTTATACCGCCGACACGTGACACCTGTTATTAGTTCTGACAATGAGTAAAAAACTATGCATATCATTGGTTATCTATAAATTGATTATATTTTTATCATAATTAAAAAGCTTTATTTCAATTAGTTCTTATTGTTCAAGGATTTAACGATTATCTAGTAGATAGAGAGATATTGGTTTGTTGTGTTGATGCTTCATTTTACTAAAAGTATGCCGTATGTTTGTCTTATGCCGGATTTCACCAACGTCACCTAAGTTTAAGGGATCCCCTAAGCATGGTTAGGGGGCTGTTAGGGGACAGTTTCTGTTTCACTGACAGTTAGGGGTCACCTAAATATTAAAAGGCCCCCTAAATTTAGGTGCTCGAAATATGGGCTTAAAGACAATCGTAAAATGAAATTTAATTTAGGGGCTAGTTTAGGGGACTTTTAAGCTAGGGATCCCATACGTAGGTGGTAGCTTATGGGTTGTTGGTGAAATCGAGCATTAGGCTTACAATTGAAATCGGTATTAAGTTTATGATTGGCGGTTGAATAATATTAATTTATAAAAACTGAGTTAATGATAAAGAAATATTATTTAATGTTACTTTTACCTTTCGGTACAAAAATATACTCAGATCTGAGGGCCTACCATCAACTCTTTTTGCGACTGAAATAGAAAGCATTGGTAGCCTATTGGTAACGGGAAATCAAGCATAGCGAGTTCAAGTCCTGGGTCTCGCACCGCCGATATTTTCATGCTTTTATCTATCTTATTCAATGTGATTATCACTAGTCTTATGGTGTGCGGGAACCTGCATGTCTGAGAGAACTAGCAAGTTTTCGAAAGACATGTGAAGTAAGCCTACGCGCACTTGGTCGGCATGGTGAACTATTCCCCTCATTGAGAGTCCCTTTCCCAGCCGCGGAACGTTCAAAATTGTGGAATGTTAACTGAATACTGTTAATGATATGAAAATAAGCGATTCAGTTTAAGAGCCTAAACTGCATTGGAATTCGGAAATATAAAGTAAAAGTCGATGGTAGGCGCTCAGCTCGATAATACTTGCAAAGTTTCAAATAGGGAATAAAAAACTTAGTTTTGTTACATTGTGTTAGTTTAATTTGAAGTTAAAAGCATTTTAAAGTTTATTTTATACTAATGGTATTAAATAACCATTTTGCTGTGTTATACTGCTTCTTTATAACTGTAAGCTTGTGATGTATCAACTAGCTGTCAGCGGGTTTATAAGCCTCATAAATATTGTTTGTCATGTCACTTTCTTTTTATCAGATTAGCAGTTTGGTATGTGCTTTAATGAACCATTTAGGGACAAGTCATTATCAAATTTTGCAAATATTTTCAATCGTAATCTATACTATAATAAAACTGTGAGGTCAAATGTGTGTACATAGAAAAAAAAATGCTAAAAACCAAGTTAGGGGAATGTAAGAAGAGAAATAGAATAAATCCATATTTTTTTAATTTTTTTGTTTCTCTGTCTGTCTGTTTGTACGGGCTAAACTCCGAAACTATTGGACCGATTTAAATGAAATTTTGCATGTTAATACCTTATATCTTCGGTTAGCATTTCAAATACTTTTTATCCCGGAAAGTCAATATTTCCAATGCGATAGTTAAAAAACTATAGTAACTTATACAGCTTAGTACACAACAACTTATGCACCTAATTTAGTAAAATTTGTCATGCTGATACCTTATATTGCCGATCAAACAACAGCTTACTTTTTATCCCGGAAAATGAACGGTTCTCGTGGGATAGATCTGTTTGTGCTTTTCTAGAGGCGAACCCAAGCGAAGCGAGGGTGAGCTGCTAGTATTATAATATAATTGTCGAGAATCAAATTAAATATGCAGAATATCTTTATTTTTCTTGTATTTTTATTAATTCAAGTATTATAATTGATAATTGTGGTATGTGCCTAAGCTATCCTGAAACGCCCTATTGCTGCGATGATAAGGCTCTGTGAGTTTTAGTAGAAGTCTCACAGTCCCCTACACGTCGACGGCGGTAGGGTCCTATCAGGGGTCCCCACAGTGACATAAAAAGGTGGTATAAATAAAACAAAATATTTTTCTAATAATATATTTTGATGAACTACTAATAAAACTTTAAAGATTTCAGATATACCGTATAAATAAAAAGATTAACTAAAAAAGATACATGTTTATATTTACTGTTAGAATTATCTTAAAAATAGCATGCCTAGTTAAAATAGACAAAAACCGAAAGTATCCTGTATTTTATAAAAATATCTAAACGTTAATTGCAAATATCGCCATGACAGATAATAAAACAGTTGAAATAATAACACTCGTAGCGCCATCTCTTGCTGCACTCAATATGGTATCTGCATTTGCGGTACCCCAAGCCATATTGTTTCGTGCTGATTGTATAGCTGATATAGCAGTGTTAAATTGTAATGTGTTGCTCTGAGTACTTCGTAGCCATGATTCATACTGTAAAATATTTAAAAAAAATCTATTATTGTCACCGCGCTGAGTTTGTTTTTGTTTAGGCTAATCAATTTGCCAAAATTACATAAATAAAAAACACGACTGCGTCAAAGCGCACTAAAAAGATGAAAACAAGTTGACGAAGGACATAGTGTTATGCAGTATGTCTGTATATACACACTTACAGGTCAAATACATAACCCTCCTTTAAATTTGAATTAAATCTAACTACTTCAGTTAAGATTATAAATGCGTAGGGCATCTAGAGACTAGAACAAAGCGAGGGCCACTCGTACTACATATTTTAAATATTTAAATAAAAATTTTTTCAAATTAAATTCGAAAATTAGGCTATCTCAAATTCTAATGAATTTTAGATAGTCTAATTTAAATAGGTAAATAAATCCCTATATATTACAATCTGTATGCTCAATACTATTTTAGTTTGGAATTTAAATCTGCTAACATTGCTTATTACTATACACGGTAATATAATTAACTGTTTTACATATTCCTATTTCAATATATTCAATAAAAGATTCCGATACGTTCTATCTACCTTAGTCTTCTCTTAATCTAAATTATTAAGTATAAATTCTATTCTAACCTCTACCAAAGCATCTTCTTCGAGATACGCAGCAAGATTTGAAAGGGCCGAGTGTACAGGGTTAGCAGGAGCATCCTCAACATAACTGAAATAATTGCACTTTATGTTAAAATATCTAAATTAAAGCATTCAAATTGAAATCTATAATAAAAGCAAAGAAAAACCTTTGAAAATAGCATACATTAAATAATAATTAATAGAATATTCAAAACAATATTGGTAAGTTTTATAACTAGGAAATTGTATTATTACTAAACCATTATTTAATTATTTTCAAATATATATATATATATATATATATATATATATATATATATATATTATAATAATATCATAAGAATGTATCGTTAACGGTCACCATCTGTTCATGTTATTTTTGTTGGCTTCAGCTTGGAAATACAAAAGAATTAACTTGTACTTAAAACCCTTTAACATGACCAATTAAATCTATACATATAATAAAATTCTGAGTCGAATACCGTACATTTAATATTTTTGGAAAATCTTATTGAAATAGTCATTATTATCGATACAGAGGTCGAATTTATAGTTTTTAGAATTTTTCTATCGGTCTGTCTGGGAACGCTTGACGAGGAAACCACTGGACATACTTTGATAGAATTTGGTATGATGATAGCTAGTTATCCGGATCAACATATAGGATACTTTTTACTGCGGGAAAATATTTCCTCTCTGAGAAATCTATACTAAACGTTAAAACGTAACGAGGGGCCAACCAGAGCGGGGAAAGGCGAGTCACTAGTTCAAATATTATTACATCACTGATAATTGCTTAAAAATTTTATCTGTATAACGCTATAATATTTTACACTAATTAAAATATTATAAATGCGAAAGTTTATAACTAAGTTTGCAAATCAATGAACATAATATTATGTACATGCTGTTACGTCATCGCCTTACAACAATGAGTAAATTTCAAAATTTAGTAAAATTTTAGAATTTTATGAAGCATTCTTACGAACGAAGCAAAACTACTTTAAAATAAGATAAATAATTAAAAAGAGATTATTAAACACTTTAAAGACTATTAAAAACTTACGCTCGTCTCATAGCATCGATATTACTCTTGACAAACTGCAATACAGTGTAAGCATTCTCTCTGTTCCCGAGCAGAGCGTAGTTAAATGAGTTTACTTTATCATGCGAGCGAACAGAGTTAGATAAGGTAAGTTCTAAGTATCTGGAAAAAAAGATAACAATTATAAAAAAAATAACATAACAGAAACAAGAACTGTTGAAAGTAAATACTAGTTCTTTGGGGACACTACCAGTTCGATTTTTGTACAAAATGAATCAAGTAAAGCTAAGCACTATAATTAGTTAAATATTTTGCGAAATCAGCGGAATTTTGTCTTGTGGAATATTAATAGATAACTTTGAAGATAATAATCAATTATACCGACCAAAAAGTACTGAGTTAAAGGAATTATTATTATTTTTGTAATGTAAAAATTCCACCTACTAGATGTGGTTTTTTTCTAAAAATTTACATAGGCTCATATATCCCTCATAATAGAACTATTAAAATCAGATTGTAATTGGTGGAGATATACTGTAACATACCCACAACTTATTGAGAACTTAATTGTTGAAGTCGGTTATAAATAGCATAATACATAGCTTACCTCATCAGTAATGTAGAATCCCTAGTTGCAGCCAATCCTCTCAGTATTTCAAGTTGATCGTTAGCGAAATTTGAGCTAGTAAGCCTGTTTAGTAAAAATTCAAAATCTTCCACTCCGCCATGTCTAAGCCCAGCCATATAAACGTGACGACGGATTCGAGGATCGACCCTGAAATTTCGTGACAATCAATATTATTATAACGTATATGTAACTAAAAATGAAGCTGTTCAAGAACTCTAGAGGAACTGTACTGATTTGGCGATGTTTTTAAATGATTGTTTGAATTAGGTTTAAGCGCTATAATATGGATATTTCTTCCAGAGAATTAAGGAATTTTGAAACATTCTAAAGTACTTTTTATATCATATTTTTATATGGCCTGAAAGATCATAAGCAAAGACCTCTGTCGGATTAGCTAGTTTAAATAAAATACAACAGAAAAACCTTCTCTTTAAATTTTTGTTTTTTTTTGCTAAAATTTAAATGATATAGAATTTATATAATAAATATACCAAGTGCTTTCATTTTTCATTGCAATAAATTTATTTTCCGAGTCTTGATTGCATATATCATGTCCAAGCGTACAAGCTAAATGCAAGATCTCTTGACGTAGTAAGCTCACGGTGACAGTTTCATCCGATTCTGGCTCATAGCCTACTGCCTGGATTACATTCTCCATATAACTTAGAAGGTATGACTGAAAATAAGTAAGTTCGTTCGCTTACAATGTTTGTTTATATGAACTTATACTATAAATTTTAATTAAATGTCAAATATCTTTTAGATAACTCATTATAATTGCAATACAAGAAGTATTGTTCATATAAATAATACAACTTTTTAGAAGAGGATGTAAGCAAAAGAATAACGAAGTAAGCAAATCGTCTATAAAAATTTAAGTACATTTTTATATTGACTAAATACTTAAGTAAAATTTTAACTGTAGAAAAATTACTATCTCATAATATCAAATGAGCAATTCTTGCATGAATATAATATTTCGTGTATCTCGCTCTAAAGATTTGGATGAAATTTTATATTTAGATAAGGTTTTGCTTTTTAAATTTATCAATATAGGTGTCTTCTGAACAACCGCAATTTTATATCTTTTCTGAAAAAACACCAGTGGCCCAGGTACTGTACTTAAAACATTGAGAACTCACATCAAACGTAGCCTGACTCTCAGGAAGATGACGCAATCTATTCCTTAACCAATTGTACCCAGTAATTGCGGAGTTCCATACGTGGTAATTGACTTCATAACGAAGGAACCTTATAATCCTGAAGCCAAAGCTGTACGTAATCTTTTGTGATCTCATCAATGCAAATACATCATCTACGATCTGCGTAAACAGAAGAGCATGTTAAGTATCAAGTTATTTTATAGAATATCAGTAAAAAAAAAATATTTGGTTTTATTACGGTGTAAAAACCAAGTATTTTTTTTACACAGTCTAATTAATAGATAAGATATTAGCAGATATAATCTAGTACTGTGTAAAGATAATTTTGCTTACATATATGGTTTAAGCAATAGTTTCTAAGAGCAGACCTACTATAACATTTAAATATATTCCCTTGAAGTCATCAATGTAGCCAGCCAATAATCCCTTTTTATTACCTTAGCTGCTAATCAAAGATTGATATACGTTAAAGCTATAAGAAATGTTGATAGTACGTTGTAGAGCTCCAAGGTTGATATAATGAAAAACCCAACGGCGTAAAAAGCAAACTAAAAAAATTAGAATAGGTTGACGAAGGAACATGCTATGCAGTCGGAGACGTACATATGTATATGTTTTATAAAGGCTGCATCGAACTACTCGTACAAAAAGTATAAATCATCAAAATCGATTAAGCCGTTTAGTAATTACGAGGTAGCATAGGATCGAACATACATACAAGTCAAATACATAACCCTCCTTTGGGCTTAACCGCAGTCGGATAAAAATATGGAGTATCTATCAAGACATAAAGGTTGCAAATTTTTTATAAGCATATAAAATGCTACTTCGTTCTTTACATAATATAATATGTATAATATATATATATATATATATATATATATATATATATATATATATATATATACATAATATAATATATATATATATTACAGTGAAATTTTATAAGCAATTATGCCTGTTCTTACAATAAGCTTTCAATGACAATAATATAGCACATATTGTAAGCATTTTCAATATGCCTTAATCTCAGTTTTAGTATATACTTACTTGGGCCCGGTTTAAGTAATGAATAGATTCCGGATCGTCCAACAAAGCCTGTGATATTAAATTCCAAGTTTTAACATCATAGTTAACTCTGTAGTGTCCTGGATATAAGAAACTGTATATGAGTAATTTTATAGTGATATGTATTTAATTTTAAATCATTGGTTTTGCTTCTATTATAATAATTTTATAATATTTAGTAAAGAATTTTACTTAAATGTTTTTATGTTAATGTTTTTGTTTATATATATATATATATTATATATATATATATATATATATATATATATATATATATATATATATTACAATAATTACTTATTCATAAAAAATCTGTGAAATCGATTCACAATCATTGGTCCGATATACCTTCATTTATATTGGTGTCGGTCGATAAAAGAGAGAAGCCATTTTAAGTTGCCAGAATTTTTATCAGCATATCTTTCTGCTATCAGAAAATAGCCCAATAGATTTTACTGATATTTACGAATTAATTGATATCAGAACATAATATTATATAAAATTTTGAGATCTACCTAAATAGAAAGGTCTTTAATTAATTTTTACCATAATGTTGTACGTTGAAAATAACCCACTCTTCAGCTATTTCTTTCTGGAGTACAGCATTTTTACTTGTGAACATGTACTTAGGTCTGATTGTTGTAAAATCTGGATTAGATTTTGTAGTATAAGTGATAGGTATGGGATAGATTTGATCTGTTGGGCTTGCTGTGGAACTAAGGAAGAATCTTTCCTGAAATAATAGCAATTTCCGTCATTTTTTATCTCTTTTTGGGTACCTATAGAAAAAACCTAAAGTTTTGCATAGAGGTTTTTACGTGTTTGGCACTTTATTTGAATAATTAATAAAATAAGCAACAACTGTAGCAATAATACAATAATGCAAAAATAGTATATTTTAGCATCAACAATTTTTACAGTAGATATTTTATCAAAAAATCTGAACATAATTATCTAGAACTGTAGGATAGATATTATTATTTTATCATATTAGACTACTATTATAACTGTGAAAGTATGTTTGTATATAGTTATTATAGTTACGGTCCTTGTGTATAGTTTTATAATTATAAAAAACACCTAGGAACGCACCTGAGCGAAGCAAAATTAATTCGCAAGTATCGCAATATTTTAATAAATTATTAATTACACGTCTAAACTTTTAGACATTTAAGCGCAAAAAAAGCTATTACATTTGGGTTACCTGTGTCAATGTCATTTCACCGTTTGTATAGTCCACCTCCACTGTAAGCAGAGGATATCCTGCCTCATTGACCCAAATACGGTAAAATTCCGTGAAATTAAAGTTAGAGTACTCGGTTAGACTTCGATCCTCCTCTATAGCTTGGGCAAAGGCTTTGAACAAATCATATTGGTCCGTTGCTTTGTAAGGACTAAACAGAAATTATGCTAAGTTTTTAAAGCAAATATTGATATGAATTTTTGGTAAGATGTAACTAATGAGCTTTTGGAACTCTTACATTTTTTTAAAAGTTTTTATTGATTGTATAATGTGTTGATATAAATGTAGATTGGGTCATTTCGGAACACAAAAATTCATTAATTTTAGTCGATCTTGTAGCTGTGAAACGAAATATAAAAAAGTAATTCCTTTCACATATAATAAATAACTTACTTGTCTCTTAAGAAGTATTGACAAGCTTTTTGGAATGTTTCAGGTGTAATCATGCTAACCAGCATTCGAAGGAATGCAGCACCTTTAGAATAGCTAATTGTACCAAAGTGACCGGTGACTTGGGCTGGTGTGTTGACATCATGATTAAGAGGAACTGTTGACACCCCAGAGTCAAATGACAAGCTATTCTTAGTATAGCGAGAGACAAAGTGTTCATTTAATTCATATCGCGGAAACATCTGAAAAACAACATGGTTTATGTAACATTGTTAATTGCGAAACCCATTCATATATGTATTTTTTTTCTATAGTTGTAAAAGTAAAGATTCATGCTTGGCTAATTAAAAATTATATATTGAAAAGTAATTACTTCTTACTTAGCAGAAGACACCAATAGCACAGAATAAAATATTATTCGTTGATACAGGTTTTAATTTATGGACTTTATCAGAATTTTTACGGAACAGTTAAGTTAAAAATTAGCAAATTACCTCATGCGCAGCTATATATCCGAAGTAACTGGCAAATGCTTCATTTATCCATGTATTACTCCACCAGTAGCAAGTGATTAGATTGCCGAACCACTTATGAGCCAGTTCGTGCGATACAAGTGTCGCAGAATATTGTTCAACTGACATTATTGTCTCACGAGGATCAATTATTAAGTACAATTCTCTATAAACATTATATACATTTTTATCTCTGCCACAAACAGTGATTTAATAAAAATGATCTCAATTAAAATATGCATTTAATAAAAAAAATATTTTATTGTTTTCATTAAGTGTATATTTTGTACGAGATCATTTTTTTTAATAATGCATTTAATAACAACCATAAAATATTTAGGAATAAGAGAATTAGTTTCTCACCTAAAAATCTGCATTGCAATTGGCATCAATGTTCATTTTATAATAACTATCGAGAGTATATTTGTTTTTAGATTATTTTGTGTAAAATCAAAAATTTGTGAATATAAAAAAAAATACGATCATAAAGTTTTACTAACCTATAGCTGACCATACCCCAATTTTCAGTTCCAGCTGATGCCCAATCAGGCGAAGAAATATGATCATTTAATAAATTTGGGTGAAGACTTGAATATGGGATCTTGAAGTAGTCATCAAAATATTCAGTCATTTTTACAGCTAGATCTAGAGCGTGGTCTCCTAAGCCTGCAGTGTTAGATCTACCAATGACTCTTATGGCGGGAGTGAAAGATGTATTACTTGCAATAGCTTGAAAAGTTTCACTAACCAAAAATGTAACTAGGTACGAAGACATGACAGGTGTTGCGGAAAAGTGGTCGCGTACTCTGTCGTTCTCAATGCTGAAATATATAAACATAATTAGCAAATACTATTTGCATATTTTATTTATAATAATTGTTTATAATGTTACATTCAGTAAAAGACCGAAGTAAAGGGAGTCACCGGTCATTTCAAAGTGTCTCACCGAAATTTCAAGAGTGAAAAGTATATAAATTGCCCGTGTTTTTGTGCACACACTTAGTACTACCTATTATAGCTTCTGGCCAGTTGACAATTCTAATTGAGATTGGTTACCGAGGCCGAAATCAGCCAGGAGAACTTTATTAGTGTATTATTTTTATATGTGTCTAGCAAAAAAGTTGCTTAGCGAAAAAAATTCTTTTAGATAAATATCACACCATAGATTTAGGAATTGCACAGCCGATAATAGTACTGAAAAAATTAAAGTTTTTCAATATGAGCGAGGAAAATACTTCTCAAAAAGTTTATAAAATTCTAAGCTAAAGTAATCAAAAATTAACTCACTTTTCACTTCGTTCGATACCCGTGTTGGAGAAAGTTCCACTGTATCCTGATGGCTTAGACAAATGAAGTTTGAAAACTGCTTTAAATAATGGTTCATCCCAACACGGGAAAGCTTGTCTCGCACTATAAGGCTGGAAGTGTGTTGCGGCGTATATTCTGTGAAAGATGGCACCTTACATATAATGCGAAAACGTATTCATTTACGTCTTTTCCTCTTTACTCCTACTATCTCTTTCTTATACTGTTTTTATTATAATAAGATAAACTAATAGTAGATGCTTATACTATAGGTTACATATAGATTCAGTGCATTTAGTACAAAATATTTTTAATAGAACCCAAAAGGATTGTATAATTTATTCAACATTTTTTTTATTATTATTTTTTTCTAAACTCTAAAACTTTAACTTAACAAACTAGTCAAACAAATTAGTTTTAGATGCAATAGTAGTTAATATAAATAGGAAAAGAGCAAATTGTTGCATGAATTTAGATTGATTGGACATGATCATCGTCTCTTGCAATTAAAGTTTTTTTATGCGCCTTTAATAAAACAAATCAAAAACAAATATAAGAACTAATTGAAACTTAATTTTTTACATTCTTACCTTTCAACCCCATCATCATCTATATACCATCCTTTCCATACACCTCTTTTCATTGGGCCTTCATTCATGGTATTAGTATAATTAATAAATAGAGTGTAATTTTGTTCTTCGGCTAATGGCTGCTGTAGATTAATCTTTAAGAAGTGATACTGAGGTTCTAATGTGAAACTTTCATTTTCATTAAGTAATACTTCATCGCCATTATCAGCGGTAAGTTTGACCGAATTTATCATGTCCACATTGGAATGCAAAACAATGCTCTGAACATTGGCTTCTGTAGCCTGAAATTGTTTAATAAGTTTAGTATTCTTTATTTTCATTCAAATAGTTTTTTTAATCGTTTTTGTATATATTTAAGATACATTAAAATACCTGAATGATAATAGATGCTCTTCCATCAAAGCTGAAGGGCCGATCAACAGCTTCAGCAAAATATAGATCAATATAAATATCGTACTCTAAAGGTACTACATTTTGTGGTAAGCGGTAAACGCTATCCGCGTTTCTTGAAACAATGCGATCGGATATGTCTGAGAATTCTTCTATTTCTGATATCCATAGAGGGTTATCTGCTCTAACAGATGTCAGGACCGCTAGGCCAATACATAGAAAAATCCAGGACATTTCTAAAATACACAAATTTAAAAAATACATATATTTAATTATAATGAATATCATGAAACAAGAGCACACCGAAAATAATTTCATGTTCTCGGATAAAGAGTAATGTTGATCGACAAATCAACAACAAACAAACCTTGGAATTTAGAATATTGTTAAGAATTTAACTTACTTAAGATGATCTGGTAAAAATGTAGGGCCGTCTAGTAATAGTAAAAAAGAGCAAGGTGACTTTTTACTATTATTTTTCTTTCAAAAAAAAAATAAGCCATACTAATATTATTGTAAATGTAAAAGTTTGTGAGGCTGGATGTTTGTTACTCTTTCGCGCCAGAACGGCTGAACGGATCTGGATGAAATTGGGTACAGAGATAGATTATAGTCTGGAATAACGCAGAGGTTACTTTGTATTCGAAAAAATTGTACGGTTCCCGTGGGATAGATTTATTTTGGTTTTTCACTAAGGACGAACCCGAAGTGAAGTGAGGGTGACTTGCTAGTAATTCATATTCTCTGATATGGATCCACGAAAATAATTATAATAGATATAATTTTAATTAATATATTTATATAGTTATTAATATGAAAAATACAAGAAATCCTTTTCACAAAAAAATAACTTTTACACAATATAACTAACCTGATAAAAATGTCCTCAACAATGCTTGGATTGAGATAAAATGAATCCAATTATTGTTCCGAAAACCTACAGAACAATAAAACCGCGATAAATACTAAAATAAGATAATATGAAATCTTTTTATTATGTTATTATCAAATGATATTAATATATCAATTGACATTATTATTGATTACTTATTAGAAAAATATAATACTCTAAACCCACTGAACCGGTATTTATGTTATTGAATATCACATACATTTCTTTAAGTAATAATAATAGCTTATATTTCTAGATATAATAGAAATTATATCATATACTCTTTTTACTTCTTACTTAATATGTTTTTGTTTTTTAAGATGAGACGAAGCCGAGCGAAGTGAGGTTGAACCGCTAGTTCAAATATATATCCCAAGCTCGAAAGCAATAGAAGAGATGAATATATATTTTACTATGAAAATAAAAATATAAAGCGCCCAATCGCAAGTTTTATCTTAATTCAAAGCAACTATAAAAAAAATAAAAAATAAAAAAACTGACTGTGTTAAAATCAAACTAAAAATATGAAAACAAGTTACAGAACTAACATACAGTCGTGGGCCTCACCGGCTAGAAATGGCAGTACTCCCACTAAAACCCAACAGAGCCTCCCCAATCTTAATGGGTTGTCGCAGGATTGCCTACGCACTCAACCACGACGCCCCAAAGTGGGAGTAACCCTTGGTTACTCACACGGTGCACTCTGCTGTCAGAGAAGTACCAGAAGATACCCGCATTGTACGACGCCCACCGAAGGGGCCCACATCCCTGTGTGTCTCTTGACTTCGCGCGGCTGGGTTGCCGGACACTAATAAGCCCCCCACCACGTCAAGGTGAACACACGTCAAGTACATGCGTCACGTCCATTTCAAATCCTAATCTCTTTTACCTACCAATTATCTTTAAAATTGTAACCTATTTAGCTTCTCTTAATCTCCACCTTTATAATACTTATATATATAAACTTGATAAAAATATGTTCGATCCCAAATTTTAAGTTTGATTCGTATAATTTCAGTAAGAATTAATTGACAAATATTCATTTTCATTCAGATTCAGCCGTAGAGTTATATAAAAATTATACAGAAAAAGATGACACTGGTGATGTTTCTTAAATAATTACAGTACGACAGGTTACAGTTACTACTTACCATTACGAAAGCTGTACATTTGATTACCACTTTGATAGAAAATATAAATAATAACACACCTTTTCATATTGTAAAAAAATATAGTATGAAGTATGTATATAGATTTATAAAAAAATAACCCAACTGAATTTCACTTAAATCGGTTGAACTGTTAAATAGACCAACACTCTCAGTAACCCACAAACATAAGCGTGAAAGAATTCAATATATTGGTATTAGTTCACATACATATTGGTGGCCCAAATTAGTGTTCGCATTAAAGCAATCTCATACATAATATGAAAGTTTTTTAACATTCCAAATTAAAAAAAAATTGAATACTATTTATTTCAAAAAGAATTCTAAATATATAGTATATTTCTAAGGTAGGTTAGGTAGGTATTTATTAGTAACAATTTGGGTAGTGTTTTCAAAATAGGATATTTTCTTGTTACTATTTAAAACCACGCTCATTAAGTTAGTTGTATGTGTTGAAAGTAAAACTACAATCATATTTTATACTAGCAGTACCCGCGGCTTCGCCAGTGTTTAATCTTCCGATAGCTTACAAACTTCACAGGATATATTATATAGTCTGAAAATCACCTAAAAATTTCATCAAAATCACTCCGGCCGTTTTGGGGCCCATAAAGAACATACATACATATATCTTTATTATATATAAACTAGCATTGTCCGCGGCTCCGCGTTCAGGTGACCAAAAACCAAATTCTTAAGGTTTTACATATTGGTATACTCTTACATTGCAGTTTTTGTATTTTTTCTCAGAAATGAGACATTTTCCTGCGGTAAAAAGTAAATATTATGGCTATCTTAGTGTTATATCTCCGACTTTACGTGTATTTCGAAAACTATTTGGGTCTTTTAGGTCCCCCTAAACATACGTGTTTCTTTACGATGATTTTTTTAATCCATAGCAGTGTAATGAAACTAATAACTATTTAAAAATGAGATTCCCTCGTCAAAATACGAGAATCAGAGGTCGAACGTATTTGCATATGGCCTGTTTATAAGGAAAGAAGAAAAACAAACCTGTTTTAGAATAATGACCACAAACGCATATCCTATAAATCATTTTATGAAATATAATATCATAAAATAAATATAATAATTATTTGGGCTCGCAGCAAGAATAAATGACGAAAGAATGGGCAAGAAAATATAGTGTGACCTATGAAAAAGTGAATGGACCTTTGAAGACGAAGTGTTTTTAATACTTAAAGAAGGTAAAAATGTGAGAATTCCCGACGAGCATGTATGAAAAGAATGTCAATAGAAGAAGTGAAAGAGATAGATAGAGATCGAGATTCTAAGCATTCAGTTCTCTCTGTATATCCCGCGAGGGATATAGAGTGAAGTTTTGTTTTGTGTGTGAATAGATTGTAGTCAAAAAAATCTTCTTCATTTTTTTTTAATACAATAAAACAACGTAACTATGGATAGGAGGTAATAATAACAAATAATGTTTTATATAAAATATTTATTCATATACATATTTAAATAAGCTCTATCTGAGCGCTTAATTAACTTATTGTAGCAAGTGTGCAACTAAAGTTACTAATAATAAAATAATTGAAGAAGTAACTATGGCAGATGCACTTCTTATTGCAGTGACGAGGCTAAGCGCTATATTGTTGCCCCACCGAATATTATTCATAGCAGCGTTGATGACATTTACTCCGTTGTTGAACGAACTTCCTAGTGGAATTTGTTGTTCATACACCCATGCTTGGAACTGAAATAAAAGTTTAAATTATATATTAACCTCACTATACATATATACATTACACCTATCAAAAATATTCAAAACATTTGAAAAATATCTATGTATATGTACATATAACAACTTATCGCAGTCACATTTTTTAAGAATATGTCTTTACTGACGTATAAAATAATATAAAACACATGCTCCTCCCACACGCTCCGCTCGGGTTCCTCCCTAGAACGTACGTAGTATATTTTAACGGTTAGTATAGATTTCTCAGAGATGAGATATTTGGCCGAAGTAAAAAGTATCCTATATATTGACCTGGACAACCAGCTGTAATTATACCAAATTTTACCAAAATTTCTCCAGTAGTTTTCTCGTGATGTATTTCTAAATAGACAGACAGAAAAAATTCTTAAAACTATAGACTCGGCCTTTGTATTAATAATGACAATTTCAATAATATTTTCCGAAAACGTATTTAATATACACATTCGACTCAGTATATTATAGATATACTTTTATCCTTCTTACCTCTACAATGTCTTCGTAGGAAGTCAGATAAGTGGCAAGAGCGTTGATGCAAGTACTCAATCTAGCCTCACCGCCGTACCTAAAAAATATGAATTATTGGTAAAAAAGTCTAAAGGATAAAAAATTTACATTAAAAGTCATCATTTAATACTAATCATACCTAACATACTCTTAGTAGTCAGTCAGGAAAAAATCATAATTAAAATGAGTACTATTTTCGAGAAAAGAACAAAATATATTACTATCAAAATCATTCATCGACAGTTTTCGTCCACTGCTAAGTTCACTTTTTATTTTTTGGTTATTTATTCGTATTCATCTCAGCAAACCCTTTCATTAGATATCCATATCATGGGGGTGCATAAAAAAACATAGTCCGCCATCGTTAAGAGTCCGCCATGTTGTATATAGATTTACGTCACTTAACTAACTATGCATTGTCATCTAAACTAAATGTGTATGCAAAATTTTAGCTCAATCGATTAAAGATAACTACTTTAAAATTCAGTTGCAGAATTGACTCGAACAAACATACATACAAATATTGGAAGTTAAATAAAAGCTTGTATTATTTTTTTAGTTATATGTAATGCATGTTCTACTATACTGTCAGGTTTTAGTGTGCGTGATTATATAATATGTTATCTAAATTATCTGTATTAACTAAAATAAACTGTAAATTTTATTGTGTTTATATTTTGTGTTTTTTGTTTTTTAAATAATATGTACTTACCATTCTCTAATTTCTCTAAAGTTGTTGTACAAAAATTGAAGTACAATTCTCAAATTTTCCCTATTGCCCATAAGAGCGAATTGGAAGGCGTTAGTCTTGTCATGAATTCTGATCTTGTCGTTGTACATTGATTGGTATAAGTAGCTGAAAATTAAAAAAAAAACTTTAAAATTAAGTCGCATTCAAGTACTCTCTCTACAGTAGTTTTTTGAAGCAAATTAGTATCCCATTCGAAATTAATGTATCGGAACAGTTAAGAAATATATATATATATCTATATATATATATATATATATATATATATATATATATATAGGCAAATGCTATTCATAAATGATTTCTCAATAATGATTATAATCAAATTTCGAACACTAGGCAAAAAAAATTATAAAAACGTCAAAAAACTCTTTAATAAGCAATAGTAACTTACTGTCTTAATGAGTTTTCATCTTTGGTACATGCTAGAGTGCGCAACATAACGACCATGTCAGCGGTATTTTCAGAAGCGTTATATCTCTGGAAAAGGAATTCGTAGTCTGAGGCGTCTCCATTACGAATACCGGTGCAGTAGACGTAACGGCGGGCGTTCTTCGGTACTCTGTAAGCAATCATAAAATAAAATAATATTGTTAATATTTGCTATATAATAAATAAATGAACTAAATGACGAAAATTTAAGATTTATGCAAGATATATTTATAATATGTATGTATTTAAAAGTTATATATGTATAATGTATCAACTATCTGGTATCCATAACACAAGCCTCGTAGCTTACCATGGAACTAGATGGTGTTGTGTGTTAATGTCCTTACATATTTATTTATATTTTTATGTATAATTGTACCAAATCGCGAAGGTGTGGGACTTATTTTACGGTATCAGACACTAAAGGTTCACAATAATTTGTGAAGATATCACGTAACACACATCCGAAAAAACGTACAGTCTAAACGAATACCTCTTCTTTTTTGAAGTCGATAATAAATATTCAATAACTTACAGGTAGCTTGCATTAGTTCTAAAGTTATTCCACTTTTCAAGACTGTCTTGAACACATCCTTCGTGGCCGAGATTACAAGCATAATTCATTATTATCATTCTGCCTTGTTTAACGGATGCGGAGTCAGAGGTACTTTCTTCATAACCTAATTCCTCAATTGCGCCCTCAAGGAGATCCAAAAGGTAAGCCTGTAAGCATTATTCAATTTTCTTTATTTTTATAAATTTATCTTCATATAAGTATATATGTAAAACACTCTTTGCACTATAAACCCTTGGCTAACCACTTTTTAAAAGACCTGCACTGTTCCTTATCACCTCAACTAGAGACAGACAGCTGGCTAATAGGGAATATGCGTGTGATTTAAATAAAGGTGATTTTTTTTATAATCTTTATTGCTTTTGAATTAAGGCTATATCGATATTTTTATGATATTTCTTTTTTAATCAGAAAGTAATTATTCAAAAGTGCAAATATAGGTGGGAAAGGTTCAAAGTAGTTGAAACACATGCCATTGGTCAGACAGAATATGACGTCAAAGTATTATCATAACATAACGATTGGCAATTTGGTCGCTATAAATTGAGTCGTCATTTTTCTGTGTATATTATACTGTGACGTCACACCAAGCGCGCGAAATGTCTGGCGTTTAAAGTATCCGTATCGGTATGATATTTAAAAAAAATATACTTTTTTGGAGCTAGATTTATTTTTACAATTATATAACGATGTTAGCTATTGTATAAAAACTTAAAAAACACGCATATTCCCTAATTTTTGCACAAAGGCTTGTCTTTATAACATTGCTTAAAGCTTAACTATAACCCGCGTCTCTTTTTGTATATTTTTCAATTAACTAACATGCTCCGAATGTTTCGTTTGTATATAAGATCATTATACCCCGATTTATTTATTTAATTTATTGCCAAGAACGATTAATCACATCCATACTATTATTATAAATGTGAAAGTGTGTTTGTTTGTCTTTCTTTCACATCGAAACGGAGTGACGGATTGGCGTGATTTTTTGTGTGGAGATAGTTGAAGGGATGGTGAGTGACATAGGCTACTTTTTACCGTGGAAGATTATCTCATTCCCACGGGAAAGCACGTTATAATACAACCCAAAAAAATATTTATGTTTAGAATTACTTGAAACTTGGTTCTGCTAGTATTACATAAATCTATATCTATTTCCTTAGGATTTTTATTATTAAGAAAACGACGTTAATGACAGTAGCGACTCAAACAGACAGACAAAATTCTAAAAACTATAGATTCAGCCTATGTATCGATAATAATGACTATTTCTATAAGATTTTCCAAAAAAATACTTAGTGTACAAATTCGACTCAGTTACAATTTTATTATATATATATATAGATTATAATTGACTATTTAAGAACAAATAGTAACTTGATTTTATAGAATATACACTCTACAATATACATATAATAGAAACTCACATTAAATTCCTCATAAACCTGCGGCAAATGTTCTAGCCTTCTTCGCACCCAATCAAGTTGACTTAAAGCGCCATCCCACACGTAGTAACTGTGTTCACTTTTCAAGAAAGAAAGTACATCAAAAGCACGAGCCACAGAAATTTTATCAGCTCGAAGGAAGAAAAGAACATCATGGACAATCTAAAATAAATGGTTTTATTTATTGCACATTAATTAATAATATAGTTTATAATAGTTTTATATACATTTAAAAAAAAATTTTTAAGAAAATAATATAAAAAAATGCTTATTAATTTATGTAGAAATTATTGTTAATATACTCACTTGTGCTCTGTTTAGTGTATGAATAACATTTTTATCTCTTCGCAATTGAGACGCAATCATTTCCCAGTTATGATCGTCATAATTTACACGATAAAGACCTTATGAAAAAAAATATTTTTTAATATTCAATTATCAATATGGACAATAGACTTAAACTTCTCTTGTAAAAAGCATGTGAAAAACTTGGTAAATACCCAGTATTACATCATAAAAATATTGTCGGTGACCATGAAAACTATCCAATATATGAATTACATTACCATAGTTTACACTTACCAGTATATTGCAGATTAAATATAACCCAAGCATGTCCTGTAGTATTTTGGATAGTCATACTCCTATTAGAAAACACAAAGCTCGGTTTAATATTGGTGAAATTGGGGCTCCCTCCATGAGTCCATGTTATTGGAATATGCCAAATTGTATCTGGTATAGTTCCAGTTAGCTGAAACCGTTCCTGTAAAACGAGTTCATAAACTGTTGCAATTAAATGAAAAATTACGAAACAATAAAGGAAAAAAATGTATATTAACAGCTATAGTACCTGAGATATAGATATGACACCAGTGGACATATCGACATTAACATTTACTACTGGAGCTCCGCGATTTTGTACCCAGTTGTCAAAAACTTCACCCACATCTACACCAGGGTAAGTGAGTTGGAAAGAACCATCTTCCTCACATGCCTTTCTAAATGCATTGTACATGTCTACGGGATAGCCAATACCATAAAGGCTAAAATTTAAGGATTTTATTTTAATTTTAATAATTTACATCATACAATTATCATGTTATTAATAATATATAATAACTTACTTCTCCTTTAAATATAATACTAAAGCTTTTCTGAAAGTTTCACCTCCAACGAAATGTTCCAACATCCTTAAGACTGATGCTCCTTTGGCGTAACTGGAAGTACTGAAATGAGCCGTGATTGAAGGATTATCTACAACGTCGGTCCAATTCATCGGGGTTACACTTGCACTAGCATCAGCTACTAAAGCACTTTGTACTCGGGCGAGAATAAAACGATCATCTAACTCTAGCGATGGATCAGCCTGAAATATATTATTACGAATGTTAACCTCAATGTATATAAAGATTACCGATTGTTTAAATAAAGTATTCTGTATTTATTTTGTAATATATTGAAGCAGATCAAGAAAAAATTATATTATATATTTATCAAATGTACAGTCAGTCTTGTTTGCGGTTCAGACACAAAGTTTATGAAGACATTTTTGTGTTAACTTGTAAATTTTACATACTCGTATAGAGAAAAGTTACTATGTTACTACGACTCATATTTGAACATTTATTTATTGAGTCAAGCTTTGAGAAATAAGAAACCGTTAGGGATAGCAATAAACTTAACTACAATAAATATTTTACTTACAAAATGAGCAGCAAAATATTCAAAGTAGCTGGCAAAAGATTCATTTAGCCAGAGGTTGCTCCACCAGAAACATGTCACCAAATTACCAAACCATTTATGAGCAAGTTCATGAGCCATAATTGTAGCAATAAAAATTTGATCGACAATATTTGTATGATCTTCATCATATAACAGATACGCTTCTCTGTAAAAAAATGTTTATTATATTAGATTTGTATTAGAATATTTAAAGCGCACTGCGTAAGCTATTGATGACACATAAAATAAAATACTAGTATTAGATATTCATCATTGCCCACAAAATAGACCGCGAAGCTATATATCTAACAATTAAAGTCACAATAAACGCCTTTTGTTTAAATTAGTCAATGAAAACACGGATAGAACCGAAAGACATTCGTATCATGATATTAATCATTATCTAACTAAATAGTTTTATAATCAAGGTTTTTATGTAAATGTCTCATTAAATTATACGTATCAGATCTATCGTTTAGATTTATTACGCAATAGTATCCGAGGAAGGCTCACGAGCGAAGCGAAGTCTAGTGGTTTTTAACCGACTTCCAAAAAGGAGGTGGTACTCAATTCGTCGGAATCTTTTTTTATGTATATTCACCGATTACACGAAGACGCCTGAACCGATTTGTTTTTTTTATTTTGTATCAAAGGGAGTACTTCCCAGGTAGTCCCATATAAATTTTATCGAAATCGGTTGAGTGATTGTTGAAAAAATCAACAATAAATATATTTTTTAAATAAATTGTTATACGAATATGTTATATATACAACTAAACTAATTAAATTGTCTAATTATTGATTCAACTATTTAAAATTAACATTCCGAAAATATTACTGCATTTAACTATTTAATTAATAATATATTTCAGTTTACATCTAACCTGTAGTTAACCATTCCCCAGTTTTCCATAGCACCAGAGGGGAAGTCAGGTAACGCAATATGATCATTTTTCATAGGTTGTCCTTCGCCCATATCATAGTATCCAATTTCTAAATATTTATCTAATTCATCTGTAATTCTTTTACCAATGTCTGCTGGGTAAGTGTGTTGATTGATGATAGGACCTTGACGAGAAATAATTTGGAACGGCTTTTCAGCTGATGCTGAGGTGTTAGTTGTCACGAAGTCACTGACGTGAAATGCAATAAGGTAAGTTGAAACTCTGGGTGTTTGCAAGAATATTTCACGAACGCGTCCTTCTGATACTCTAAAAAATGAGCAAACATATTATAATTATGTATATAAATGTTGCTTAATGTTCTTAAATTGTCACGATCATTATTCTAGATTAAAAATCAAAGATTCCAAGATTACTACTCACACTTGAGTTTGTCCAATGGCCATGTTTGAAAAAGATGGAGATAGCTGGGAATCACGTACGATAGAAATAATAAATCGACTTTTAAACTGAGGTTCGTCGAAACAGGGGAATGCTGCTCTTGCAAAGTAGGGCTGGAACTGTGTAGTGGCGTATTCACTGTAAAAAATACAAAATATTGTAATTGACACATTTTTCTGGCTAATAATAAATCCCGCCCCAAAACTCTCAATTTCCTCCCTAATACATTAAGAACATTCTATTTCCTCTGGGGTAAGACGTAACTTATTTCTTATTCCATATAATTATTTTTCTGCTACATAAAGAAACCTATTGAAATGAAATGAAAATTTATTCAAATAGACTTATTACGAGCACTTTTGAATAGTCAATTTAGAGCGTCAGTATAGTCAGTCCGTGAGGAAGCTGCCACCGACTCGGAAAGGAGTTCTACTGAGAAGAATCGGCGAGAAACTCAATAGTTGCTATATGGTATTTCATTATAAACCTAATTCTTTTCGAGCTTGTGATGGTCCAGATAAAAATGATTGACCCATTCCCAATGTCACTTTGGCCCCAGATCTCTAGTCAGTAGTAAATATCCTGTTAAAATTGTTGCAGTTATTCCGGAGATCAGTGAGTACAAGCAAACAGACAGGATTTTCGGATTTTTTGCGGATGTATTTTGATTTCTGGTCCCCGATATTTTGAATGCTTTACAGCAATCGTGGTTACTTGAGAGACTGCTGCAAAACATTCTAAACATGTTGCGGGCTTTGGTATTGGTGAATTTATATTAAATGACATATGCTGATTCCTTACCGTTTTTGATTACCCACATAATAGTAGCCTTTATAGAAACCTCTATTAATAGGATTCTCGTTTATTGCACCACGATAGGCGATAGTAATTGTGTAGTTGCCAGCAACGATTGGAGCGGCAAAATTAATCTTCAATATTTGATAGTAACTGTCAGTTTCAAATGGTCTGAGGGTTTGAAGAATTACTGGGTTGTTGGCACTATCCACAACATTAATTGCATCGATTGCAACCACGTCCTGATGCAGAACAATTTGCGTGAGGTTTTCTCTTACCTGAAATATATTATAAGACAATAACTCTTTTATATATCCTGGGTACGGGTCTCTCCTCGATCCAAGGCAGACAGTTCATAGTCAGACTAAATGCAGTTTTCTGGGATTCACACGTTTTGAGAACTAGTTAGGCGCTGTCAGCCATGCAGATTTCGTCACTATGTATTCCTTCACCATATAAATATCAGAGGTGCAAGACCACAATTCACTCGGTTTTCTAACCGAGCGCATTAACACTGGGCTACCGTTGCCTTTTTTTACTATTATATATGCAAAAAATTGTATGTTTGCTACTTCTTTATGCTAAAATGGCTGGATACATTTGGTAACAGTGAAGAAAAACATCAAGAGGAAGTCTGCTAGTCTAAGAGAACCTTGCCCGTGGTGGACTACAACCTTATCCCCCTCGTATTGAAGGCAGGCCCCGTGCCCAGTAGTGGGACGTTAAAAAGGACTGAACAGTAAACACAATAATAGTAATACGATAATCAAGGTTTCTAGTGATAACAGAATCATTACCCACTTTACTCTTCGCCCAGAATCCGGATTGCTAAATAATTTCTTTCCCAAATAACCAACTTAATTAATTTAGTATAAGTTATGGCATCCTTCTATATTTAATCTTTATGATAACAACATTGACAAATTAATTTACAATAATATGAATTTTATCTAAATCTTTTTGATAATTTTCGATAACAATACAAATTCAGAACACAAATCAAATGTAGAGTACCGACACAAAAATATAGTGTCGTAATTATCGTTTTATGTGTTGCAATACGTGTTACCGTCACAGAGCAGAATACGTACAAGCACATAATAACTGGGTAATCTGGTAAAACATCCGCCAAGTTAATCTAGGATAACTTATGGATTTCTTTTAATAAATATAGTAATATTACTGATCTACTATTTATATTTTACAAGTTAAAGAACTATCAATGATCATAAATACTAGATTTTAAAAAATAAAAGTTTTTTTTTTAATTTTTTAGAATTTTTCAACATACTATCTGTATATCAATTATTATCAAGCCATAATTAAATATTTATAATTGCATATTTATTGGACTAGTATATGTAAAAGTAAATGCAACATTTTGTGCTTGTGTGTGCATGTTTGTTACTTCTTAACTAGGCAACGACTGGGCGGATTTTGATATAATATATAATTTAGTACACATGTAGACTATATTCTGAAGTAAAACATAGGCTATAAGTCATTAAAAAGTCATGCCTGAGCGAAGCGAGGGTAGGTCACTAGTAATACATAAAAAGAAGGGCGACCCTTTCATTATTGATAGACTTAAAACGATAGTTACTAATATAATATTCTTAACATTTTTAAGTATTACCTACCTCTACATTAATTTCAACCATTCCGTTAAATCTAGACTCAGATAGATAGACATCTAGATCGAGATTATAATACAAAGGCTGTACATTGTCCAACAATCTGTACTGTGGATCATCGAGATTTGTTGAGTAGTCAATCATTTCAAAATTCGACACATAATAAAATGGGTCCGCTTGGATTAGACCCACAAACATAAATAACAAAGTGACGACCATTTTGAGACCTGGAATATTTCAAATATGTACAAATCTTATATTACACTTAAGCGTGAAGCTACTTGATGACTCATAAGCACGAGCAAAATCAGTATAATAGAAGCGTAGTATAAAAGTAAGTTTAATATTACATGAATATGATGGAATTCGAATTCAAAGAAAAAAAAAAGAAGAAAGTGTAAAAAATTTCAGACTGGAAGTGCGTATTATAAAACTTTTTTCGTTTGGTAAATATCCTGAATTAGAAAGATCAGCTCTATCTTATATACCTCTGCAATATCTTTTTTTTTTAAAGTAGACAGAGATATTTTACTATATATGACGCATTAAAGATTGGATAAGATGGCAAAAGGACAGTATACATTATACAATCATATATTTAATACGTACCCATTGTGGTCTCTATGGCTCCTTCTAGCCAAGTAAAGGAAAATATTTCTTGTCACATATTATAGTTATAATATTTTGGTTTTATCAAATCGATTACAGATACAGAATTTACAATTCATTTATTATAATTGATTACGTTCGAAAAGATAACATTTGTGGTGCATGATAAAATTTCAACGAAGCGTGCCTATTATCTATAAATTTCGTACAGTCTAAATAATTTATAGGTACAATCCCATATTAGTTATAATTTTTTATGTTAATCTTAATATACCATTTTCTTTAAATTATTAGGCTATAACAAGTTAAAAGCGATTTATTTATTTTTGAATTCGTTTAAATTTTTTAACTTGATTATGTTTGGCCTGTCAATTTTAGACAGATTCGGACTCACATTTAAAACGCACATGTTTGCTTTCTCTCTCAGTATATTTATATAAATCCATTTCAAGTAGCTTAAATATAGTATCCAAAGCAAGTTTATAAAATAAATAGATATAACATCAAAACTAGTTAATTTATAAGACTGTTTTTGAAACATGTCCCTTTATACACAAATCATACCTTATAATATGGTGGCAAGATGTTTTTAAAGTTATAAAATTAATATATTATCACTCTCTCAATTTATTTAAGTATTTACACTTGAGTTACTGCACTTTAGCCTGCATCTTAATACTATCTCTCTAACTCACTTAGGTTGACTGGAAGAGATCTCTTCTAAAGATAAGTCCACCTTTGCTAACTAATTTTATTGTTTGTTACTCTCTGTATTTTACATATAAGTGCAATAACGAATAGTATATATATTATTTATTATTAGCTATATAGTGGTTACTTGTCTAAAAATTGTATCTGGCCAACAGCGTCACGTAAAACTAAGAATACCTATAACTATGATTCATCCAGGTGACCTCATAAATAAAAGAAAATATCGAAATCGATAAAGCCTTTTAGGAGGAAAAGAATTACAATCAGATAAGCCGGAATTTTATATATATAAAGATAATTAAATAAAATTTAATTAAAGTTTTTAATAAGATACTTAAATGACACTTTTTATTAAAACTTAGAAAAAATATATATATATATATATAAGGATAACAATCTTTTAATACTGTGTATTATTATGTTAAATCTATTTATTAACAATTATTTTTTATTAATTAGAATTTTTATTTGGATTTTATTCTCTCGTGACGTACAGTGTACATATATTGTAAGTAGGTAACCAAAAAAGACATACCTATTTATTTCATCTATTTTTTTAAGATTTAAAAAATCTGGTCATTTATACATTTTGAGCTTCAAAATTAATGCTTATGTGTTATCATTAAAATCCATTCAGTAGTTTCTGCGTGAACGAGTAACAAACATTCATACATCTAGACATCTAGGTATACATACATCCTCACAAACGCATGTATAAATATTAATAGGATATTCATAAGCCGACTATTATCTTATGCTTTTAATTTTGAAAAGATGCTATCAACTGAACATTCAATAAATTTTTGCGATCAAATAAAGATAATTGGGCAAACAAAGAAGAGATAGGTCGAACGAGTATTTTTGGGGAAACAAACGAAATATTTTGTTACGGTTTCTAATTATTTTACATTGTTTATTTGGTTATATACAATACAATATACTTATACATACATTGCTTAGAAAATGAGTTTTAGTTGTATTATAGCTAGAGCTATTAAAATTTATTTGAGATGAACTCAAATTAAATAAAAACCTAATGTGGAGTTTTCCAAGTATTTTGAAATCTTTTTTGTATCGTAATAATCTTATAAATCACACTGCGCCGACCCCAAGTGATTGGGAAATGGGCAGGGAGATGATGATGAATTATGTTATAAATCAGAAAATACATAGGTACAATTTTTTTAATATGTAATTCCACATTGACAAGTAAATAATAAATATAACTTCCATGCATTGTCTCATAAAAAGTACACTAAAACTATTTTTAAAATGCAAAGTGTATTTAATTATTAATATAAAGGGAAGGGTAAACTTAAGAAAAAAACATTGTGCGGTATCTTTTCAACTATATTTAATTATAACGTGTTTTAACTCTCTAGTTGCAGTTCATATTTCCTTAGTAACACAACAACGATTTGAGAGATGTAATAAGTTAAATAAGTTAATTCATGTGTAAACCATAAGGGTTTTCATTACAATCACAAAATTGAATAAATAAATATATAAAGAGCAAAGCTCTGTAACAAAATTGAAATTAAAAAGTTACATCATGAAATTAATAACTAGTGTTGTGATTAAAGTAACAAAGCTTAAAGCAGCAATATTTGCTGAATCGTTATCGTTATCAGGTTCTTCTAAAAGGTCATCAACATAACCTGTGTCAAAGAATCTAATGAATTCTGCAACGCGCCGTGCCGCCCATGCCATGTTGTTTCTTGTACTATTAATACCATTAACGCCAGTGTTGTATGCTGAGCCCAAAATTTCACGATTTTGATCTAGCCAAGTCGAGAACTGCAAATAAGGAATATGATAAAATGCCTGTGTAAAATACTAGTTTGCAATAGATTTATGGTTGCATATTAGGTTCAAATATTTTTTCGAATCTTTTTGGACCAAATTTTATAATAATACTTATGACCTGATGCTGGAAATGACTCTCGGCGGCCAATAGCACTTAATTTAGCCATGTTTCGCAGGAGCTCTAGTGGGATGACAATTTGACACGACCTATGAGAGATAAGAAGTAGAACCCGATGGCTTTACGTTCTCTCTGAGAGCACGAAACACCACCAACTTTCGAAGATCCAACTATTACTGAGAATTCGTAAACAGAAAAACCCCATAACTATACTTGGCCTGATTCAGAACTGGAACCCAGGACCTCTGGATTTGTAGCATACATTATAACCAGTAGACCAACAAGATAGCTACTAGCCCCCGGCCAACTACGTGTTTGTACTTAACAGGCTTCATAATAGCGCTAAGCATATAACCCGAAACAAATATTTACTATCTGATTGGACAATGCACAAAATTGCAATTTCTAAAAATTTAAATAATGAACCATTCCATGTATTTAACTGGTAATTAATTAAGATTAAAGACAAAGATTTGTTAACTCTGTCATATTAATAAATAACGATAATATATTGCTGTATTATTAAAGTTATTTAGTGTATTTTTACTTATATAATTTTGTCATTAAAAATACTTTAATCATTTAAAAAACTGTTTGAAGAGAATTTTACATACCTCATTTAATTGATTTTCGCTTCTCAGGCGAACCGCAATGTTATTTATTGGAGTTACAGCACTGCCAAGGCTAAAAAAAATATTTTGAATTATATAGCAATATCTAGACCTGTTTTAGAATTTAATTCAAAAAAATAAACATAATATTTTAATTCATTCCTAATAAACGTAGGTATAGCTTATAACAAGCATAATAATGTTCTCCTAACCAATTTCGGTATGGTGGCCATCTCACTTAAACAAGCCAACTGCGAGAAAATATTATGGTGCACAAGTGTGTGCGCAGGTACAAGAATGCTTCTATTCCTTTAAATCTTATATTCCTAAATGACAAGAACTTGACACAGCCGGTGAGGGATAAGGCTCTGGACCAACGGCTTAACATGCTTGTCGAGGCACGGGTGTGTATTGACACACCACCGACCTCGTGACTCCGGGTTGTTACTTAGTATTTCATAACAGAAAATCCTATGAACAGTTTTAACCCGGTCCAGGACTTGAACCCTTCAGGGTCCTCATGAATTCCACCTGTAGGTACACGCTAGCCTAGATAAGACCACAGGCGGTTCACTTGCACAATAAATATACATATGTACATTGGACTTGAACAACTCTTTTTGTAAAATCCCACTAATATTATAAATACGAAAATTTATGAAGATATATGGATGTCTGGATATATAGATGTATGGATGCTTGTTACTCTGTCACGCAAAACTACAAAAAGGATTTTAATGAAACTTTACGATAATATAGCTCATATATCAGAGTAACACAGCCTACTTTTTATCTCGGAAAAATGAACTGTTTCCGTGGAATAGTTTTTTTTTTGTTTTTATTGAGACAAACCCGAGCAAGGTGAAGGTGAGCCGCTAGTCAATCATAAAATAAAAATAGGTTGTGGATACTTGCTAGGTACTTACTTTTGTATAACTTGGTTAATATTTCTTTTCAGCCAGTCAAACAATCTTTCTGCATTGATTTCATTGCCAGTCACAGCAGAACTCCAAGCCGTGCTAAGATCCTGGGCCCTTATTGTATTCGTGTTGTCGATAATTGCATTCAAGAATTTCTCGAGACTTGCTTGGTCAGACGTACAACCCGCTGCTTGAATCATTACAACAATCTCACTGGCTAGATCTTCATTGAGATAGCGGTTCCAGAAATAGTCGAAATCAGCAGCATTACCCTGTCTTAAACCACTGCAGTAAACCCATGGACGCATGTTGGCTGGTACACTACAATTATATTATTTATATTTATACAATTATATTATTGTTTCAATTATTATTTTATTTATCTTTAAACATTCTTAACTTATAAAATAAATCTGCTTACATCATACATTAAAAATATTATTATTTTTATTCACGTACCTAGTAGTCAAAAAAAGTAATAATAATAAATATGTAAGGAAATTAAGACACAGCACCATCTAGTTCCATGATAAGCTACGAGGCTTGTGTTATGGATACCAGATAATTGATACACTACACATATATAACTTTAAATACATACATATTATAAATATAAACACCCATGGCTAGAGTTCAAACATTCGTGCTCATCACACAAATGAATGCCTCCAGCGGGACTCGAACCCACGACCGCTGGCACAGCAAGTAGAGTCACTACCAACTGAGCCACACGCATCGTCAAAAATAAAGAAAATACTAATTAATGTAACCAATATCAATCTTATAAGACTAAATATAATAAAACCTTAAGTCCAGCTATCATATGCAGCATGCATAGTAAAATTTATAATCGATTACGATAACATCAATAGACTGATCCTATATATTAGATATAGTCTACATAAAAATCTACATTCAAAAATTTAATCTTTTTATAATAATTCGTATATTGAGCGAAACTATTATGATTATAATAAGACTTACGATCTTCCACTTCTCCAATTGGCAAAGTTTTCTTTTGCAGCTTCTAAGCAACTAGCGTGACCTATGTTGCACAAGAATGTAAGAACATACATACGAAGCAACCCGTCCATATAAGATTCTCCTTGCACTTCAGAATATCCCAAACGATTAGTAATAGCTGCACTAAGTTTAATTGCTTCATCCTATAAAAAATAATATTACCAATACATAAATGTTAGTCCCACATAATAATCAACATTTTCTTCTCATTGTTTTCTTTCGTCTAAGTCAGTGAGTCGGTCGGAGAAGGCGAAGACTTTTAAAATCCAACCGTAAGACTGAGGTGTCTCGATTTATGCGGATTCAATGTTTTAGTATATGATGCAATTATCTTATTTCTTTTACCTACATTGAAATATCATATAAATATATAAACATACCTTGAGTCTCTGAACATTAGTGGTATTATAAGACAAACGGTTGATTGCAAAATTAAAACCAGTAATAGCAGCAATCCATGGTGCATATGAATCTTCAAATTCTAAGAAAGACAGGATGTTGAAAGCTCTGTCATAGGACATCACTCCTGCTCTGGCAAAATTGAAAACATCGTCGACAATCTAAGGTAAACGTTATAAAATAATTAGATTAACTTGATTATTACCATACTATTTCGTCTACGTATGTTATGAAAATATTATATAATAACTCTTCACCTGAGCACGATTTAATTCGTGAATTATTGTTCTATTGCCGCTTCTTAATGCTCTTGTAATTAAGGCCCAGTTATTGTTGTCGTAATTGACTCTGTAAAAACCTGTTAAACGATATAAATGTTAAAAAAACATACGTAATATAACTGTAAAGTGTACGTATAACAATGGTTATCTTTTTCTCACCAGATTCTTGTTTATTAAAGATAACCCATTCGAAACCTTGGGACCCTCTTTCAATTGTAGTATTTTGTGCAGTTAATACTTGGGATGGTTTTAAGTCGTAAAAATCGTGTGCATTAGCTCTAGTCCAAGTGATCGGAATTTCCCAAAGACTATTAAATTGTGAAGAACCAGTTTCAAGTTCCCAACGAGCCTATAAATATAGTAAAGTAATTTAAATCAATTTATTTTCTATTTCACTAGCAATTATAGTGGTTAAACTAAAAAAAAATGATCATACTTGGTGAACATTCATTATCCCAGTGCTTTGATCAATGGTAACAGTCAACACAGGGTGGCCGGCCTTTTCAGACCAAGATCTAAAGTACGAGTCGATTGTAGTGCCATTATAATTCGTTAACGCTCCATCCTCAACCGCAGCAGCATCCAGTGCTTCAAATAAATGATGAGGCTCTGCCACATTAAACTTTCTATAAAACATATCAGAACAGAACAGAATTATAAATTAATATTGTACAATTAACATTGATCTTAAAAATAAAAATAAGACTTCATGTAGTACTTTACCTAGCACTGAGATATTGACGCAGTCCCTTCACAAAGGTATCGTCACCGAGGAGATGTTGAGTCATTCTTATAACAGAAGCGCCTCTGGCATAAGTAATGACGGAGAAATGATTACTCACAGAAACAGGATCGTTCACATTAGGATTAGTTAGTGCATGTGCAGAATCGACAGAGTCCGGCAACATAGCTTGGTGAACTTGTTCAACTATAAAACGAGTGTCATATCCGAGTGTCGGGGCCACCTAAAATATTCAGAATTTAAAATGATTTTCTGCTTTAGCACAAAACGTTAAAAGAATTGACTATTTTAATTTTTTTTCAAATTAAATACCATTTGTGTAAGATAGTATTGGTAAAACCTGGCAAAGCCTTCGTTTAACCAGAGGTTGTCCCACCAAGCACACGTAACTAGGTTACCAAACCACATATGAGTAATTTCGTGAGATATTATATTGGCTATTCGTTGTTTGTAGAAATGATTCGAATTCAGTGGATCATAGAGAATGAAAGCTTCCCTGAAAATAATTTTTTTCATTACGCATTGCAAATATTATGAGTTCAAAAGTAATCTTAATAAAGAAACATATTGTATATTAACAGTAATCACTATTAAAAAAAATATTTATTTTTCAATATGTGCTTACCTATACGTAAGTAAGCCCCAATTTTCCATAGCACCGGCAGAAAAGTCTGGTATTGCTGCTTGTTTCATATCTAAATTTTCTGCCATTCCATAGTATGATATATTGGTATACTCTTCCATTTTTTCAAGAAGTTTTTCTCCAATCTCAAGGGACCAATCTCCAGTATTACCTGCATTATCTCTGGCGTATATATCAAAAGGTCTTTCGCTATTTTGACCGACAGATACCTTTTTATAATGAGACACTATGAAAGCTACTAAGTACGTAGATGTTAGTGGGGTAGTGTAAAAAGTTTCTGCTATTCTTCCATTATCTAATCTGAAATATAAGCATTTTAAGCTGTCCTTTATTTCATTCTCTTTTTATTATTTGATTTTATATTCTCTTGTTGTTTTATCTAATCGAATTTCGTTATCACTTGATAAAGTCTAATAAGACTATTACAAAAATTGAAAATTAGAAATTTTATAAAACAATTAGTAGGATTCATAATATTGTATCTCTAATTTAATAAATAATGGTATTTTTTCATATTTAGTAAATAATTAAAAAGATTATTACGTTGTATTTGATCTAATAGGCATGTTAGATATACTAGGACTGAAATCACGTTCTCTGTTGATGGTTATGTCAAAGAAAGCTTTGAATGCTGGTTCATCGTAACATGGGAAAGCTTCACGAGCATGACCGGGTTGAAACTGTGTTGTACCCATCCACCTTAAAATAAGAGATTAATCACAAATAGAATATTGTCGTTTTTAAAAAGCGCGATAGCAAATATAGAATCATGCGTATAAGCAAAAAATGTAGCTAAGGTAAGCAAAATTTTCACTAGAGAGTTAGCACTCAATAAAGAAATTATGCTATTTTGTAGTCATTTCGAAAAATACCTTTGTCCATTTGTGTCCCTGTACTGACTTCTATAAAAACCTCGCATGTTTGTTTGGATGTTCCCAGTGTAATTTATATTAACTACATATTCTTGGCCCATTTGTAGAGCATCATTTGTAGGTATCCTTAGAAAACTATAAGGCATCTCACATTCGAAAGTATTTTTTGCGAGATCAATAGAAACATCATTCAATGACACCGACAAAGATCGAATTGTAATATCGTTGCAATGCATAACAATTTCTCGGACATTTTCGACTGTCGCATTTATGTATATACTTGCAATACCATCAAATGAGAATGGCCTGATGTTAATAGTAGGCGTGATGTCGAAGTAAGGCGTCAGATTTATTACATATCTTGATGGTCGGGTAGTTGTAGGTAATCTATAGTTGGGATCCCGCAATGTCTTAGCAAACTCTTCCCATTCATCTTCCGGTACTGGTATAGGACTTAAAGCCAACAAACTCTGAATAAGAGCTGCACCAAATAAGAAGGTAAACCAGCGGCATCCCTTAAATTAAAATATGTTTTTTAAGTGTCCTAATATAGAAAAGTAGTATTCAGCCCTTCTTAATCTCCCACTGCTGGGCACAGGCCTTCCTTCAATACGAGGGGGATTAGGCCATAGTCCACCACGCTGGCCAAGTGCAGACGGGCGGACTCCACACGTCTACCAAAAACTTGCTAGGTTCTCTCAGACATGCAGGTTTCCTCACGATGTTTTCCTTCACCGTAAGACAAGTGGTAATCATGATAGAAATGATTCGCACATGAAAATATCAGAGATGCGAGACGTGGAATTTGAACTCGCTTCACTCGGTTTCCCAAGCGAGGGATTTACCACTAGGCTACCACTGCCTATTTATATAGAAAAGTATATGTTTCAAAATAACAAAAAAAATGTCTGACAGACCTAAATTACTACTATTCATAGTAAAATTGCAATACATGCATAGCATTGCCTTGTCGTGTGTTCGATTACGTAGATTCTCCTAAATGTGGATACTTTCATTTTACATATTCATTTTACATATAAGCAATTATTCATATTTTACAACATATTGGTAAGTGATCGAAATCGTTAAGTCTTTATACTTCATATCATAATTAAACGATAAGTATACATAATTTTAATACATATTTTAAGGAGTGTTTTAAGAAATATACGAGTATTATCATTTAACACTATAAAAAAGTATTATTTTTTTTCATTACTAGATAGGCTTGCGCTTAGCGACAATTAACGCTGGGAAGCACTGATGAGGTCTAAGTTGGAGCGCGTTTGCCTAGAAGATGCCTAATCACTATTGCCTTGAAAGTACTCATAAAATACTAAAAGTAACATCACATAGTATGGATAAAATATTAATATTAATTTTCAACGTTCCAATTCAATAATCATTAAAAAAATACTTGAAAACAAGCTTACCATTTTTGCGCTGGCTTGCAATAAATTGTGACTAAATAATTATCCTAATCAATATCACTGTACCTTAATATTAAATAATCTCTTTATCTTATCATTATCACTAATATCATATAATGATATAAATACGTTTAAGGTCATATAATTTGTATAGCTACCCACCTTGAATTTATTTGCCTTGCCATCTGTATGAAACTTTATTATATTTCATTCTTGTTCGTATTATATATAACATTACTAGCAGAACCTGCGGCTTCGCTCGCGCTGAAACTACAAAAAAACTCGAAAAAAGTAGGTTTCAAACAGTTTTCATCCCCTATTTTACCCCCTTATGGGATGAATTTCGAAAAATGCTGAAACACGTATTTATGTAATTGTATTGAAGAGCATTAATACCAATTTTCAAGTAATTCGGATCATATATTTTTTTTGAGTCGTATTATAACGTTTTCCTCCAACCCTCCAACTATTTCCACACAAAAAATCACGCCAATCAGTTACTCCGTTTCAATGTGAAAGAAGGAAAAACAAACAAACAAACACACTTTCACATATATAATATTAGTATGAATATATGCTATAATATATTATAATACGCCAAAACGGCCGTACGGATGTGTATGAAATTTGGCACAGAGATAGATTATAGTCTGGAATAACACATAGGCTACTTTATCCCGGAAAAATGTACGGTTTCCGTGGGATAGGTTGTTTTTGTTTTCCTACAGGTGAACCTGAGCGAAGCGAGGATGAGCCGCTAGTACATAATTGAAGGGAAGTCCGTGCCTAACAGTGAGACGTGCGTGAATACAAGATATAACATCTATATACATATATACGAGTATATAAATAGGCGAAAACGAAAAAGAAAAAGACTTGTCGAAAATGCCATCGTACGTGTAGCGGCCTTTTTCGAACACATTACCTGACATCCAGGTATAAACTGGCAAATTGAAGTAGTTAATTGCTTCTATCGCTTTCCGTAAACAACCAAGTATCAAAACATCTCCAAACTAGAATTTTTTTTAGTAAAAAATAGCCTGGAGCAAATTTTTGGTGACAACCCCTCTGCGTCGTGTTTATTAATAGGTTTTATGGTTTAAGAAATATATTTCGTCTGGAAAAAGTATGAGAGGTCCACTACATATATCGGACCTTGGATGATATAATAGTCTAAGTAAAGTAAAGTACTTTACTTAGACTATTATATCATCCATAAACAACACGTTTCGACAAACGTAATATTTCGCCAATTAAGTAAAAGCATTTTGATTTCACCTGTGTATGATGATATAACTAGTGGGAAGTAGAAATGAATCTAATATAAAGCTCATAAGACAAACTTTTAATTTTAAATATTTAAATATAAAGATTTTTCTAAATCCCCAAAATATTATTTCCTTTTATCGATATAATATGTTTTTTTTAATATCTATAGAAGCCGGTATACTTTTCTTGTTTTAAATTTTATTTAAAAACTCACTCTAGGCTCACTAAAGGCACTAAATGCTCACCCTCGTTTCGCTTGGGTTCACCTCTAGGAAAACAAAAATACACCTATCCCATGGGAACCGTACATTTTTCCGGGATAAAAAATAAGTTTTGCCTTAGGTCAAAATGACGTCCGTCACACAAAATTGATTTAGTATGTAAGACGCTATGATAGACACTTTTTTTGTAATGTTTTACTTTCCAGCGGGAACCCGTCACTTTTATAGGATTTATAAATTTGATAATACACATTGTTTGACCGGCAATATAAGGTATCAGCATGACAAATTTTACTAAATTAGGTGCATAAGTTGTTGTGTACTAAGATGTATAAGTTACTATAGTTTTTTAACTGTCCCACAGGATCTCTTTAATTTTCCGGGATGAAAAGTATCCTAAATGTTGACCGGGAATATAAGGTACCACCATGCAAAATTTCATTTACAACGGTACAACAGTTCCGGGGATTCGCCCGTAAAAACTGACAACTAGACAGAGAAACAAAAAATTTGAAAAAATCTGGATTTGTTCTATTTCTCTTCTTACATCCCCTGACTCGGATTTAGCATTTTTTTTTATGTACAGATATTCGACCTCTACAGTTTTATTATATGTAAAGATGTATAGATAATTGCAAACAGATAATCCTCTACGAGCAAATACAATCTTATCAATTCCTAATAATAATTAAAGGTTTTTCCCTATGTTAGATGCATCATACTAGAATGACTAATTATGTTTAAAATTGGGCATGACATACTACTAAAATTTTTATATATTATATAGAAATTTGTTAATAACTAGTGACCTGTAAAAGGCCTCGATAAAAAATTGCTTTGTTAAAAGGTGACACTAAGTACATTCCACGGGGACCACTGTTGTGGATGAAAGTAGCTCATTTCTTTGCTAAAAACTACTCAATCTATTATTACATTCCTGCGAGAACGATAAACAGTTTATAAAGATGAGAATAGGTGGATTTAAGGTAATTTCACTTCATTGATGTGCGGGATAACAATAATGTATTAAAAACTATATCATGGAATAAAAAATAGTTCTGGTTCTAGCCAGCTGTCCTCAACAAAATTGTGTTCCAAACCGGTGGGAGTATAATCATGAACAAACTACATTGATTCTCTTTAAATTAAATTGTCGATTCAAAGTGCGTCTAAATACTTAATTGAATACATTTTCATTTTTGTATATAAATATATAATACTAGTTTTTGACCACATGCGAGGACTATTCCTGTTCCTATGAACCTATATAATATTTTGTACTAACAAAATTTTAAGTGAAAAGGTAACAAACAGAGACAGAGTTACTTTTACATTTATGTATAGTAAGTATTATTATGAATAATATGGATTACGTAAGTTTATTTTTCGATTTCAAAGATTCCACATTACTTAAGGAATTTGTAGGAACAATAAAAATGATAGGTGATTAAAAAGGTCATTCAAAATAAAACATCATATAATAAAAATAATTTACTAAAATATATTTAATAAATATAAATAATTAACAAAAAATTAAAAAGATTAGATTTAATATTCTACGCTACAATATTTATAATAATTGTCATTATAACAGCGAGGGAAGACAGCGCTGTAGTTACAGCTGAGTCAGGAATGTCAGGAGACACAGGTTCTTCGATAGGGGGTGGTGTGACAGTGACCGGGGCAGGGGAAGGCGTTACTGTGGTAGTACTTGGTGTGATCAGACTATCTCCTGTTTGGAAATAATTATTCAAGTCCTCGCGGACCAATTCCACCCAAGCAAGGCTTTGACGGGTAGTTTCAACACTGTTGATCACGCTCTGATAATAACTTCCTAATTCTTGTTGGTTTTGAGTTGCCCAGGTGCGGAACTGAAATGACATTATGGTCAATTAAATTTCTTATTTAAACATTTTTGGAAGTACATTTTTTACATTTTTTTAATATAAATAAATATGTTGGGACATTAATACACAGCACCATCTAGTTTCATGGTAAGCTACGATGCTTGTTTAATGGATACCTGATAGTTGATACAATACACATATATAACTTTTAAATACATACATATACATTTTTATATAATTTATAAAAATAAACACCCATGACTGGAGTACAAACATTTGTGTTCATCACACAAATGAATGACTCTATGAGTAGGTTCACTACAAACTGAGCCAAATGTGTCGTCAATGGAGTTTAGAAAAAAAATACATACTATAAGGTTCATATTTTAGTAATTTAGCGATTGTAATAATATAAAAAGTGAAATCACAATTAAATTATTAAAACTATAAAATATTTACCGCATTTATTTCAGCTTCCGTTCGTAATCTTGAAGCAACGGATATGAGAGGTGATGCAGATCCAAAACTAAAAAAAATATTAAACCGAGATCAGCATTAAAAGTTAAGTGTAAATTTTAAAATGCATACATTTTTAAATGGAAATTTTCTAAAACATGTCTAAAGTAGCTTACGCAGTAAGAACTTTTTGGAGATTTCTTTGAATATACTCAAAGACCTTCTGTGTATTATCTGGGTTACCACCAACAGCACTGGTAAACGCAGAACTATAATCCTGATGACGGATTTCGAAGTTTTCTTCAAAAATATTATCCAGGAAACTGTGAAATAACAACATATACATATTAGTACCTATAACTTTAATTATAAATATGTGTGGAATAAGTACGATTATTATATTGATTCTCACTAACTAAATCTGCAATGTTAAAGTTATATTATAAGCAAAATAGTATTAAAAGAGAAATGGCAAGAAGGGATAGAAATAAAGATGAAAAGAAATAAATAATGGTATTAAGATAAAGAAAACAGCTTATTATACAGATAATAATAAAATGTATGTACATTTTTATAGAAAGGTTACAATGTAGGAATTAACGAAATGACTAAGTAACAATTAGCAAATATTAATTATTATGTTTGTATATATATATATATATATATATATATATATAGATCATTATATTTATGTATGTATAAATTTTCTATATAATGAAATAAGAAACTTACAAGGTGAGCGATTCAATATGAGGAGTACATCCTAGGTTTTGAAGCAATAGAATCTTTTCAGTATAAACATTGGTTGCATTATAGCGTCGCCATAAGGCATTGAAGTCAGCAACAGTTCCATCGCGAAGCCCATTGCAATAGACCCAATTTCTATTATTTACTGGAACTCTGTGGAATATAATTAAATAAATAATACTTTTTAGTGGTTTTTTAATCGGTGCCAGCCAACAATATTTTAAGATATGAATATCTAATAGGTAAATATGTATTTTACGTATCGAAATACTTAGATTTGCCTTACATCGGCTGGCACCGACTTCGAAAATATTTGATTAGGTATCTATTCTAAATGAACCCCCGTTTAGTTATTTTTTTACATGTTAGTGCCTGGAAGCTGGTTTTTATTTATTTTTTTAAAAAGCTTTTATGTGTATAAAATTTATTATGATAGTAATATTATAATATTCATTTAGAACTCATTACATTATAGCACTTACATATTACTAGCAACTTACCCTAGCTTTGCTCGGGTGCGTCCTTAGGTACGTTTTAAATAGATAAAAATACATGGTTATTGTGAATGTACTTTAGGAGATAGACTTACGTCTATCTCCTAAGGTACATTCTATATAATAGCATATACTATTGCAGACTTATTTGTAGACCTTTTTAAGACCTTAAATTAATTTTCTAGTACATTATTTTCAAGTATTTCTTAAGGTTTAGCCAAATATATAGAAAAACAGACAAAAAATTATAAGCATTGTTTTGGGGCTCTCTGTATAAATTACGTTATAATCATTGTTTAAAAAAAAATTGATGTACAAATTTCGCTATGTTGCTATTTTACTTTATGTATAGATTCCTCTTTTTTGCTATTTTAAGTAGTGTTAATTAGCTTAGTTTTGTATTAAAATTCCACTAATTATATAAAAACTAATCTATACAAATAATAAAATCGTAACTAAGCCGAATCTGTACAATGTATATTTTTTGTAAAATCTTATTGAAATGGACTTTATTATCGATACAGAGGCCGAATCTATAGTTTTTAGAATTTTTGTCTCTCTATCTGTCTGTTACCGCATCACAGAAAAACCACTGGAGGGATTTTGATGAAATTTAGTATGATGATAGCTGGTTATCTTAGTCAACATATAGGATACTTTTTACCGTGGGAAAATATTTCATTTTTCAGAAAAAATACAAAAACTGCAATGTTAGAGTATACTAATATGCAAAACCTAAGAATTTGATTTTTGATCATTTGAACGCAGGCGGAGCCGCGGTCCAACCCGCACTTGGCCAGCGTGGTGGACTATGGCCTGATCCCCCTCGTATTGAAGGGAGGCCGGGCCCAGCAGTTTGACTTTAAAGAAAGGGCTAAATACATACATACATACAATTATATAAAACAGATAAAATAAAAGAACTTACTCTACTCCATTGTTAATTAAGGCGCGGAATTGGGTGTTTGCAGCTTGACGGCATTCAGGCACATTGATGGCACACAGCACAGGCGCCAATTGGAACCTTAAGTACGAATTCATGAAAGGTTCGTCCTGAATAGGATTGTATGTCAGTTGTCTCATAACATTAGCTGACCAATCAGACATTAAACCCTGTAAGAAATATACAATAAAAATATTGTTTGTTAGTAATTATGATTATATGTTAAGCTAGCGATTCACCCTCGCTTCGCTCGGGTTCGTCCCTAGGGTATGTATACAACTTGTCTATTTGAATCTGATATTATTAAATTTTTCATTGGTTTTAATTTTTTTTCGTGGGACTGTTTTTTTTTAAATAAAAGTAGCCTAAGTTACTCCTTATTACATCAGCTCTCTGCCAGTGAAAGTCCCGTTAAAATCGGCTTTACAATTTCAGAGATTGGCCGAAACAAACAGACAGACTGACAGACAAAAATGGTAAAAAAATGTTATTTTGGTATATGTACCGTGTATACATCCCATATGCATTTAGTAAGAAGCTGTTATTTTGACATCACAAACAGACACTTCAATTTTATTTATCTGTATAGATTATCTTAATTATTATTCACAATTCCAATATGTTTAACTTACTAAATTTTAACATTTGCGTAATTATAGCTTAGATAAGTAAAATAATCGTTACGAAACTGTGTCAACATATTAATGTAATTTAAATCAATTTTCTTCAAAGCGTGCCAGTTGAGCACAGATTACTTTGCCACTGTCACTTAGAATAGAGAAGACACGAAGGAGATTGATCGGTTATTCCCTCCGCGACCGCGGACATACCGGCGTGTCAGTTAGTTAACAATAGATTTCTTAGACTTTTAATTAATTTCTTAGAAATTTACCTGGAGGTGTTAATATCAATGTAATAAAACTTATGTAGTTTGATAATTATAAAACAACCAGACACTTGTTGCTGAAAATGAAAGATGAATAAAAAAGATAATCATACCTCTAATCTTGTGAGAAGGGGATCACCAACAAGTCTATTTCTCAACCAGGAGAACCCAGTCAAAGCAGCAACCCATGGAGCATAATCAGTCTCATTTTGAAGATAGGATAAAATGTTCAATGCTCTAGAGTAAGGCATGATATTAGAACGAGCGAATTGGAATACGTCGTTAACAATCTGAAAAATTTTAAGATGTATATATTATGTGTAAAAAGCAGAACTATGTAATATTATATTTTCTTCTTATTTTAAACACCCACGTTTGATAATTCAAAACTTTCTATAAAATTAATATAAATGATGAATTGCTGATGGTTGTATTGAAACGCTTGAAAATATCTCAGTTTTAAAATTAAGTAATCTGTAATTACAAATTAATAATTTCTACTCACCTGAGCTCTATTGTATTCATGAATATCAGTCATATTAGGACCGCGTAAAGCAATTGTAATCAGATCCCAGGTGTAATCGTCATAATTAACTCTGTAAAATCCTGTTAAAAATAATAATAGAGTATAATAATAATATATAACGCAGGCTAAACGTATCTCATAGAATATACGATATCAATATTTTTGTACAAACAATAAAATGAACATTAAAAATTACTCTTAATATAATAATTAAATCAATTTTCTTGTACAATAAAATGAATACTGAAAATACATATATAATAATAATTGTATGTAGGTATGTGCGTTTGTCTCACTGAAGTTTCTGTTGTACGGATTTGAATAAAATTTAGTAAGTATAGGCTATTGTTACACACCCACCCGAGCGAAGCCGGGGTAAGTCACTAGTATATTATTACTTCTACATCAAGTTCAATATTATTATAAATCGTTATAAATTGATAATTAAAACAAAATATGCTATTTATGTATGTATTTATTCAGTACTTTTTTTTAAACTCCCACTGCTGGGCAGGGGCCTCCCTTCAATACGAGGGGGATCATGCCATAGTGCACCACGCTGGCCAATTGCGGGTTGGCGGACTTCACATAACTTTCGAAAACTTGTTAAGTTCTCTCAGACATGCATGTTTCCTCACGATGTTTTCCTTCACCGTAAGACAAGTGGTAATCATGTTAGAAATGATTCGCACATAAAAATATCAGAGGTGCGAGACCCGAGATTTGAACCCATTTCACTGTTTCCCAAACGAGCGCATTACCACTGGGCTACCACTGCCTTATGTTATTTATACAAAGATAAATTATAATTTATAAGAAAAACTGAATACCGCTTTGTTGCTTGTTGAAAATCACCCACTGGTCTCCAATTGAGCCACGATCGATTATATTCAAGGAGTCTTTGAGTATATGGGTGGGCTTAAGGTTTACGAAATCAGGATTGGCAGCGGTGGTAAAGGTGATTGGAATAATGTAGTTTAGGTTGTTAACAGCATATCCACCATTGATACTGAACCGATGCTGTAAAATAATAAACGAATTACATATATAAAATTACTACTTTACTACAAAGTATAAAACAAAGTCGCTTCCCGCTGTATGTCTGTCCCTATGTATGCTTAGATCTTTAAAACTACGCAACGGATTTTGATGCGGTTTTTTTAATAGATAGAGTGATTCAAGAGAACGGTATGTATAATACATGCATATTATAGTACAGAAAAGCCGAGAAATTCATATATTTGTATTTCATACTAACCGTTATAACGTACCTAGGGACGAACCCGAGCGAAGCGAGGGTGAGTCGCTAGTTTGACATAAAAATAAGAAAGAAGTAACTCCTTCTTCCTTTTCGGGCTTATAACTTTTGTGACCAGATTTCAATTGTCATATAAATTTGAAAAAAAAGCAATTATTTTTAAGTAATTTTAAAGTTAATGTACTCTTTTAATTAATAATAGTAATTTTATTTATCGCAAGAATAGCTGTTTTCCTCATTAATTATCACTTAATGACCTTTATTAAAATAATCATATAAAAAGATATTATTATTTCAATTATTAATACCTGTGTAATTATCATTTCACCAGTCGTATGGTTCACTCGTACATTCAAAATAGGGTGACCACTTTGCTCAGTCCAACTTTGGTAATATTCGACAAGTGAAAAATTGCCATATTCCGAGAACGAACCAGCTGCTGTACCAGCAATCTCCAGCGATCGGAACAGATCGATTGGCCGTGCAATGTCGAAATCACTAAAAAAAAAAATAAACTCAAAAACAGCTTATTAATTAGTAAGCATCACTTAATTTATGTATATTAGGTTAAAAGATATTTTACTTCAATGCAGTGTAAAAGGAGGGTTTGTATTTAACTTATATATATGTATCTCCGACTATATGTGCCTTTGTGAATTATTACAAAACGGCTGAACCGACTTGGATGAATTATACATCATCAGATTTATATTAATAACGTGATAAAAAATATTTTTCAATAAATTAAATTTCTCTTGCGACTTGAATATAATAAATTAATTTTCAAATCTATGGAGTGGAGTATTAAAAATGAAGGTTTATTTAGAGGTGATCATAAAAATATATATTTAAGATAAATTAAGCAAAGAGCTGTAATTATTCCTAAAACAAAAAAAAAAACAAAAAACCTGACAGCGTATAAAAGTACCAAAAAGATACGTTGATGCATAAAAATTATTATGCAGTTAAAGACCTACATGTACCAATACTAACAGAAATATATGTATCCTGTATAATTGCTTTTGTCTTTTTAATTCGCTTTTAGCGCAGTCAGTTTTTCTGCTTATTTATATTTTAATATTTTACTAGTCTTATAGTGTTAAAATTTATTCATACCGATCGCGCAAATAAAGACGAAGACCAGCAGTATGGGCATCAGTGCCGAGGAGACGTTCAGTCATTCTTATTATTGCGGCACCTTTGTTGTATGAAATAGTCGAGAACATTGCACTAACTGACTGAGGACTACCAACATTAGGATTAGTCAACGGATGAGCAGTCTCAGCGGAATCAGCCAACAGACCTGTGTGGACTTGTTCAATGATGAAACGAGTGTCAAAACCCATCTCTTTTTCCACCTTAAAACGCATAAAATGATTTAATGTACATCCAAATAGTTTAATAATATTATTAATAATCATATGGATTAAAAAAAACTTACCCAACTAGTAAGGAAATATTGATAGTATCTAGCAAAACCTTCATTGAGCCATAAACTGTCCCAAAACTCACAGGTTACCATATTACCAAACCACATATGAGCAATTTCATGTGAAAGAATGTAAGCTATAATTTGTTTAAAGTGATCATTGGTGTCTTCTTCAGTGTACATTAAATAGGCTTCCCTATAAAATCCAAATATTATTAATTCGTAAAAATGATAAATTAATTATTTAAAACTTTATAATGATATTTATTATTTATCTAATAAATAAAGTCCTGACCTGTAAGTAATTAAGCCCCAATTTTCCATAGCTCCTGCCGAAAAGTCAGGAACAGCAGCATGAGTCATTTTTGAATTAGGATGCATGTCAAAGTAACTTATATTTGTATGTTGGTTCATTTCAACTACAAGCTTTTCACCAGTTATTAATGCGTAGGAACCTTGGCCACTATTTATAGCTGCTGGTCTTGCAATGACTTCATATTGAAATTGCCCAGTTGAAGGTGTTCTAATAGATTCATACTCAGCAACAATGATAGCTAAAAGATATGTGGACATAATGGGCGTACGGTCATAGATATCATCTTCATGAGTTCTAAAATAATATTAAACAAGTATAAGACATTATATTATAGCATTTTTCCGCTAAAATGTTAAGTTACATACTAAATAAATAATCCAAACACTTACTGATTGAAAACGGCCGTTCTATTGTTAGTGAGAGACCAACTAGTGTACTCAATTGGTCGTCTTATAGTAATGTTGAAGGTAGCCTTAAAACTAGGTTCATCGTAACATGGAAAAGCTTGACGAGCTGATGTTGGTTGAAATTGTGTAGAAGCCATCCACCTATAACATCATAAAAACGTTAAAACAGTGGTTGCAAACAAAGTACCCAATTAAATAAAGACAGACGAAGACTTACCTAGGTGTTTCAGTGGGTTGATTTCTAAACCAACTTCTATAAATTCCGTACATATCATTACGTAAGGGAGCGGAAAACTCTATTGCTAAGTCATAAATAACGGGATTAAGTGCATCATACTGCAAGGTTTCGGAGGGGCTGATTATCAAAAAATGTAAATTAGTATCTTCGCTATAGGTCACCGCTATGTTTCTAGAGTTTAATAGCAAGTTTATACTCTCTATTCTTAATTCATTGGTATGAAGGACGATTTGAGTTACATTTGCTTGATTAGCCATTAATTGAATATCAACTTTGCCTTGAAATACAAGAAAAGTCATATCAATAGCCCAAAGAATATTATAATGAATAGGGCGAGTGGTGTTGGGCAGACGATAATCTGAGGCTACATTGTACCCAACGCTTTCATTAGTATCAAGGTCTTCAAATATTTGATCTTCGAGTTTTTCATCAAGAAAAATTGTATTCCTAGATATGGGTGGTGGGCTTGGCAATGAATGTGCACAGAGACACATTGTCCCAAGGATGAATAGTAATAATGTCGCCATCTGTAACAAACATTGTTTTTAGTGTAAAAACAATTTTTACTGTATAAAAATACTTAACATGCGCATAAAATTTTTCGCATCTATAATGTTAGTTCGATTGCTATGCACGTGTAATTATTTAATTTTAATTTTAACACAACCTAAGATGATATATAAAGTACTACATAGATGTCTAATAAGAAAAGCAGAACTTTTAATATGATCATATAAAAATAATTAAATTTGAAATAAGACTTTTAACCAAGCTTTCTCATAGTCTGAAGGCTGAAACTGAAATATCATCATCAAGTACATAATACATTACTTTTAAACATATTTATAATAAAAGTGTAACTGATGCTGTTCGTACATGGAATATATTTGAGAAAAACTATTATTGGGGGTCTTTATTAACGCAATAGAATCCAAAACAATTATTTTTGGATTTTTCGTCTGTTTATCTGTGCGCGCTATCGTTTGTGAGCGCTAACCTCAAAAACGGCTTAAACAAATTGTTTGCGTTTTTCACTAATGTATTGTGGCTTCACTTAAAATTTATTCTTTGTTTTATTTTAATCGGTTTGTAAATAAAAAAAGTATTATAAATTTAAAGAATCACTTAGGGATGAACTGGAGCGAAGAGAGGATGAGTCCCTAGTAATATAATAAAATTGTGACTAAGCCAAATCTGTACTTAAATATTTTTTTGGAAAATCTAATTGAAATAGTATTTTTATATAATATCAATATAGAGGTCCAATCTATAATTTTTTAATTTTTGTCTGTCTGGGGACGCATCACTAGAAAACCACTGGAAGGATTTTGATGAAATTTGGTATTTATATGATTATTATAATTATATGGTAATCCATATTTTTCTGTATTTTTTGTCTTTTTAGGGCTATCAATAGCGATTTGGAGGATCATATTAATGAACGTGTAAACAAGAAACTAAAAAACTTTTCTTTTATAAATTAAAGGTGAATTCGTCATTCAAATATATTGCTAAAAATTAGTATTACTATCTCAAAATGATTATGATAACATACTTTACTTTTGCCAGCATACGTTATTGATTTCAATGATAAATAATCATTATCGCGTAATCACTCAGTGTTTATAAAAACCATTAATTTCTTTATCTGATTCCTTTATTTAATTAATATTTAAAAATCTGATGGATACTCATATTTAACACTATTTAATATTTACAAAAAATGGTTAAATGTATGTGGATCGCATCGTCGCATCAGGGTTCCATTCAGATTTATTGACTTCCACGTCAATTTCGACCACGATAACCATTCAAATTGTGACTTGCCATGTGCGTGGGAGTGCATAACTATGTGCATAGACATAACTGTACTTTCTATCTCCTTTTTTCTCAAGACCGGAGCAAGATCAGACGTAGAACTGATGGCTTTAAGTGCTCTTTGAGATATGGTGTAACACTGTAAGCCCAACTCTATTGTTACTGAAATATAATTTCTTGGCAGAAACCCAAGTAATTATACTTGGCCAACCCTAACATTCATCTGGATGGTCTTGATAATAATTATCATCACATTGCGGACCAAAGCATATATAAATTTCAACCTGGACCGTTGCATTGGCCCTTACACCCCTTAAAATACCCTATTTCCTCTTCTAATACCGGTTTCGCTCGTGTTAATTGCCGGTCAATATATCGTAGATAAGATATTTTACTACGCTAGGTTCTCTACTCTTGCATTACATTGTCTTGGATTTAGGCATGCATATCGTAATATCGCTCTTAATATTCTTAACGTTATCATTCGACTTGTAATAAAGCACTTATTATAATAAATTTATCTACATCAATGGTATCAATATCGAAAATTTTGTAGGTTATAAAATAAGTTATTAATAATCGCAAATTTTGATTACGTAGATGTAATTATATTAAACATTTTTGTAACAATATCTGTTGTTTGTATAAAAGGTAGAGAGATAATCGAAAATAAAAAGAAGGATATTGAAAATAGAGAAACGAAAGTAGAGAAATGAAATAATAATGAATTAGGATAATTTTGTTATACGAAATAAATATATAATTCTTCTGTTCGTGTGTTTGTTATACTACTCCTCCTAAAGGACTGAACCGATTTGGATGAAATTTTGTGTGTATATTTCAATGAGCTACTGGATGGTTTGAAAACACAATTGGGCCCGGTAAGGTGGCGCTACTGTCGGTGTGTCAAAGAGTTTGTTTTTTTAGTAGTTTGAACGCGGGCGAAGCCGCGGGTAGTGCTAGTTATAAATAATTTTTTATTAAAAGTTTTAGTACGGTTACATGATTTATCATTTTATTATTGAGCGTGACGTTACTTTTAAGTATCTTATCTTATCTTATGTATTTTTTTCTTATAATTCATAAAAGTAATCAAATCTAGGAAGTCCATTTTAACCTACTTCTAATTAAATCGATTTGAAAAAAGAATTGGTACATCTAATTTGAATAGTATAATTTGAAAACAGAGTGCTGATGAAGGAACCAGGAAGCGAAAAGTGGTTTCATTTTCGTGGAACTACAGTTCTGAACTATTTAAATCGTTTTGATGAGTTATAGAGCATGTTTTTTTTAAACTGTAAATAATTTCTAAATTTTGATCTACTTTAAAATATAAAGAGAATTACTATAATATTTATTCTCAAAATAAATAGTAAAGGTTAAATAGAGCTTCTTTAATATCTGTTGCTACGATGACTCAATTCAATTTAAATTTCTTGTTAATGGCTTCAAGGCGTGCCAATGTTTCGATTACTTCTACATATTTAAAGGCAGTCAATTAATTTTGAAACAAACTTATCTGTTTATATTCACTATTGAAATCAATGATTACGAGACGAAAGTAAAGTGATAAAAATACTAACGACCTACACTCACTGTAATTGTGATCTATGTTAAAAATATTTAATATACCTATTTTCCCGGGATGAAAAACTTTGCCATAGGGAATATTTCTTCAACTTCGTATAAACCGTAGTTTTCTTATGATTTTGATTTAAATTTAAAGTATTGAATCTTTCTCTAAAAAATCGGCAAGACATGACCTAATACATTCACACAATATTGATATCTCCTTATTTAAGAACCCATAGATTTTTAAAAATTTGTTAGCTAAATTCTAAAAAAAAATGGTATACTGATTTTAAAAATTCTAATTTTAAAATTTATTTAGGACCACTTTACACATTTAGAACTCATTAAAAAATCGAATTGATTGATAAAAACATCCAACCAAATCGAAAACCTCCTCATTTTCGAATTCGATCAAGTCCCTATTGTTTTACTACCTACTACTATTGTCACGGAATACTTTGTAGATGTCGATGTGTGGAACTAATGTCTGGTTGGGTCTCACGTAGGATAAATAGATAATTATTGTATTACAATATTGTAAACAAATATTATTTTAAAAGAGCAAGTGTTGAGTTTCTCGCCGGCTCTTCTCAGCAGAACTGCCGTCCGAGCCGGTGGCAGATTCCTCACGGACTTACATACTGGCATTTAATTTAAATTATAATAATGTAAAAAGTGACGATTCAAAAGAGCTTAAAAAAGTCTATTTGAATAAAGTATATTTTGATTTGATTTAATTTAAACTTCTACTGAAAAAACAACCTGTATAATAATAATATTAGTATTTACAACAAAAACTTACCTTTTTGAAGGCGACAATTTTTGTGACCAATTAAACAGCGACTGGATTATTTTATTTTATAAATTCTTAACTATTGAACTTATCTTTTTATCATTTCAAATAATCACACTGCTTTGAATGACGTATTACTTGTCTCCATTGTTTTATATAAGTATGTATATTTTGATACCATAACAATATTAATATAATACTTGTTTTAATATTTCAAAGGCATCAATAGAGATAATAATTAATCTATTTTTTTAATAAAACATTTTGATTGTACTCGTATCTATAAAACTATGATGATTGCAGTTAGTTTATTATACCCAAGGTTAAAGATTTGAAAGTTAAAGAGTGATGGGTGAAAACTAACAGGGGGGTTGAGGACCTCAATACCTATCAGAGATGTTTAGTTGTTTTAAAGTAATTTTGATTTAAAAAAAATATAGTGAAAACCGCATTTTAAACTATAAACTTGGCAAGTACAGCCGAAGTATCAAGTACTGGATAGTGGTTTTTTTTTCTAAAGTAATCTAATAGTGTGCCAATTTATAAAGTAGTCTAATAGTGCAATCATTGTCTTGGGAGAGTCTCTCCCATTCCTGTAAAGCATTCGAAATGTCGGGGACCAAAAATCAAAATAAATCCGCGAAAAAATCCGAAAACATAGTTTTATTTAAAATGTCAAATATTCGCGTAAATCTAAGAATGTATTAAATAAATATCCAAATATAAGACATTCAAATATTTGAAATGCTATAATACCTACATTGCACCCTTAAAACCAAATCCACTTAAACCAAACTCAGAATTTATTTAATTTAATGGGTATCATACTTCAAGTCTTACGGCAAGAAGTAATGTTTACTACAAAAGTACCATTTAGAAGAAAATAATTAAATAAAATTTATAATAACTCAATAACCGCTTACAGAACTAACCTGGTGACACATTACCACCCAACGCATCCCCCCAATCCCTCTCCCAAACCCCTCCCCCTCCCCATGTTTGTTCATCTCCTCGTGGTGGGGAGATGGGGGGGGGGATAATTAACGACAAACCAAACGGGCGGTAACTTCGGTAGGTAGTGTACCATGCGAGTTGCTCCTGGTACTTCTCTAACACCCCTTGATCGTGTGGTCTGCTTCGACAGACATGCTATCGGAGCGTTGTGGTTGAGTGCGTAAGCGATCTTGCAAGGCCCCATTATAACGGCGGAGGTTCTGTTAAGTTTTAAAGGATAGTTCTAGCTTTTCTAGCGGGTAAATCCCACACAACCACTAGTACGTTCACAGATGGTATGCGTAAATGTATTTCTCAACATTAAATAACAAAAAAGACTAACCTGGGATTCAATTTAAATTATAAAACAACAACTTCCAATTAGTGGTTTGTCAGTACTATGAGACAAGACACGTTCACATACTACAAATATAATAAATTTTACTATCTGTTCTAATAATAATCTACTAATAATAGTTTGCATTTGCCTTCATTTACGCTGCCAACTTTGAGTGCATTTGCTCCACGGACTTCTGAATTAACATAGATAAATGATGATTTTACTTTCTTACAGTTCTTCACCCACTCACAGTTTTCATATTCTGGTAGTAATAGATCATCATTGATCATCATCAATAATAACATCAGTACATAGCCAATTCTTTTAATGTAACGTAGAAATAAACTGCCACTAAAATTTCAGGAAATAATGGGACAAGCGTCAAGTTTATATACGCTCTATTAAATTTCCGCATTCTAAGAAATGTAGGCTGAAATGTTGGGAAGGTATTAAGATTGAAAAAAAATCAGTATTATTTAAAAAGTACGGGTATTAGAAGCTAGGATAATACCTCCAAAATTCTTAGATTAGTTCTTGTATGGCAGAAATTACAACAAAATATTATTACATCTACACACCAGACAACGTCCAAAACTGATGCCTCGGTGGTGTAGTAGCTAGTATGTACGGCTGCACACCCGGAGGTCCTGGGCTCGAGTCCCGGGTCAGGCCGAATCTAGTTATTGAGTCTTTCTGTATAGTAAGCCTCAGTAACAGCCCGAAGTTGGGAAGTTGGCGGTGTTTCAAACCCGCGCCGAGGCAGAGCACGTAAAGCTGTTGGTCTTGCACCTTAACTCTCACTGATCGTGTCTCGTGTCATCCCACCGGAGTATGAGAGTGACAGGAATAGAGAGTGCACTTGTGTCTGTGCGTACACTTGTGCACTATAATATCTCCTGCGCAGTTGGCTAGTCTCAATGAGATTGGCCGCCGTGGCCGGAATCGGTCAGGAGAACATTATTACTAAATATTAAATTGGAAAAGAAAAATTCGATACAAATAATACAATAAAAGGAACGATAAAAAGAGACACAAAATTGTTTTAATATCCTTATTAAATATTACAGAATATTGTATTATTAAAAAATAAAATAAATATTATTTCTACAGTTGCACTAGAACTACAATTGGTGTTTCCATTCTTGAAAAAGATATTTGAACACGAAGTTGATTTTGTTACAGTTTGATAATATTTATGTATGTCAACGGTCCATAAACTTTCATACATGTATTGTACTCGTAATTGTAGGGTAGATACCGTAGCATTTTCCCTAGAAATTTTATACCGCATAAATTTCATATTAAATTTCTATTTAATGTTCAATCAGTAAACTAAGCCTCAGATAACGCCCTTGCGGCACGCTTTTGACTCATTTGGGTATTTCCCTCGTAAAAACACGATTGACAAATTTAAAAAGTATAAAAGTTGAAAAAATCTTATGCGGTATAAAGTGATTTGATATTAAAAATAATTCAAACTAACTTCCATATATCTATCTGACACTGACATATCTTCCATAAAGCTAACTATTATTTTTAGTAAAGAATAATCAGAAAATTTATTTCATGAATTCTGACACGATATAAAAATACTTAGAACCGAATTACATATATTTCATAAGCTTTCGACATGTTTTTGAATATAACTCTACCGCTACGTAACTGACCTTCCAAGCTCCAATTTAAGAAAAAAAAACGATTATTGTTAAGAATTTCAATATGTGTAAAATGGCTAAATAAAATGTTTCGCTACCTCCCCTACTAAAATATGCAATATGCACAGACATAAACTCTATATATAACAAATAAAGTAAGAGGTTGCTGTATATTATAAATAATATGATTAGTTCTCCAATTGTTTACTATAATTGCCAAATTAATAGTCTTATTTGAAATCTTATCATACGTTATCTGTTTATGGATATATTTATGGACCATAAAAATGATAAGAAAAAACAATACACATTTGTTGATTTCTTTTTGAAGTTATACTTCTTTTGGCACGTTTGGAAAAAAATATGAGAGTAAAATTTTTACGATGCGCGCGCACATCGACAGCCAAAAAGCGACATGATGAAGTTAGCTGCATTCCCTTTACAAACAGAGACTGGTGACATACGAGATGAAATCTTTGGCTATTTTTGTTCTGTTACGCCAAAGAAGTATAACTTCTTATGTGCGTACATAAGTACTCACGCACGTTTTTTTTTCGGGTTTAGAGAGTTTACATAAAATACTGTTGAAGTAGTTCAAAATACTGTTCAAATTACAAATGACTAGGAATATGGTCTCAACCTATCTCCTATATTTCACAATTATAATCAATAAACAAAATACACCAATACATAGCTAAAATTTCAAACTAAACTACACTATTCCATTTAAATTTAATACTTACAGTATACAAAACACCGTCTTTGTCCTACAGTACAGACAGATTTGGCATTATTTACTTTTACCATCCAATGACCTTCACATTGTAAATCATATTGCAAAGAGATTGATATCCATAATTAAGTTGAAATGAGATTATAACAATACAAAACTATAAGAGATAAATAAACTCTTAAATCAATTAGTGTAATTTAATGATATTATTATTACAAATTGAGTCCAATTTATTGTTTCTTTGTATAATTGCTATAACTGGTTGTGCTATATCAAACTAACAATAAAGTACAATATGTTTTATGTACACAACTATGTATATATTTTATACACAGTGATCGGTGGTATTTCATAAGAAATTAGCAAATTATTTTGAAGAGTTCAAAAATATCAGAGATTCGATACATCGAAGTTTTCAATGTACGTGTTATCACGCGTCGTCAATATTGCCGGAGGTCTTATCCGCTTCCAAAAGCCAGTTAACGATTGTTGGATAATTCCTCTCCATCCATTGTACGTTGGCAGCAGTCCGCTCTAACACTTGCTGAACTGGTCTCCCCAAGTCACTACAGGACTCTGATACAAATCTTTTCAGCTGGAAAAAAATAACTTTGATGATCATAATATATCACATCACGTTTCATTCCAACAGATTATACCATACAAATACTTTTAAACTTTTTACTAAGTCCATAATTATATTATATTAAGATCGGTATTAACAATAACAATCACTTAGTTTATTATTGTAACTAAGACATGGCAATCTGTATTTGATCCAATACAGTCTTGCTCAAAAGCTTCCAGTATTATTAAGTGTTAAGTTTACATTGTACCAAATTTTTTTAACCAAGCTTTTTGTGAAGAGGTAATAAATAAATCATTGTATTATTAATTGATTGATTGCTATACATTTTTTATATACAAGAATCTTTCTTATTCAAACGTAGCAATAGGTTCGTCTTCCTCTATTATGTATAACTGTTCTGTATCTTGCATTGTTTCAATTTTTAAATTTCAAAGCCTCATCAAAATCATGAGTCATGACCGATTTTGCAAGCAACCTATCATATACATCTTTCCTATATTTTGTACTTTTAAACAAAAATAATAGTTTTATACGGTAAGCAGATAAATTACCTCTTCGTATTCGTGAACTTGATTTAATCTTCTAGTAACCACTTTCAGTATAGAATTAAGGGTAGAGACTGACCCAACACTGCAACAAAAATACATATTTTACACTAAATAAATACATTTTTTTTTGTAAAGTCTAATGATATTATTATTTACTAGCGGCCTCTAGGTAAACAAAAACAAACCTATCCCACTTGAACCGTACATTTTTCCGGAATCAAATTCTATGCCTATGTGTTATTCCAGACTATAATCTATCTCTGTGCCAAATTTCATCCAGATCCGTTCAGCAGTATTGGCGTGAAAGAATAACAAACATCCATACTCATAAACTTTCACATTTGTAATTAATATTTATACAGAGGTATTTTAAAATTATGTATGTTTTTTATAAAATTCATTCCTTGACCAAAATCGTTTTAAAGTAAAAATAAGAAATCATATCCGATCAAAGATATTGTTGTTCTTAGATCTAACGTAGTTGTGTAGAATGACCAAAAAATCTTACTATTCTTTAAGCCTTTGCCAATTAGCTCTAACAAAATTGAAAGCAATCGGTTCTCCTATAGACGAGCTGGCAACTGCTGAAAACACTCGTACAGTGTCCTGTTTTCTTATTCCACTGTCGTTTCGAAGCGATAAATCGAGATATCTGCAAAAAATAATATGATCCAATAACTATTTATCAATAGATTTCCTTACTGAAGTTAGAAATAAAAAAAAGTTGCCTACAAATCGTGTCAAATTTCTATAGCAAGTGCTATAGACAAATAGGGTATTGAGATTTGTCATTAGACAAGTTTATTTTCTACAATCGATATAGCTAATAGAGATCTATTTAATAGAAGAGTAAAAAAATAAAATATGGCATATTATAACCACGTGACATAGCGCTTAAACAAACTATTTCCATACAATTTATACTTTTTATTAGCAATTGAAAATTATCGTATTGTCTAAGCCCACATATTAGATATATCGTTAAAGAGAAAATGTGAAAAATAACTATTTTATAAATACACATGAAGTTTTTTACAAAAGATGCGAAAATATTAGAAATTATTTATTTGGTCTCATTTCATCTCAATCACGAAGAATACCTATTTAAAAAAATCAAAATGCAATTTTGTCGTTATATTTTATTACAGATAATGAGAAATTGGGTATAATAAAGGAGTTGAATTCACAGACCTGTATAATAAATGAGGCGCCCTCGTACATCCTAGCACTGAGAGCAACAGTTCTCTCTCAGATGGCGAACTTGCTACCAAGAACCTTTCCCAAGCAAAACGCCATTCCCTTGTGTAACCCGCTTGTACCCCAACACAGTATACAGTACTGCGAATATCCGCATGAATACTGAAATAAAGATAAAAAAGATGCTTTCTTAGATACACGCGAATATACGAGATTTTAAATGAATCTATATCTTCAGATTTTGTCATGTTTTGTGTAAAGCATTGGAAGTGTCGGAAAAACTACTCCAAATAAAGCCGGAAGAAAATTCGAGAAGACGTCCATTTAAGATGAATTTCGTTGTCCAATATTTTTACACATTTTCCATAGTTTTAAAGTTTTTATATCATAAAATATCTAATAATCATTTGCCTATATTATATATATATATATATATATATATATATACTAGCATTGCCCGCGGCTCCGCCCGCGTTCAGATGACCAAAAACTAAATTCTTAGGTGTTACATATTAGTATACTCTTACATTGCAGTTTTTGTATTTTTCCTCAGAAATAAGATATTTTCCCGCGGTAAAAAGTATCCTAGGATCGCGCGCTACATCGCCCGGTTTATATAGCTTGAGCAGGCGGTCGAGCGATGCGGGGCAGAGGGGATGGACTCGCCGTAGGCATCTCAATGCTCGCCAAGCATTAAAAATGTTTCGCTACTAATTACTTCTAACAACGATATCTCAAAAACTATTCATCTGATTGATTTAGTGTAAAGAGCAATTTTAATCTGCATTAAATGACTAAGCTAACTAAAATATTCATTTGGATAAGGATTAATACCGAACTAAAGAAAATAACTTTGAAAATAACGTAATGTTTTTAATTAAAAATGTTAACATAAAAGTGGTTATTGTAAGTCAACCGTAAGAGATAGAGATATGCTATCGCGGACTTTTTTGTAGCATTTTTATAGATTTTGAATTCTCTAGTACATTACTTAACTGTATCTTTGCTAGTTTACGCGGCGTTCGCGTGGAAAGTTCCCATTTGGCGAGATTTTTTGCGACCTCTTCAACATTTGTCGCCGTATTTCAGCTAATTTACATAAAAGCATAATAAATTATATACCTAAACCTTCCTCAAGAATTACTCTTTCTATTGTTGAAAACCGTATAAAAATCCGTTCAGTAGTTTTCGAGTTTATCGCGTACAGACAGACAGGAGGACAGACAGGAGGACAGAAAGACGCGGCCGGGGGACTTATTTTTATAATAAGTATAGATATATATAATGAGGCATCAAACTATATTATGTATTGTGTCATACTTATCATAATTGCTTTATGAATGTTTTATTTTATCAAATACGCTATATAAATATTTTTCTTTAAAAATGTGCTTTTTAGATAATATGCCTATTTACTTAAGGACCATCGAGATAACCATGTGATATTTATTTACTATGGACCCGCCCTAATTTTGACCTTGACTAGTTACTGATTTGATTTTATTATGTTGAATAAAACTATCTTTTCGGATTTATTTCGATTTTTGGTTCCCGACGTTTCTAATGCTTTACAGGAAACGTGGTTACGGGATAGAACCGGGAACCAAACATCAAAAGAAATCCGCAAAAAAATCCGAAAAAATAGTTTTATTTAAAATGTCTAATATTCGCCTAAATCTAAGAAAGTATTATTTTATTACGTTTTGATTTCTAATAAATATCTTACACAACTCACGTTGTAATGTTACTAATCGCAATCGAATGAATGTAAAAATTCGTTACAAACAGACAGGATACATGATAGAAATTTATCAATAATGTTGATATTATTATACCTTCTCACTGGTGTGTGATGTTAATATGAAATTGTGAATTTTCATACAATTAAATAAAAAATACAACCCTTACTCATTATAAGCGTCAGGATTTGCGGTAAGCATCCAATTCATGTACATTCTTACAGCGTGCTCTAAACATTCGACGTGTTGCAAATGACAAGCTGTAGACAGAAGGTCCACTCTGTGTTGAGCTCTGACAACACTTTCGTTAGTCGATACCTCCCACCCAAGTTCATGGACAGCCACATTTAAAAGGCGCAAAACATATCTCTGAAAATATATTTAATATATACATTATACATTACTAACATTTCTACACTTTTTATATTTATACTAGCACTGCCCGCGGCTCCGCCCGCGTTCAGATGACCAAAAACCAAATTCTTAGGTTTTACATATTAGTATACTCTTACTTTGCAGTTTTTGTATTTTTTCTCAGAAATGAGACATTTTCCCGCTTTAAAAAGTATCCTATATGTTGACCCGGATAACCAACTGTCACCATACCAAATTTCATCAAAATGCATCTCGTGGTTTTTCTGTGATGCGGTAACAGACAGACAGAGAGACAGACAGACAGACAAAAATTCTAAAAACTATACATTCGGACTCTGTATCGATAATAATGTCTATTGCAATAAGATTTTCCAAAAAATATTTAATGTACAGATTCGACTTAATTATAATTTTATTATATGTATAGATTAACACTACGCAAAAGTAGCCTGATTTGGCTTTAATGTTATAATAACTTTAACCACGGTAATGTTACATATGCATTACATAACCGTGCTTTAACCATCCAACATGACCTTTACAACCTTTACCTTTACCTTCATACTCATAGTGACTCATATTACTAAATTATAAAGATTGAAAATTTAAACATATAATATTCCTGTTCTATTAATTCACTTATGTTTAGTGATTATAATTTTTTGTCATTGATGTGATATGATCCCTTTTAAATAAAAAAATTCCACCTCTAACGGTGGAAAAATGATTGATGTTTTTTTTTTATTATAGGTAAGTATATTAAAGTAGGTATATTATAGATATATGATCCTGTTCATATCAGTAATTTTTCCAATAATTTTACAGTGGGTTTTATCTACCATAAATACAATCAGCAGGGCCCGGATTTAGATATGATATTTTAAAAAATAGATACCTAGACAAAGTATATATTGATTTCGTGCAACAATACTTTGATAAATTTCCCCAGCTTAAGCGGTAAATCTCACTAAAAAGGGTCATCTGTGCAGCAGATATTATGGTGCACAATTATATGACGTAAACATAAGTACACTCTCTATTCCTTTCACTCTCTTAGTCCAGTCAATTCGATACAACCTGAGAGAGAGAGAAGGCAGCTCGATCGTGGGCTTTACGTGCTCTCCAAGTCATGGAGATATAACACGAACTACTTCCCAACTCTATAAAATTCAAAATTAATAACTATACCGAGCCCGACCAGAGATTGGAACCCAAGGACCTCAGGATCGACAACGAGGGATCTAGAGCCTAAGAAAGATTAATTTCCTTTAAAATGAACCTTATGAAATGAAATTGATGCAAAAAACTCTAACAATACATAACCTTTAAGTAAAGCCGAAAGAAAATTCGAGAAGACGTACATTTATATTAGATAGTATTATTACAAATATTAGCACTCAAACTCTCTCTAGTTTAGACACGTTAAATTAACTTATTTCATCATCCTTTACTAATATACTCTATTTTGAATAACTTTTAAAGAAAAAGTCTTCACCAACTATAATGAATCGATTGCATTATTCTTTTTTTATGAGTCAGTTATGGCTCAAGGGTGGACTCATAAATATCTTAAAAAACCCATTTGGGTAAATACTTATTCACCCAGTGAATATTTAATTTAGTCACTGTTATGACTATAATTTTGCTTATCATATTCTGAGTAATAATATTTTATCTTTAAATATCTGTTCCAATATGTATAACTATGAATTGGCATTTTTCAGGAAATTTATATACAACTAGAGAACCCGCGTTTTCGCTCGCGCTAAAATAACAAAAAATCTCTAAAAAGATAGTTTCATACAAATTTTCATTCCTATTTCACCCACTTATAGGATGAATTTCAAAATATGCTAAAACACGTATTTATTTAATTTTATTGAAGAACATTAATATAAAGTTTTAAGTATTTTTGATCATAAATATTTTTTTAGATTATAATATTATAACGTGTTTTCCCATTCCTCTCCCTCGGTAAAAAGCCTATGTCACTCTCCAACCCTCCAATTATCTCCACACAAAAAATCATGCTGATCCATCACTCCGTTTCGATGTGAAAGAAGAACAAACAAACAAACACACTTTCACATTTATAATATTAGTATAGATACACTCTACATAATCTAGTATTCAACCTTAACTATTATTTATTAAATAAAAAAAATATAAATCTAAATATTTTAATTCTGTGCTATTATTATAACTAATTGATAAGCATGTCATCATTTTTTTGCTTTACGTTATTTTTTATGACTCAAAAGCCGAGTTTTAATGATTCATAATTTGTGTGGAAAACAAAGAATAAGTGATTATTACAGATTACCGCCTTGTCATTACTCCTACTGGTTATATAGAGAAGACCTAGTAAGCCAGTATTTCATTGCCTACCAACCAGTTAGCCTTTACATGTATAAAAGCATTTTCAATTAACACACTTTTGTTTCCAGTAAAATAAAATGACCAGATTTTCCTCACGCAGGCATCGAACATCAATGTTCTTTCGATAATTAGTGAAAAAGCTGTACTGCCAAAAATGTGTCTATTATATATTATTTATGTAGAACTTACCTTATATTCCAAATAGTATGCTCCCTTAGAGAGCATCGTGTCTATATAACCTAATGCTACAAGACCAGCCTTCCAGGGCACATAGCTTTTCTCGTGAGAAAGATAACTCGTAATGTCCAAAGCAGTTTTATAATCAAGACGACCAGAGAGGGCCAAATTCATCGCATCGTCAATTATTTGAGCCCTATTGATTGGATGGATTTCTTCAAAACGAGATTTGTCATTCAGCACTTTCACTAACATTTCCCAATTTCGTTGATCATAGTTAACGCGATAAAATCCTATAAGATAATAAGACAGGTTATTTTTATCTAAATTCTTTAATCTTAAAAAAATGACAACCTCTGTATAACTCATGCCATAAGAAAATATTTATATTAATTGACTCGGAGTCAAATATTTTTAAATGTCAAGAATGAATAGAAATTGATTGAAAAAACAAGATTAAATTCAATACGTAATTGTACTTATTTATTTATATTAAGAGTATGTGCTTGTTTATAGTAAAATTTTGCCCATTTTTTATAATAAAAATATGATGCATGCATGATAATACTGTCTATAAATGAATTTGGTTTGCATCTCCACAAACATAACAACTTCGTACTATTAACGAGACTTTTTTGACAGGAAGAAAAAACTATCAACTACTTAGCCCGGCTCGAAACTAGGACCTCAGAAACTGTACATGCTAGCCACTAGACCATCAAGTTCCCAAATCTTAATAAATCTTACCTGTTTGTTGTATGTTGGCAATGAACCAATCATCTTCTTTTACACGTATATTGTCGACCACTATTGACCTCTCTCCTCGTAACCACAATTTAGGTTTTGTGGATTCAAAGTCTTTTTCTGAAGCAGTTGTATATGATACTGGAATCCACCACACCGACGAGTTATGTTCGTTGACTGTATCATTTATCAAAATAAATCTTTCCTAAAATGTACAACATTTATTATTGCTGTGCAATATTTATTATGTATTGCTTCTGAGTGACTAAAAATCAGTCTTAGATTTTATGTACTTTAAATTATTAGGCAATCTTCTTGAATTAAACTTAAATCTAATATTTTTAAGGTTTTTGTGGACCTATAAGATGTAAAATTGAAAACCAACAAAATGTTAACGAAACGAAAATTTCGTAAATTAATAATACGATTGAAAAATATATTTGTCGGAAATAAGTACCTAAATCATTACATAAATTACAATAAAAAAAAACTAATAGAATTAAGCATGCAGAAAGAGAAATAATATGTAGCTTGTTTATTTTTATTTTGTTTTACTAGGATTTTTCCCTTTTTACTCTTATATTACCTGTTTAAATGTAATGGAGCCGTTGTTATAATCTCTAGTAATAGTCAGTACAGGAAAGCCAGTTTGCAAAGTCCAAGAGTCCATGACAATAGCAACGTCCGCGTCAAAAGCATTCTTCTCTCTTGCAGCATTCGTCAAAGCACTCCACAAGTCCCTTTGCTCAGCATCACCAAACTTCTTAGCATTTAGATAATCAGTTATGCCAGCATTAAAGACATCGTCAGTCAAAAAATGATTCATCATCCGAAGTATTGCAGAACCTGTACCAAAGCACCAATTACGTGAGTTTGTTTAGTTTAATCTCAGAAACTACTTTATGAATTTTATACGGTTTGCACCAATAAACATATAAGAGAATACCTCTAAGTTACAAGCAATAATTTAAAAACATTTTCAAAAATCTAGTAAGACGATATTTAGGATTTTAAGTCAGCAAAAATTGTCTCTAGGGCGGACACGAGCTTTGCTAGTGTAATCCACTAGTGATATTATAATAACTAAAGGCACCCAGGGACGAATGAACGATCCCGAATGAAGCGAGGGTAAGTTTGTGAATTATAATTAGCGTAAAAATATTATATTAACTAAAACAACTGAGCATAACACATTTTATTTCCGGTAAGAATTCGTGCAGAACTAGATATGAGAATTTGTTAGAAAGATGAATCTGATACTGCTAATCAATAATCACGCTAATAAACATAAGAATGAGAGCAATATGTACAATAAAATAATTTTAGAACTATAATTAAGTTTTCCAACCACCAACTTTTACTGTACTAACTGTGGTAAACTTAAGCAGACTCACGCATTTTGAGGATAGATCTAAAATTATATATATATTTAAAATAGCAATTAAAACCTTTGTACCTTTTCCGTAAGATATTTTATCGAATATAGCTCCTATTTCCTCTGGATTTCCAACTTCTACTGATATCTGATGAGACGACGTTAAAGCATCCAACTTAAAAACACTTTGAACTTCATTCAGCACAAACACCTCCATTAATTTCCAGCTTTTCTCCACCTATAACGCAATAAACATTCATGACTTTCTTATTTTCTTGACTTGTAACTATATTATAAACTAGCCCTTACGATTATTATAAATGTGATAGTACCTAAATTTATATTAATTAAACTATGATTGCCCGCGGCTCCGCCCGCGTTCAGATGACCAAAAACCAAATTTTTAGGTTTTACATATTAGTCTACTCTTCATTGCAGTTTTTGTATTTTTTCTCAGAAATGAGATATTTTCCCGCGGTAAAAAGTATCCTATATGTTGACCCGGATAACCAGCTATCATCATACAAAATTTCATCAAAATCTCTCCAGTGGTTTTTCTGTGATGCGGTAACAGACAGAAAAAAAGACAGACAAAAATACTAAAAACTATAGATTCGGCCTCTGTATCGATAATAATGTTTATTTCAATAAGATTTTCAAAAAATATTTAATGTACAGATTCGGCTTAGTTACAATTTTATTATATGTATAGATGGCGTTTTAATAGCTTAACTAGTTTTCATGAAAGGCTAACTTTAACTAAGTGCATGCCTTACTTACATGCTTAAATACAAAAATACATATATTGAATTTTACTTTATCTTTATAAGTTATACCAATTAAAAATATAATAATAAATTTAGCTAATTTAAAAAATGACCAAACATACGTACAGCATCAACTGCGACGTACTCGACGTAACTAGCGAAACCTTCATTTAACCAAATATCAGACCACCAAGCAGGTGTGACTAAGTTCCCAAACCACTGATGAGCGATTTCATGTGCAACAACCGATGCAACTCTGGCTTTAGCAGTGGTTGGTGATACCCCATTGTCATATAACATTGCTATTTCTCTGAAAAGAAAATTTAATATTTAACTTGTTAGAAAAAGTTAATAAAATATGTAACATTAGTATGTATGTATGTGTGTATATATGTATGTAAGTATATATATATATATGTGTGTGTGTATGTATGATGTGTTGGTGTGCATGTTTGCATATTTATATAATAATTGATGTTTATAGTTTGTACCTACACACCGCACCTAATTATTATTTTTTCTCACGCTCCAGGGTTTCTAGTAGAGATCTCTTAAATTGATAAGTCACCCTTTGTACACTAGGTATTTGTTTTCTGTTTTATATGTATATTTTTTTGTGAAACATAAATATATAAATAAACAAAATAACAAATTTTAACACCTTGCGACTAAATAATGTATATATTTAATCATTTTAGAAATCCCACTGCTGGGCACAGTCCTTCCCTTAATTTAAGGGCGATTAGGTTTAGACTAGCCTTGGCCATTTGTGGACTCTGGCCAAGCCAAGTGCAGTTTGGCGAACTTCGAACATCTTGAGAAAGCTAGCTAGATTATCTTAAAATATATCACAATGTTTTCCTTCATTGTTAAAAAAGTAGTAATCATGTCGAAAAAATGATCCGAGAATTAGATGTGTAAGACCCGGGACTTGAACCCGCTTAATTTGGTTTCCAAGTGAATGTTTTACCACAATATATAAAAATGTCAACCGCCTAATTTTTAAACAAAGCAAATTCCCATAAGCAAGATTTAAGATTCCTATAAGAATAATCTAAATATAAAACTATAAACCTTTCAACACCACTTATAAAGTATTCATGAAAGAAAATAAAATGAAAACTCGCAATATCGATATATATTTAAGTTTTAAAGGAACAAGTGTCATAATTGTTCCAATTATTACTCGTATTTAAATTTCTTTGCCATATTATTAAACACGTCTAAAGGAAAATAATCATTTTGTTATGCAAAATTTTCTAGTGTATAAGATATGAAATAAACAGCTCTGGTATTCATTTCATGTATTTTTAGATAAATATTTAAACTAACAAACTAATATTGCCTTTCTCGCTTTCATTAGAATAATTGAAAGTAGTTAACACAATGAATGAAGAAAATATTCCATTTGAATATTAAATAGTATTTATTTACTTTTGCTACAAGTAACTGGGTAAAAGACGTACTATATGGTATGATATACTCAAAGTGATAATTCAGAAGTTTGGAAACGTACAGACTTTTTTTATTTAAGAAAAATATGTTGTCGATATCATATTACGTATAATACGCATACAAAATATAAACCTGAATAGAGTACCTTCTCCTTTTTTTAATTGGTTAAAATAAAAAAATAAGGCTGTGGTAGCTCAGTGGTAACGCGCTCGCTTGGGAATCCGAGTGTAGCGGGTCAAATCCCGGTTCTCGCACCACTGACGTTTTCATGTGCGAATCATTTCCAATATGATTATCATTTGTCTTACGGTTAAGGAAAACATTGTGAGAAAACTTGCTTGTCTGAGAGGACCTAGAAAGTTTTCCAAGGACATGTGGAATCCGCCAAACCGCACTTGTACAGCATGGTGAACTATGGCATGATGCCCCTCGCATTGAAGGGAGGCCCGTGCCCAGCAGTGGGACGTTAAAAAGGGCAAATACATAAAACAAAAAAAAATGTTACTAGATTTTAAAATTACACTCGTTCATGTGGGGGTTGAGTCGAATCTTTTCAAAAGATTAAACGAAGCTAAACCCCCGAAGCGTACATAAAGGAACAATTTGAGGGTTGACACTCCCTACAAGATGAATGGTTTGTAATGAAGCGTTTCGCCACGCTTAAGGGTAATTGACAGAAGGCATATTATGGTTATTATCTTTCTATATCTATTTAAAATCGTTAGAACGAGAATAAATACATTTTTGTTTCAGCTTTAATTTTCTATTCAGACTTAGATTTTATGTATATTTATCTGTAATATAAAAATGAATCGCTGAATGTGTTGGTAAGCGCAAATCTCGAGAGCTGCTGAACCGATTTCGCTAATTCTTTTTTTAGAATATTCCTTGAAGTACGAGGATGGTTCTTACGGAGAGAAAAATTTAAAAAATTGCCTGAAATAGTCTAAAAACAACACTTTTCCATACTTCCATACAAAAGATTCGTAATAATACTTAAAAGTCAATTTGAACTTTAATACTATATCATAAAGTTTAAGTGTTAGTGGAGAGGTTCCGGGAAGGCAAAACAATTGAGTGACGTTGTATCGTATAAATATTAATGTCAATATTTGTCAATATTATTAAAAAAATAATTAAATGTATATGGCTAACGCTGGCTAATAACTATTTATATCTATTTAAAACGTACCTAGCGATGAACCGAGCGAAGCGAGAGTGAGCCGCTAGTTATATATTATATAAATATGACTGAATATCTGATGATGTTCATTGAGACTAGCCAACTGCGCAGGAGATATTATAGTGCACAAGTGTACGCGCAGACACAACGTGCACTCTCTATTCCTATCACTCTCATCGCAGGACCGACGGCTTTACGTGCTCTCCGAGGCACGGGGGTGACACACCGCCAACTTCCCAACTCCGGGCTGTTACTGAGGCTTACTATACAGAAAGGCTCAATAACTAAACTTAGGACCTCCGGGTGTGCAGCCGTACATGCTAGCCACTACACCACTGCTGCTTATGTTATCTTTTTATTAAATAGTATTTAATTAAGATTACAATATATTCCACTTTTAATTAGGCTAATTATTTTATAATCTTTATGAACATCCTTCCCAATACTTTGAATGCAAAAATGTGATTGACATTTTGTCGGTTAGTGAGTTCTCATAAACAGTATAGTATTTCGCAAAGAGCCCTATAAGCGTTGGTATGTAAGAATGGCAAATCGAATTTCGATGTTTGATACGAATATATATTTATACGAATATATATATTATAAATGTGAAAGTTTGTGAGGATGGATACTTGATATTCTTTCGCGCCAGAACGACTGAACAGATCTGGATGAAATTTAGCACAGAGATGGATTATAGTCTGATTTTTTATCCCGGAAAAATGTTCAGTTCGAGTGGGATAGACTTGTTTTTGTCTAGAGACTAACCCAAAGCGAAGCGAGAGGGAACCACTAGTAATTAATATGAAAATAAATCATAAGAAATTAAATCTTCTGAAGAATAAAATTATTAAATTTAATATACTTAAAAAAATAAAAAAAAAATATTCCGAATGATTTATTAAATATCGTACGGAATAAGAACGTATCGTTTTCCGCGTCAAGATGTGACCGTGAACTGATCTTATATTTGCTCAAAGAAGGATTTACTCAAAGTAAATATTTACGCGGAAGCTTTATATAAGGATAATCTTGTTACTCTGACGGAGTGCGGCGTTTTTTATGTTTGATTCGTTTCGCTTTTATTTTATCTTTATTGGAAAAATACGTAAGTTATATAGTAAAATATTTTTAAAGACATTACAATCTAGAATGTTACGTTTTACTTCAGTGTAAGCATGAAGCCAAATAATAATGTTTTAAAATAATAAATATATGTTTTAAATATTTTTTTTAAATAGTATACATACAAAATATAACAATTTGTGACAATATGTGAAAACTGATAAGTAAATAAATTTTAATAAGTAAAAAAATTAAATAAAGAAAAAAATAATAATCAACTAAACAAAGAAATTAAAAAAGTCTTTTTTTCTATCTATATATTTTTATAATTTGCCCTTAGATGATCACCTTGAAAATTGGTATAAATAGGTTTTACCGTTCGAAAAATATTTGTGCATTTCCACTAAAATTAAAAGCTTTCGAGCAAACGCTAGATTAATAATAATTTATATAAAAAAATTGCAGTACTTACCTAAAAGTTAATAATCCCCAATTCTCCATCGCTCCCGCTTTGAAATCTGGTAACGCGATCATATCGATCTTAGGTAAAGGGAACTTGATCTTATAATAATCTTCTAGGAACTTTAATATTTTCGGACCAATTTCCAAAGCATAGGCAGCGGACGGTAACGCCTCCTTTCTTGCCCATACTGAGAAGTTATTATCGGTCATGTTACCGAAATTGGTAACAGCGAAAGCGACGAGATATGTCGACATGGGGAGAGACTCCGCATAGTGATCCCAGATGTAGTCTTTTAATGATTCACTGTAATATTAATTTGAAATAATTAAAATAAAATACACTATATGCATGTTCTACATTTGATAATTGAGAATGTGTAGTTAGTTTTTTTTCTATTCTAAAATGAGCTATTATTATGATATCTAGAAAACAATACAAATTAAATTGTTACATATTTTATAGGTAAGCGTTTTAAAAGTTCGATCGTTTATCTATACGTAGGTATTTTGTCTGTCTGTCTGGAACGCATCACGAGAAAAGTACTGACAGAGTTTAATAAAATTTGGTATGATGATAGCTGGTTATCCGGTCAACATATAAGATACTTTTCACTGCGGTAAAATAACTCATTTCTGAGAAATCTACATCAAACGTAACTAGGGATGGACCCGAGCGGAGCAAGCGTGAGGCGCTAGTTTATCTATTATATACATTTTGACGTTTAGTATAGATTTCTCAGAGATGACATATTTTTAACTTCTACATTTATTTTGACGGGCTCCGTCTTTATATTTTGAATTAGAAGGTATATCCCAAATATTTCCATACAATATGACAATTACAAAGTAGATACTCGTATTGCATTGATAACCGGATTCAATAAAAGATTTTTTTTAAATGAGGGTGTAGTTTAAAGTTAATACAGACTCGCATTAGAATACTTTGTTTTTAGACTATAGAAGGTTTGTTTGAGCTACATAAGACTAAACTTAATCCATACTTAATATTATAAATGTTGTCTGTCTTTGTTTGTCTGTTTGTCCTTCTTTCACTTCGAAACGGAGTGACGGATTAGCATGACTTTTTGTATGGAGATAGTTGAAGGGCTGAAAAGTGATATAGGCTACTTTTTACCGCGGGAGATTATCTAATTCCTACGGGAAAACACGTTACAATACAATCCAAAAAAATATTTATGATCAGAATTACTTGAAACTTGGTACTAATGCTCTTTAATAAAATTAAATAAGTATTTAGCATTTTTCAAAATTCATCCTGTAAGGGGGTAAAATAGGGGATTAAAGTTTGTATGAAACCTATCATTTTGAAAATTTTTTGGTAGTTTTAGCGCGAGTGAAGCCGCGGGTTCTGCTAGTATTTCATATATTTAAAACATATGGAATATAAACTTGTTTTTTCTATTACATATTTGAACTATAGTAATTGTCAACAAAATCTTAGAAGGGCCATAAAACAATCTCCCCTAAATGATTCTAACAGAGACCTATGTTGAAACAATATTATGATGCGGGCGTCTTATTTAACGTCCGTCACGATTAGTTCCTCTCGTTATAGAATATACTAGATAGGTCTTACTTACTGATTCTATATAATGTATAGTAGTTATATTTACATTAATAAATAGTTATTCAAATTACAATCATATATTTAATTTTATTAATTTAAAAAAGTTAATTAAAAATTAGGCAATGACTAAACAATTCAGTACCTTTGCCTCCTCTGTTTTTTAACCGATTTCTTTTTTTTGTTTCGTAGCTATTGACGAGGTTTAGTGTTATAAAAAAAAGAAAAGAAAATTCATATGTATTTTCCTCAAATATCTAATAATGATTATGCTCGAATTTCGATCACTGAACGAACATTGGTATTCATAAATAAATAAGTAAAAAATATTGTATCATCATTATACTAAAAAAGTATTTATTATTTATGTAATTATAATGCATATCTTTATAAATAACAGAATATTCATATTATGTATTATTACGAATTTTTATATTATATCTTACATGAAAAAATTAAAAAAATTACGTTTGTGCAATTTCTGTTACAGTAGACCAAAATAAAGCTGTTTTCGGACTTTTTCTTAGATTTATTTTGATTTAAAATGCCAAATATTTGCGTAAACCTAAGAAACTATTACAGTAGACCAAAGTTACTTTGACTTAAAGTAATACTTACGTCTATTAACTTTCTTCATTATATAGAAATTTACAGTAATTCTATTTACGGATCTTCTATAAGCGACTGGCAAATCTTATTAATCCCATTAACCCACTTTACGAATTCTAAAGAAGCCAATTTTAAAGTAAAATAAAATGTATATTAGAAAAATCTTACTGTTTTTCCCGTTTAATAATGTTCATGTTGGAAACAGAAGTCATATTACTGGGGCGGGCGATGCTGATAGTAAACTTGGCTTTTAGAGCAGGTTCATCCCAGCATGGGAAGGCACGTCGAGCATCTGTGGCTTGGAACTGCGTTACTGCTATCCATCTGTAATTTGCCTACGTATTAAAAAATCAGCTGTCTGTACAATAGTTTGAATGAAATGATTACTTTCATGTATCATATTATTATTATTATTCAATTCTTTAACACTCATTGCACTATTGTCTTTTACTATCGCTATACCAATTAAATCATAATAATATATATTTTTCAAATAAATTTTACAAGTACTTTTGATTAGTCAATTTTTACATATTTACCAGATCTTCTAATTGGGTAAGTAACTTCCATATATTATGTATTATACCAGGCTAAAATATTTTATAAGTGTCTATGTATTTTATTTTAATGGTCACCTATGTGTGTTTTTGAACAAAAATTTTTATTAGATATTATTATGAAATAGTTATTCTAAATGTAAAAACATATATTACTTACAATATCGAGAACATTATATGCTTGTTAGTAATAAGAACCGTGTTTATTTTTTGTACAAAAATTCCCTATAAAAATAAACATTGTAAGTACATACGTTTATATTGTTATAAAATTTTTATTATAATAAAAAAAATTATGATTTTAGACTCATAACTGAATTGGCTATAAAAATCTCATTTTTAAAGGTCCATCCAAAGGTTGTCATTTTGGTCTTTGGATGATGACAAACTTATGTGCATCTTAACCCTTATTTACAATACATAATATACGGAAAGGTGGAATCTAAGATACGAAATTATGGGGGTTCCTCTTTTACGGAACCCTAAAAAGTATTTTTTATAATCGATATCGATAAAACAAACAATGAACGCATTCTCCATAGTAAAATAATACATACATTTGAATGCGAAACACTGACTCATTGATAGAATATAAGCTTACAAGCGGTATCGCATAGTAATACGGCAACCTCCCACGAGGAATACTAAGCGAGTCGATTAAATACAATAAAATTTCCGTATACAATATATTTTTCTTGCTGACGTTTTAGACAGATTTAAATCCTTTTATTTCTTTATTCTGACCTTACATGTAATAAATATTAATTTTATAGTTAAAATACTTAAGTTATAACAAAATAGATTAGTTAGTTGTTTAAAAACAACACAAACCTTTTCACTTTTTTCTCTTCATAAGAACTTCTGTAGAATCCATGAAGATTATCATTAAGGATACCCAGATAAGTAATATTCAACACATATTGTTGTCCAGCTATCAATGTTTCTGCTGTGGTAATAATATGAAACTGCCTTGGTACGTCTTCAGTTTTTCTTATAATCTTTATTTCCTTGCCATCTTCCTTTTTATACAGTTTTATCTTATGGAAATACAATTCAACTCCATGAAAAGTAACTTTATTCGTTTTGTTCTTAACAGTTAAAATAATACTGATTTCACCATCAAATGTAAAATTTCCCTCATAAATGTATGGAGTTAGAACTAAATTATATTTTTCTGGTTTGATATAAGTTGGTAGTCTTACGTCAGTGACAGCGTTTTCGTCTTCCCTTGTTGTAGATTCAATATTATTAGTCGTGCTTTCCACTGATATAACACTTTTACTATTTTCAGTACTTAAAGGTATAACTAACAACTTAGATTGATCACAATGAGTGAGTTCGAATTTTGTTACATTTGCTAACTGATCAGACCTTGGGCAGGCTGCGAAATTATACACTAGAAATGCTGTAGCAACTATTGCTAATGCAAAAATTATAAGAATGACGAAAGCGAGGCCCTTGGATAGGTAGACTCCTCGCTTGGTCTTCGTAGAGAAGTCGGTTTGCAGATTACCGTCCATAATGGTTAACGGCTCACGTCCTTGAGTCATCACAGCATCATTATTTCATCTGTAAAAGAACAATTTTGATTTAGTCGGTCACTTTACAGCATAAGAGTACTACCATCTATTAAAAAAACTACTCGACTGTTATTCCAAACATTATATTGAACATCAAATGGTTGGAGATTAATTGGTCGTACATTTATTGCTTTATATTAAGAAGCAATGAAAACATAGCCAGTAACAAAAAATAACATTTGAATGAAAGTTTTTCAATCTATCTGTGCAAGCTTTGCTAGCTCACGTACGTTAACGAGCATTATAAGACGACGAGATCTGAGAATAGAGCTTCTATGACTCCGAAGATGCGATGTTTGATTCTTGTATAAAGATGAATTTTGTAAGATGGAAGACGGAAGATTGTATAGAAGTTTATAATTTTTAATTTAAAACTATAATATAATTATTATCCAATAAGTAGGCATGGTCCTTCCTTCAATGCAAGAGAAATTAAGCCATAATCCACACGCTGGCAAAGTGAGGGTTGGCAGACTTTACATGTATGTCGAAAAATAGGTTCTCTCAGACATGCAGGTTTCCTAACGATATTTTCCACCGCATGGTGAATGATAATAATTTTGAAAATGATTCGCATATGATAATATAAGAGTGCAAGGCACGAGGCTTGAACTCGTATCTCTTGGTTTAACAAGAAAATCAAGAAAATTTTGAAAAACATGAAATATATACACTTTTGTGTACATACATTTTTAAAACTGGATGATGTACTAGTTTAGTATTCAATATCAAATAATATCTTCTAATGAACAGAAATTTAATTTAAGTTATTAATTAGTCCAATATATTAATGAGAGGGTAAAATCATCCCAAATAGTTTCTAACTGGGTCACTAGGTTTGTAGGTGAATTTCTATGCAAAAACAAAATAAAGAAAGGAGTAGCTGAATTCCTTTTATTTTACTTCGAAACTCTGCAACTTTCACAGTAATATATACTGTTTTCTTTAATATTATGCATAAAACTTGGGAAATGAAGGCAAATAAAGTTAAAAATGTAATTTCTGCTAAGAGTTTTTGAAAAGAGTATCTAATGTTCTTTATAATTTATGTTGTAAAATTTCTTCGGTCTTTAGAATGAAATTTTTAACTTGTTTCCACAAGTAATAAAAAGATATAAAATTAGTAAATGTATTTGCATGTTTACTAAAAAAACATATAAAATATTCATTGATGCGTGATGGCGCTCCCTAGCGTCACATTAACCCAGTAAAAGAAAGTCTTTAAAATAAAATAACATTTACGCATAATTAAGCATAAATCTACAAAAGGTATGGCTTGCTTATTCAGAAAACACAAGTTCGATTCTCGTCAAAAGGTATCAAATATCAAAATGTTGATTTTTTTTATTTTCAACCTAAGAGATGTAATTTTGTTTGACCGACTTAAAAGTGTTATGCGTATGTGGTTTTTTTTTGTGAAGTGTTTTTCATAAGTCGTCTAACCGACTTTAAAAAAGGAGGTTATCAATTCGACACATATTATATATGTACTATTAATGGACTGCAAAATATTCACATATGATAATCATGAACGAATTAGCGGCTGATTCGTTCATGATGATAATCTATTAGGGCTTCCAAACAAATACAATAAAATTTATAGGTGTATGTATGTTTATATGTATGTATGTTTGTTCATGATACTCCCTGAAACTAGTAATGAAATCGTGATCATTTTTTTATCTGGTTATAAACTAGTTATTCCAACCATTGTGTACCATTTTAGCTAAAGTAATTATGAATAACCCTTTTAAATCCAATCACGAATGGACTAAAATGAAAGCTAATAAATAAATACGTACAAGAAATCCTGTCCCGAGCGTTCCGGACACGCACAGGATCTTTACTCGTATATTAGATATTTTAAATAAGAAATAACTACTAAAATGCTTTGAAAGAAATATCATAATTTATGTAAATTAGCTATTCTTTTCTTTAAATTATGTTAATTAAAATATATTTTCACTCGTCTGTCTGTTTAGTTACGCAGCACATGTGAAAAATCGTTCATATAATAAATTTGTTACTGATCGTTGTCTATACATGGAAGATATTTGAGAAAAACCATTATTAGGGGTCTTTATTAACACAACAGAACCCAACACAATGATTTTTAGAATTTTTGTATATTTGTCTGTGAGTTTGTGCGCCGTAATCTCAGAAATGGCTTAACCGATTTGGATGTGGTTTTCACTAATTGTGATAAGCTTCATTTAACATTTAGTATTTGTTTTATTTCAATCGGTTCATAAATAAAATATTATGTCAATTTAAAGGATCGCCTAGGGACGAACCCGAGCGAAGTGAAGGTGAGTCGCTAGTATGGTAATAAAAGTAAAACGTTTTACTATGGCACTACATGTTATAAAGCAGTGGTAGCCCAGTGGTTACATGCTTGGATGGGAAAATAAGTGAAGCGAATTCGAATCTCGGGTCTTCTAATATTCTCATGTACGGATCATTTTCAACACCACACGTGTCTTACGGTGAAGGAAAACATTGTGAAGAGACTTTCTAAGAGATATTAGCACGTTTTCGGAAGACGTGATGTCAATCAATGATAACCAGCGTGGTGGATGGACAGCATCCTCATATTTAGGGGAAGTTTGTGCCCAAAAATGGCAAGTTATAGAGAACTAAATACACAAGTTACTACAAACTTGGGCTTTTGGATTAGAAATTAAAACTAGTTAACTTAGTTAGGGTCGCAGGTATCAAGGTACTTTTACCAATAAAAAGTAGCCTATATGTTAGGACATTAACACACAATACCATCTAGTTCCATGGCAAGCTACGAGCCTTGTGTTATGGATACCAGATAGTTGATACATTATACTTATATAACTTTAAACATTTACATATTATAAATATAAACACCCATGACTGGAGTACAAACATTCATACTCATCACACAAATGAATACCCCAGCGGGACTCGAGCCCGCGACCGCTGGCGCAGCAAGTAGGGTCACTACAAACTCAGCCAAACGTGTCACCTATAGGATATAAACTATCTCCATTCCGAATTTCCTTCACTCCGCTGTGCCACTACAGCGTGAAAACGTGAAAAACACTTGTTTATTTTATTTTATCGATTATAGCCTCATCGTGGTTTGACAAGAATTTTAATAATTTTCATAAAAATAGATTGATCTAGTTATTTTTTGGGAGTTTGTTATGGGATATTTTAGCTCATTGCCAGACGATTTTAACAAGTCTTTTTTATGATATGATTTCTAAGCAATAGACATAATTATTAATTTATAACAATTATCTAAGATGTTAAGCTTTTTTATTACCTATATTGAAAAAATAAATTATGCTTATTAAAAGATAGATAGAGAAGAAAGAATATTCTCTAGTTTATCTAAAAATGTTTACATTGAATGTAAACATTTTTAGAAGATGTTCTTTAAAGATGCAAATAAAGCTAGTCTAACAACTGTACACACAAAGCTATTCTAATATTCCATTAACGCGTAACGTAAAACAGTTCTGAATAATAAGTATCTACTATCTACATATATCTATATAAAGATTACGTGTATATTGTAAATGTATTTTAAAAATACGATATAAGATATGTATAAGTATTTTCCAAATAAATCTCTACTGAATTTTTGGCACTCTATACCTGTATTATCCACTTCAAATTTTTGTTTACTCTGTTTAAGAGTCACATAAGCGAGCTCCCTTCAAAGTCCTTTGTACTACAGATATTGCTCACTTTTACTTACTGATGCACACTAGTACAAAATCAATATGTCATTTTTATTCTAGGCTTTTTTCAGTCTTGGTTATGTTTTCTCTATGAAATTCATATTATAGTGTTGTTATATTCTTTATTAACAGATTCCTTATCTTTTTGAGTAGACCGTCATTGGCAAGTTATAAAGTCTAAAATCCTAAGTTTTTTTGAATTCATATAAAAATTGTGTATTAAATTGGTTTACAATTTACAAAAATATCGCTTAACTTTAAAAAAATATACACCAGAATCAAAAACCCGTCCTTTTTAAAGTTGGACAGTAAAAAGAAAACTTTGAATTCTTTCATTTATAGAAAAAAAACGTAATAGTGAGTGAAATAGACAATATTTTAGATATTATCTATAAGATATATTATGTTGCTTAATAGCAGCCCATATTGCATTGTTTAACTCCAAAGCAATGATAAATTGCGAGTTAACAAACTTATTTACTCTGCACCGGAATAGAATCCACAACCTTTAAAAAAACCTGCAATCACTGTGATATAAGGACCATCTCTAAAATAAAACACGTAACCCCACACAATCTCCACGCTCTATTTACTATAGAATATCCACTTGCGAACGATCGGCACATATAAAAAAGTTCTTAACGCCATGTCGATCGCAGCCGGAAATGAATACTCTTTAGCTATACTTTACTATACTTATATATAGCACTTCCTCCAACTTATTACTTCCTAACAAATGTAGAGTGTGAAGACCCATTGTTCTTAAAAGATCATCAATAGATCTCTATACATGCACATTTTTATTTATATAAGTAAGTACCTACAAGATGTCTCGTTAGACACGTAGTTTTGCCTTGGTCTTTTAATTAACAATGTCGACCTGTTGTCTAAGTTACTTTTTATAATGGCTGCTGCATTGATAGAGACTCTGTAAAAAAAATCCAAGTTCAAAAAGGACTTGCCCACCGAGGGTTCCGTACTACACACAATATATTTATATTTGTGTGTAAATCCGACCGTACATTAGTTTCTGAGATTAGCTCGAAAAAAAAACTTATTTTAAAAATAAAATGTAGTGTCCCTTATAATTTGTCAAGCCAAAAAATGCTTTAGAAAGTTAAATAATTAATATCAAAGACTTATCAAGATTAATATACCTTTTTAAATAAAATAAAAAATTACACGTTAAAATTTTATCGTACCTGCTTATACTTACGACAT